GAAAACTTTCGAGTTCGCGACGAGACGGTCCATCGACCCTCGTCATCCAATGTTTCGATGGAAGATTCGAAAGTTTGCGTTCATCGCGAAGCATTTGTCTCGTCTTGGCACGATTCAGTGACATAAAAAAAAGTACCTCAAATAAAATTTATAAAATTAACATTCAATTCTATGCGTTTAGCTGAGGCTTAACCTAGACACCCATCATACCAGAATTCGGAACTTCTATATATTCAAACTGCATGTTGGGCGACCGCTATCGAGAACACCTATTAATATTCGATTAATATTCAAATAAATATTCTTAGACGCAAAGTCGTCTTATGGGGGCACTAAGCGGCCGCCTAGTCTGCCTAAGCCCAGGACCGGTCCTGTTCAGGAAATTTAAGCGTTACGCGCTTGCGCGCTGAGGCTCGCTCCATTAGTGTCCAGCACCGCGTACACGCGGTAAATTAAACTTGAGCAACGACGCTTAGCCAATATAGATTGGTAATTATAATTCATAACGCGCGTTGTTATAATATGCCTTGTCGTTTCGATTCTTACAGAATTGTGCACGATATGGAGCACTTTGCTAACAAGTAGCTGGTCTTACACCGAGGAAGCCGCACGTTATCATCGATATTATACCGGTAAGCAAAACGTTACAACGCCACTAAAAGAGAAATACGTAAATCGTGTCGATTTTTATTCGCGACACACGTACACGTTCACTTATACGCGCGTATTTAACGAACAGTACGCGACACCTACGACGCGATACCATCGAACAGATATGGAAGCTACCAAGCGGTACAGGCGCTGTCACCGGTGCGGCGGGGATGGAGCGACGCGGAAGCGTGGGACAACGACGCGTCGCGAAGATTGGTCACAGGAATTTTTCGGAGGGACACGCAAACGCGGCCTTACGTAAGGTTAGCGAAAGTGGAGCAATCGGAAGCATCGGCGGATCCGTTGATCGCGATCAGCGAGACATTGGGTGCTTTGAACACCGTCGGCAGTTATATCGTCAATATGACCAGAGGTGTCGAGAACTCCAATTACCCACCGAAAGAACTGCCATCAGCCTTGTATACCATCTCGAAAAACATTCTAGGTATAAACGAACGAATTTCAACAAGAATCAGGATTTTCTTTTTCTAAGGATTCGACTTGCTCCTCCTTTTCCGTCTTAACCGCGGATATTTTCAGGTCGCAACGTAACCGACAGCATCGCACCGTTGGTTCGCGGAGTAACGCTGCCTTTGCGAGCAACACCGGTCACACCTTCGGTCGAGATCTCCGACAGGGAAAAGGAACCGTCCGGTTGCACCACGGCGGACGGTACTCCTGGAAAGTGTCAGGATCTGAGTAATTGCCCTCAGCTTTTGCTAGATCTGACTAAACTCAGGCAATCCCTCTGCTTCAAAAGCTTATTCGTACCTGGTGTTTGTTGCCCGTTGAACGATAAACCGAACAACGATGGACCGAGGTAACGCGATTACCTCCATTGAACTCTACATCGCAATTGAAAATACAAAAAAGGGATCACTGATATATGCGTGGAATTTTCAGCTCGATAATTAGCGTACTTCCAACACCGGGAATCGCGCCAGGCACGGCTGTGCATTCTCCACGACCACCGATACGCCCAACGAAACCGCAGACACCAAGACCGATTCCATTGTTTCCCGTTGTCGTACCTTCCACGACGATCAACCCTTCCGGCGTAGCGACGGAATTCGTTTCTCTGCCGTCCGTTGATCCGTCCTTCAACGAATCGAACAGTTTCGTTGAACCACCGATCACCGCCACTATCGACAACAATTTTATTCAAGACGACGAAGGTAAGAATGATGTGGTGGTATACAACAAACGATAAACGCAAATTAGAAAATTATTAAACTACTGTTTAGAGTGCGGGGTAAGAAACTCGGGTAAATATCGAGTAGTCGGCGGTGAGGAAGCTCTACCAGGACGTTGGCCTTGGATGGCAGCGATATTCCTACACGGCTCGAAACGCACCGAATTCTGGTGCGGTGGTTCTTTGATCGGATCGAGATACATTCTCACCGCTGCTCATTGTACGCGCGATCACCGTCAACGGCCGTAAGTTGCCCAACTATCTTCTTTCAATCTGTCTACCGTCGATAACGAATCAAATGATTTTCAATGTTTTCCACAGATTTGCCGCGAGACAGTTCACCGTGCGACTCGGGGATATAGATCTCGAAAGGGACGATGAACCGTCTGCCCCGGAAACCTATACGGTCAAGCAAATTCACGCTCATCCGAAATTCTCACGGGTTGGATTTTACAACGATATCGCGGTTCTCGAGCTGACCAGGCCGGTTAGAAAATCTCCTTACGTAATACCGATTTGTCTGCCACAATCGCGTTATCGAAGCGAACGATTCGCTGGCGCCAGACCCACCGTAGTCGGATGGGGTACCACTTACTATGGTACGTATCCTTGTAGCAAACGCGATCGACGCCCCATCGAATACAATATTTCAAGACGATTCGTGTGTTTCGATAGGTGGCAAAGAGAGTACGGTACAACGACAAGCGGTACTTCCGGTCTGGAGGAACGAAGACTGCAACGCGGCTTATTTTCAACCTATCACGAGCAACTTTTTGTGTGCCGGTTATAGCCAAGGTGGGAAAGACGCGTGTCAGGGTGATTCCGGTGGACCATTGATGCTCAGGGCGGACGGCCGATGGATTCAAATCGGTATCGTTTCGTTCGGCAACAAATGCGGCGAACCAGGATATCCAGGAGTATACACACGTGTCACCGAATATATCGATTGGATCAAGAATAATCTGAATTAATATTTAACTAGTCTATCGATCCAGCTTCTTGCTCGAAAAATATCGGCTCGAAAATGATGTCGGCCGCACCTGCTGTATCGGCTGTATATACGTGTGCCAACAATTATTATTTATCTTTAGCATTACGATTGTATGTACAGGATGTTACGTACTATATCAATAAGCGTGGGACCCGCGTTATCGCTAGATAAGCGATACCTCCCTATTTCATCTTGATTCCAAATGATAGATAATTTCTTTGTTTCGCATATATGATAAACACTGTATATTTATGTATGTATGTATATATGTATGTATGCACGCGTGTACAATCCTTCCTTTTAATAACGCGGAAACATGTCTGTGAGTGACGCTGAGACGTTGTACGCATGCTCGAAAACAAGACAGAAAAATGTTATATGTGTACTCTTACAACGATAGTACCACAGTATTGATCGAGCATCAAATTTTTGTTAAAAATTCAAATAAAGATTATTTGCATTAACTTTAAGGCGTTTGTTTAATGATGACCACTTGATTAATGCCAGTGTCGGTCGCCGTGGGGTTTTAGTCAATAAGAATCTGTCACTACCTCGCTGCCCTCCTCCAGGGGTCGGTGGGGGGTCTTATGCAAGGTTTCCCCACGTTAAAAAAAAATCCTTTACGTCTCTGCTTCCCTTTCATTCCTGCATCCCTTACATCTCTGCATTCTTTACATAACTGCATCCTTTTACATCCTTCTATCCTTTTACATCCTTCCATCCTTTTACATCCTTGCATCCTTTTACATCCTTGCCTCCTTTTACATCCTTGCATCATTTTACATCCTTGCATCCTTTTACATCCTTGCCTCCTTTTACATCCTTGCATCATTTTACATCCTTGCATCCTTTTACATCCTTTTACATCCTTGTATCCTTTTACATCTTTTTACATCCTTGCCTCCTTTTACATCCTTTTACATCCTTTTACATCCTTGCATCCCTTCTGTAAGCATCCCATCATAGCGCCCTCTGGCGGTAAAAAAAGGAACTAAATCATACACAAATTTTGGCCCTCTAGCGGCAAAAATGCGAACTAAATTTTCGATGTCGAGTCAGCGCCATCTGGTTTTGAAAAAAGGAACTAAACCACGCACCAATTTTGGCCCTCTAGCGGCAAAAATGTGAACTAAATTTTCGATGTCGAGTCAGCGCCATCTGGTTTTGAAAAAAGGAACTAAACCTCGCAGAGATTTTGGCCCTCTAGCGGCAAAAATGTGAACTAAATTTTCGATGTCGAGCCGGCGCCATCTGGTTTTGAAAAAAGGAACTAAACCTTGCAGAGATTTTGGCCCTCTGGCGGCAAAAATGCGAACTAAATTTTCAACCTCGAATCAGCGCCCTCTGGTGGCAAAAAAGGAACTAAATTTTGCAAGAATTTAAATTTTAAATTATTTTTCGCTTACCTTTACTTACCTTTACTTACCTTTACTTACCTTTACTCGAACCAGTGTCCATAAGTATGTTAGTTATAATATATTTATTATAAGGGTTGAAAGGATACAAGAGATGCAGGGAGAATTCAGGAGTGTAAGGAATACAGAGATATAAAGGGTACAGAGACGTAAGGGATGCAAAAATATAAGGGAGGCCGAGGTATGAGGAATACAGGAATATAGGGAATGTAGTGATATAAGGGATACAGGGATGTTAGGATGCAGACATGTAAGGGATGCAGTGATAAAGGGTTGGGCCTCGTGAGGCCCTTAAAGACAAAGAAATAATAAATAACTGGGAAGGTTGAGCCGAGGCCCATGAAGAGGGATAAAATAATAAATGACTTGGGAGGGTGGTCCACGCGAGGCCCGAAAATAGGGGTAAAATAATATATAAAGGGATAAAATAATACGCGGGGCATATAGATGTAATAGAATCAACACGTTCATGCTCCTAATGAGTTTATTCAATAAGCTAAGAAGATACATTATTAAGGGATACATAAAAACTTATTACTAAGTAATGGGATATAGGCTTTGATATCGAAATAATCTGCTGTTACCATCAACGTGGGTTAGAATGTTGCAGTGCGAAGTATTTTACATTTTTGTACTAGTATACAGCAGGTGGCGCTCATTCTCAAGGGGCAAATTCAAAACCCCTTGAAAACAAAGGCATGTCTGGTCTTGTTGGATCTGTAGTTACTGAATCGATTTTATAGCCTATCTATCTAAAATGGCACAATTTGCTGTTACAATGTGCCTTTAAATTTTCGCAAAACTCCGCCAATACACCTGCTTTGAGTAAACTCGTTCATCACACAAGACGTATAGTTTCCTTCAAATGCTAAACGAATTATCCATCTTCAAAAGTACTTGATTAATATTTTTCACTTGGCTCCTTCTCAACCAATCGAACGATCAATGGTTCAAAATGATGACTAAATGCGTTTCGGTTCAAAATTTAGAAAATCTTGTCAGACAAACGATCAACGTAGTACCAGAAAATAATGGTGAATACTATGATCGATATCTTAGTTTTCTTAGTGAATTTATTTTCAAAACTTACACATGAACATATTTGAATACAGAGGACACGATCAAGTTTCATCAAATGATTTACGAAAAGTGGTATTTCAAGAGATCGTTTAAATCAAGGAGCACGAAGTGCGACCAAAACCGTACGAAGCCACGAATAACTAGTGAACAGGTTTCTAATAATAGACACAAGAGAATCAAGTTCTTTTGCGAATGTTACAATTTTACTTTGATCCTTTGTACTTGTTTTCAGAATATATCATCAACGGCGGCTTATCATAAATCACGACAATCTAAACACCGAATCAACCAATCTTCTCATGAAATTCAACGCACGAGAACAAATGTGGAAAACGTATTACAGAACAATTTGAACCTTCCTCAAAATGTAGAATGTCTTTTTCTAAGGAACAACGTACCCGACAGCAACAATTCACACCTCGACGAAGTTCAATTGTTTTCAATCGAACCTACCAAGGTACGGTATCATCGTCATCTAGATATGTATCTAATATATCTGAGATAATTCGTATTAGATAGTTGACTGTCCCAGTGTTGGCGTTAACAATAAAGTTATTGGAATTCGGAATAGCGGGAAACAACGAATCAAGAGGTCAAAAAATACCAGGAACAACGTCCTCGATGTTGCTTGTACACGCGATCGTAACGTTGGGTTACTATCTCGTCGAGTAATAATTTATTTGTTCGTTAATTAATACTGTAGTTACTCAGAGAACAAAATCATCTTACAATTAGAGTGCTTGAACGACAACGAAAAACGAGGAAAAAGTTGATTACTTTCGAAGCTTGGAAAAGAAGTAAATCTATTGAACATCGGAAAATACTTAAACAGCTGGAAAAAGAAAGGCACAATGCATTTATAACTCTGGAGAATACGAAAAGAGAAATGGCCATTCGGGAAGTATGCATTAATTGGTTCATTTGACATTTCTTCACAAAACAAACCAATGATTAGTGGCGGCTCATCCCCCAGTTTATGAAAAAGATACAAGAATCTTTGTATTGAACTGTGCGCTTCACAATTCCAGCGTCGCGGCGTGGCGTTTGGCTGTGTGCGCATGCGCATATAGGAAGCTGCGCGCGACGCTGCGCAGTAGAAAGAGCATTGTCCCTCCCACAATGCTGGTTTTTTAAAACCCCCACTAATTTTAGCTACGAGCCGCCACTGCCAACGACATTTCTAATTTTTCTCAATACAATTAAGGCACATATCCGTTACAAAAGACAACAGCAATATCAACGAGCTCAAATGTATTCCGACAAGTTTGTCACTAAATCTAATTGCGAACAAATCAAAGGGAAACGTGTCAAGTTCGACAAAGTCAAAGCGGCAACGTCAATGACGACGCGGTAAAATCTTTTCAAATTAATTTCACGTCATCGTTTGATGTAAAATGAAAAAGCAAAAACTGCTTGATGCTTTTCAGAAAGTCGAACAATAAAGATGGCAATCGAAAAAAGCAAACCACTTCAACACAGAACTCGCCGGAAAGCGTTATATTCTATGCATGGCTGGATCAACTAAATTGGGTATTGCATAAGAAATATTTACGAGAACGGCGGCATCTCGTACGATCGTTTTATTGTCAACCTCTTTATTACGGAGATACAACTTTGTATGTAACATAAGTACATTCGCGAACAATAATTTGCTTTTACTTCGTTCATTTATAAAGCAGCTGGAACTATCAAACCTCAAAGTGTTACAACATTCTACAATAAAATAGAATACCGTATTAATTAACGGTAATATAATCTATTAATAACCATGTATATTATACATAATAATTATATAATAATTACATTACGAATGATCAAATAATTTTCTAATTCACAAATATCTCTATATTCGAATAATCTTAGGTTTTTTTTCTCTCGCTCTCCCTTAAATTATTCATTGCCTTTTGAACGAGAACTCCCAAACTTTTTGGAAGATTCATCTGCATTGAATATAACTGTTGAGTGATGTGATTTTCACTGGCAGCTGTACTGTTTTTCGCGTCGTCATGACTGGTTGAAACATTATATTCTACGATATTTTCGACGCTACAATCGGACATTTGCCTCGATGTAGTAAAATCTTGATCACCTAAGAGAAAACAAATTACGAATATGCTTACATCTATGATTACCTTTCACTTCGCTCACCTTTTGCGTCGACGCTTTTATATCCATCCAATAACGTACTTGTTGGAGACTGCGTTACGCTGTCTAATTCACATATTCTCAATGCTAATATTCTGTAATTAATAATACAGAAGAGAATTAATCGTGTTTTGACGATTGTAATCTTGATATTTATATTTAAATTGTAACGAAGAAAAGTAAAACGTATTTCACAAACTTGTTTGCTTTTTTCTGGTGCGCTAAAGCTAAAGTTTTATCGTTTAAAGCTTCTATCAGAGCTTTGCACAAACATCGTAAGTCGGTAATTGCTGTTGCAGACTTTTGAGGTGACAGACAAGAATCTTGATACAACCACTGCTCTGCTACGAATAACTTCCTTTAATATTATATTCGTGAATAATAACGATCAAAGTGCAGCTATTGTGAAACTATTAAAGTACCTTGTTTAGAGGTCATTATAGCGCCAACGGTAGTATTTATACCCCAATTCACAGATTCTTTAACTCGTTCCCTATCCAGCATACTCTGGAAATGTCATTGTTCTGTCACTGGGTATGGCCACACATTGATAATTACGCAAAAAGCCTAAAATGACATATAATTATTATATGTATATTATTACTTTATATTTTGAAAGAGATTGTCTTGCAAGTTCCTTCTCCTCAAGTAGTTGCCGCATTCTGTCTTGAAGATATCTGAAATATCACCACATTAATATCGTACGATTCGATTGAAATAAATATTTATCAACTGTTTACTTTTCATCCCACCTATTCTCACTAATCAAAGCATCTAAATCTACCGGCGTCGATGCACTTAATGCTCTCGATAGTTCATGATTTAAACGATGCGCCTTACATTTAAAAGCGTCCCTTTCCATTTGCATTTCTTGTTTTTCATCTAGAACTGTTTGCAAATCAGTCTGCAATTGACAGCACTATAAAAATGATATTTTTTTAGATATTAGTTCAACAAATTATTATTCTCAGTTTCTGAATTCAATAAAAACACTACCTTAATGTTTAATCTTTCTAATTGTTCTATCATTTCTTCTCTCTGATGTATCGCTGATGCATATTGAACATCTTCTATCCAAGTTTGATTACCATTTGTACGAAGCGCTTTAACATCAGCCTCTGCATCACCCAACTTTTGCCTTAATGTTTCTACTTGCAGTTTAAGACACTTATTTTGTTCTCTTGTCTCTGTTAGTAGATCTAACATCTTAAAGTGATCATCCAGATTGTAACATCTATAAAGTATTTAAGCTTATTTATAAATTCATAACAACATGTTTATTTGCATATTCATAATTTCCCTACCCTTTTGAATCACGTGTATCGTTCATTTGCCTTTTTAAATACAAAAATCTTTCTTGCATTTGTTCTACCATTAATTTGAACTGGTCTCTTTGCAATCTACACTGAATCAATTCTCTATTTAAATGTGTAAGTTCATCACACTTTATTTGTAAATCTTTCTTCAATGTATCCTGTAAATTTTAATAATAATTTTTAAATACTGATAAGAGAAACATTGTTTACTACTATAATTATAACCATTACTGTGTACTTACTTTGGATACAAAATCGTTTCGATCAGGTGTTAATGTAACATTTTCACTTTTTCCATTCATCTCAACAGTCATAATAACATATAAAATATGTAAATATAGCCTCTGAGAGTAATAAAAATAGAAAAAGTAAATACTTGCGTACTTTTACTTTGGCTAATAGCACTGTCAATGTTGTCAAACTATATACAGCACTCACATATGTATATATATAGATGTACCTCGAGCACCCTCGACATCCCCCTAAGGAAAATGGCGGTCTAAACCAGCGAAGGGAAAGGTGTCGCCACCAGTTGGTATAACATGGTATAACACGTGGCCAGCAGGTATTATACCATTTGCCGGTAAGTAGTTGCCGGTAAATGAAAATTTCAAGATCTCAGCGACTTATTATACCGACAGAAGGTTAAGTTAAGTGAATTAAAAACCGGCATACTCTGATTTAGATCAAATTTTGAAAATAAGTTCCTTTTTGCGAAAGGAAGCATCTGTGAGAATGGTTTTTGGCGACTCGAAAAAAGTTTTTTACCATTTTGGCATCACTCCCTACTTTACCGACGGTCGGTTCTTCTGGATATAATGTTGGGAATAAAGCAAAATTTTAAAAGCAGTTACCTTTCGTAAAAATATGGTTTCGAAAAGAAAAAAGAAGTTTCACCAAAAATCGGCTAGTGCAGGAAATAACCACTGTAGTCATTCATATCTGTTTCACAGAAAGTAATTCAATAAGAGTTCAGTAAAAGAGAAATTAGATTGAGTAACCGAAGAAACCACCGATCCAATCGTCCTTGTTCTATGTTTATTAAATACAAACGCTTTAATAACATAATTTTTAGCATACTTCTTAACTATGAAAAATGTATTATGCTATTGTTTGTAGATGAGAAAATGCTAATATAGACAGTTACTTTCATCACTTTATAAAATTACGTCAGTTTGTCTACCATATTCTTATTTTACAAAGAAAATATAACATCCAAATGCAACAAGACACTACGTACACGTAATATATGCATACATTTGTTAAATTATACATCGTCGAAAGATATAAGTAAATTACACATCGTATGAATTCTACGATGCCACCGTAAGTCGATCTGTCAAATAACAGACCAATCGTGGTTGCAGCAAACAAGTTATTAATAATCATAAGTCCACAAGATATAGTTTTTAAATCCTGTAAAAAAATTTTTTAATTATTAATATGTACAGGTTTGCTTATTTAAAAAATAATACCTGTGTTTCATCGTACAGCTGGAGATGATGGTACAAGACCAAGCAAAAATGCACAATTATGTATAGGTTTTGCCAGAGTGGTATATAATTATCATATTTAACTCTAGATGTTACCTGCAGGAAACAATAACTATTTTCAATACAAAATAAAATAAATGTGAATCCGATGATTGCAAGATACATAGTGTAGGTAAAAGACCCTTTATAAAATAAAACCGGTTTAATCTTAACGAGATATTTTTGTTAAAATGTAAGTTGATTGTTGTTGAAATAAAGAATGGATGTATACAGGGTATTCGACAACAGGTGGGCAAAATTTTAAGGGGTGATTCTAGGGATCAAAATAAGACGAAAATCAAGAATAACAAAATAGCGTTTGCGGCTTTGTTTTCCAGTAATTTAAGTTTAAAAATTCGAGTAAACGGCGCCTGAAACCTGCAATCCGCCCAGCACCCACGACTGAACGTCAGGTCAGCAGGGGTCGGTACAGTCATAACCAAGAATCGAAGCCGAATGCTGCAGTACCGAAAAACAGAATAACACGAGGTAAGTTTCTACTATTCAACGATTCTTGGTTATGACTGTACCAACCCCTGCTGACCTGACGTTCAGTCGTCGATGCTGGGCGGGTTGCAGGTTTCAGGCGCACCTGTTGTCGAACACCCTGTATATTAAATTATGTTTCATCCTTCGTCTATTTGATTTTCTACTAAACTTAAAAATAAGTGTATATCAAACTTCGGTAGTTCTAGTGTTAATGTAATAAAAATCTTATAAACGTTATTTGAACTTACATTTATTTTAAATTCGTCAAGACCCAACCGTGGACCACCTGGAAACCAACTAGGGCCTTTCCAGATAACAGCCAACTTGTCTGTCAAAGATGACATCCATGAGCTTTTTTGAATCATTTGTATAAAATAAAATGTCTATAACATTTCAAAACAAAGTACTCGATCAATGACAAAATCGTTTCAAAAGAATGCATGCTCGGATAATTAACATTCGATGAACGAATTAATTATCCTAATAATAAATAAATTCACGTTAAACCATCGAGCAATTTCAAGCCTGTATCAGTTAAATATTTACATAACTAATTGTCATTTTATGTAACAAGATAATCATGCGCTTCACCGGTTGTTTAGAGATACGTGCGGTTAACAATAAAGTACAGTTAGAAGGATAGTTACGAAACTACAGTTTCTCACCTGTAAATACAATGGATTGAAAGACCGAGGACTAACAACTAAACCGTAGATTATTTCATCTTTGTTTCTCTCTTCCATAAATGTTCCAAATAATCTGTCCCATATGATAAGAACTCCACCGTAATTTTTATCCAGGCAATATAAATTGCAACCTAAAATATATTTAAAATGAATTTAAAATAAATTGCTATTAAAAATATTATCACCCAACGTTTGTTTGTGATAACACAACATTTACATTCAAGTCAATAGCGCAACCATAATTATCCAATAAGTATGTCAAACCAATTTTTTAAAAATTTGTGTTAAATTAAAAAAAAAAGGATTTCCACCCCTAGTTCAAGTCTCTTACCATGATGAACCCGATGGTGTTTTGGTGTGTTAAATATGAATTCCAACGGTCCAAGATCGTCGATAACGGTCGTATGAATCCATAGTTGGTAAATTAAATTGAACTGATTATGTGCGATGAAGTGCGACGGGGGTATAAAAAATGCAAGAGGTAAATAAAACATCTGTAATTTAAATTTATAATTTAAAATAAGAAACTTGAAACCTAGTGTTAAATACTATGATAAATACTCACGAAATTACACCAGTGTTGGAAGACGGATTGTCGCAGACCAACCGCGAGGTTGAACTCCTCACTGCTATGATGTACTTGATGGTGAGACCATAAAAAGTGTACCTCTGTAAACGGGCGAGAAACGTATAAATTCGTCAGGTGGACGGTCGACAATGACACACATGGTTGGATAGGAATTTAACCGTGGTTACTGCGGTGAACCCAATAGTAACAGAAATCCACCCCCACGGCAGTGATACACCAAGTCCATATCGAGTTCCAAGCCAGACCCCGCCAGTGATATCTCTCGTAAATTACGATGTAAGTATAATATTCAGCACCACGGAAGAGAATACTGAAAAAAAAATATATTTGTTAAAAAAATTTATCGACACATGAAGATGGTATTCGAACATCTGACGTTGCCATTTAAATGTATGTTAATCCCTACAAATTCCTTCTGATACCTTCTAATGAGGACCGATGGAAATACACCGACTAACGCTGTGCTAAAAATACTTATTAAGAACAGTCGCATAAAAATAGACTTCGAACACTAGTTTCCAATCATTGCTTAAATTATAACAACAGTACGATTCGTACACGGTTTAATAATGAAAAATGAATAATAAAGCGTTACCTATGCTTACCGGCCAGTTTCTTGGAATACCCAATGGGATAAAGATGTCATTTGATCATTCAAACGAAACCTCTGTTTCTTGGACATCAGTATAATTTGTTCCAATATAATAAGAACGAAAAATGGAAGCCATACCTACGTACACATTACGGTTAAATTTAATTTCACTACCAAAAATTATTATAAAATAGAATATGCGTAGGTATACGTTACCTGCTGTTGATAATCAGGCACTTGATGCGGGAATTCGAAGGTTGTTTCGTAAGGGTTAACGAGATACCAAAGTTTTCCCGCGTTTTTCAGCTGGTTTAAATCGATACGCGTAACGTTCATTTTATGTGTTAACGTTCTACAATTACGTTGTGAATTACATGCAGCTTCTGTCGAAGAAAAAAAACATGAACACACTAACACTATCCGATTCTATTTTAGCCGCGAAACTGCGTGCACGCATCGTTTATATCAATGTAGACGAAAGCTGGCTCCAGCCTGCAAAGGGGCCCCCCACACTCCGTGACCATTTCCCCTGCGCAGCTTGTGGTTTGCAGTCTGCGCATCATCCCGACAACGTCGCGTCGGTAAATAAGATTTTTCAAAAAATAATCATCTAATTATTATTTTTTCTACATATCATTAGCAGATTATCCATAAATTATATCTTTATTTTAAAGGATGTCATATTGTATATTATGCTTAGTTATTTGTTTTCTTGTTTGTTTGGTAAAAAAAGAAATGTGTAATAATTATTCTCGTTACGTGATTGTTTCTCAAAAACTCGTACTTACCGACGTATTGGACGTTGCAGGCAGACCACAATCTTCGCGGGGGAAATGGATACGCCGATACGGAATGGGAGATCTTCTCGGCAGACCGGAGCCAGCTTTAGACCACACTGGTTTATATACGATATACATGTATGTAAGTTCGAGTTAACCGAGGACACGTGAGTATGCACGACGTTTCTTCCACGGCCGTACGTGGTAAAGGCGCGACGATGATAATGCGATGATGCTTTGTTCCAACCACAGTAAACGTTTTGTCTCTGATCAAAATAAATTGCATCTACCACATTTACCCCTTCCCCAAACGTTATACATATATATATGTATTTATCAAATACCACTTGGGTAAACACCTGGTATTATTAATATTTAATGAATATTAAAGGACAGTTTGGAAATATACACGTTATCAATGATATATAAAATAAAATAATTTATGTAAATAAGAAGTAAAGTTTATGTTATGTGCAACAAGTTCACTGTCTTAAAATAACCGGGCGATAAGAATTAAATAAAGATAAGGGGATATCTTACACAACAAACACGTTAGTTCTAAACATATTCTACGGAATCATTTAAAAACGAATAAATAAAAAGAAATACTTAAAATCCTGTGTTACAGGTTTCTTAAATAAAAGATACATTTTCCTACCTTATGAAAAAAATATTGTGTAAAACTTTCAAGGATTTAGTACGCATGTAAGATTAGAAGACTGCGTGATACACCACTGTATGCAAACCTTCGGTATGTACTGTACTGGCAACAGACAGGGTGTTTCATAACGTACATTAATTATTCGCCCAACAACGAACAATAAATCGACAAATTATACTGTCATCACACGTGATGCTATTTTTTTTACATATCATTAAAAGAAACATTTAGTCGATTTTCAATTAAGCTAATATAAAAGTCTCCATTTCTAAGTAAAGTTGCAACGTGTTTTATTTGCTGGCTATAAAGTTAGGTAAATATTCATTTATAACGGGTAAGGGGTATATCGTTAAAGTTTGAAAATTTAAAATAAAAAGGGTTCGAGAATACATTGTTCTTCAAAATTAATTTTAGAGCTAATGAAATACCTACGTATAATTCTTGTGTTTTCGGATGTGTGCAAATTAAAAATCATAGCTCAGATTAAAACAATCTATTTTCTTCTGATCATAAATTATACGTATCAGTATCACCCCATGGTCGGTCAAAGTAATTGAGAGCGTGTCCCCATTAATGTTAGATAAGAAAACAGTACGTAGTTATCAAGTTTTTTTTAATTTCATATCTGCGCGCGCTTTTAAAACGGTACCGTTATTCCCATCTAACGGTGAACGACAAAACTAACGAAATTTTTTTATATCTAATGATACAAACGATTCCTTTTTTACCTACGTTTGGTAATTGTTTTTAAATACACACGTGGAAGTTTGAGAGGTTAGATGTATATTTACAAAATAGTCTAGAGTAATTAATAGTGAAAGTTGAAAAACAAATATATTGTAAAACTGTAAATAAAATACTCCTGTTTCCCTATTATTTTTTATACGTAAGTATTATATGTTCTTTAAAAGACTACTGTGAAAGAACTTAGAATTAAATTTTTGTAGGTTATCCGCATGATATGAGCCTGATTATTTTAACAAATTTATTTCTAAATACCATTTGCAGTTAATTTATTATTTCAGCTAAGTAATGAAGATAAAAAATATGAAAAGTGTATCAAAAAAGATTAAAAAGCCTGCCACAAAAAAGCGGAAACCATTAAATAAAGTAACAACCGATGAATTCTTTAGTCAAAGTTTTGAGGATGATATAGACAATGATGACAAATATAGTAATAAGGGTAAGAATCTAGTTCATTTATTATCTGAAAATAAATATAAACTTTTATGTCAAACCAATATCTACTAAAAAACTTATTTTGATAAGTTGTTAAAGTGTTTTCAAATATTGGCATGTTTTATCTTGTTACCTCTAATTAAAAAAATGCTACTGAATAAAATATAAATATTCACTGAAATTATTTTTTATTCGTTTAACATTTTATTTATTATATAGTAGATGAAAATATGGATGAAGAGGATGCAAACAGCAGTGAAAGTGACATGGATCCAATGGAACATAAAAGATCATTAATGAAATTAAAACAAACAGATCCTGAATTCTACTCATATTTAAAAGAAAATGATAAAAACCTTCTAGAATTTAATATATCGGATGATGATGGTGTCGATAACGATGGTGTCGATGACGCTGGTGTCGATGACGATGATGAATCATTATCAAATAAATTGGATAAAAAACATATTCCAAATGATCAATTGGAGGTATGAAATTGAAAGCTATAAATATAAAAAAATTAAAGTAACAGATAGAGAAAAAAAAAATAAATATACCTTTTTAATTATAAATTATAAATAATGTAGGTTGCTAGTGATGAGAGTGATTATGAAGGGGACGGAGATAGCGGCACAAAGGATAAGCGTAAAATTACGCTGCAATTATTAAAAACCTGGCAAAGTGAAATTCAAAAGGACAAGTAATATTTTACGAATTTGAACAGTGATTAAAGAATTAGAAAAGAATACTGATATCACATACTTATAAACTGGTATTCATGTTTGTTTCTAATTTTATAGGTCATTGAAAACCATTAAATGTGCTGTGGAAGCTTTTCATGCTGCATTACAGACAGTAGTGGATGTTACTGATCCAGAAATGGTACATTATAAAGTAGAGGGTGGTGCAGGTTGGTTTTCACGCCTATCTTTAGCTTTCTACTTGTTAAATTCTTCCTGTTTTATAAATGATTATGTATATTTTTTAGTGTTTAATGGAGTTGTTCAATTATGTGTACTTTACTTGCCTAATGCATTAAAACGGTACTTGAAGTTGGATTCTGAATCCCAGTTTCAAGTTCATAAGTCCAAGAGATTTGTAAAAGTGAAAAACATTTTAAAATCTTACTTAACCGATTTAATTAAAGTAAGTATTATTAACACGAACGTTTGAAATTCAGTTATCTAGACTATGTATAATGTGTATTATTTTCTCTGTAGATTTTACAAAATGTAACATCATCTAATATTATCACAGTGCTATTGAAGCACTTACATCAAATGTTACCGTATGCGCAATCATTTTCATCGTTAACTAAAATATTATTGAGAATATTATTAAAATATTGGACAAGCGGGGAAGAAACTGTACGCGTTGTTTCGTTTCTCTGCATATTACGCGTTGCAACAAGTAATCGAGAATCAGTTTTAGAAATGTTATACAAGGTAAGAGTGAGATCTGTGTGCATGTACTAAATAACAAATTAGATTTCATAATCTTGAAATCTAATAAATAATTTATGTTACAGGCAATGTACGTAAAATATGTTGAAAATTCCAAATTTGTATCTTTAACAACATTACCTGGAATAAACTTTATGAGGCATTCTTTGGTTGAAATATATTCACTGGATGATAATTTAGCTTATAATCATGCATTTTTATACATCAGACAGTTGGCTATTCATTTAAGGAATGCTATGACTTTAAAGAAAAAGGTAATAACATTTAAAGTAAACATATTATATGCATTAAAAATTTGTTATCTTTTTATAATAACATGATACAAATTTTATAGGAGCACTTCCAAGCTGTATATAATTGGCAATACATCAATTCATTACGCTTTTGGTGTGAATTAATAAACGTATCTAAAAGCAATTCCATGTTACATTCACTTTTGTATCCTTTGGTACAGGTATGTATAAACCGAAATTGCCAAACATATCGATATTGAAAATGTTTGATAATACTTTATTTATTTATTGGCAGATTATTATAGGTACGATAAAAGTGATACCAACTCCACAATATTATCCACTCAGATTTCACTGTGTACAATTATTAATAGATATTTCCAGAGAAACCGACACGTTCATACCATTATTACCATTTTTATTAGAGGTATAGTATTTTAAAGTTTTTGTGGGCTGTTATTTATAGGGATTATAATTTATAATTATCCTTGTTTTTTGTAGATACTAAGTTCATATGATTTCAATAAAAGACATAAGGCAGTGTCGATGAAACCAATACCATTTATTTGTGCATTAAGAATGTCTAAATCCCAGTTACTGGAAAATGGTTTTAAAGATAATGTTATTGATTCTATATACAAACTTATTTTGGAAAACGCCGCAAAAGATAGCCATAAAATATACTTTCCAGATTTGTATATACCGTGTATAATACAAGTAGGCTAACAAGTTTTCTGAATCTAACATTTTTTATTTTGATCGCTTTATTTTTTTCTAATTTTATTTTTGTTTATTTATTTTTAGTTGAAGGCATTTTTGAAGAAATGTCATGTGGCAAATTACTGTAGAAAGATGAAACAATTGTCAGAAAAGATCGAAGAAAATAGAAAACACATCGAGACCGAGCGAAATAAAACTGTAATTGATTTAAAAAACATGTCACAGATAAAGAATTGGGAGAATAAGATAAAAACAGAAGGGACATCGTTGTCGAAATTTTATGAATCCTACGTGAAGATTCATCAATCCCAAAAACTCAAGCTACTTACAAAGAACGACGAAATAGCTGAATATAATATACCAACTATTAGAAAATTAAAGAAAGGAAAATCAAACGAAGACAGTGCGGAAGAAAGCGATGAAAGTAGTGACTTCGATCTGAGAATAAAGTCTAACGAAGAGAAATCTGAAAAGCCTGCTAAACCGAAAAAGAAAAAGAAGAAATTGAAAGTTAGCAAAGACACCGATGATATTGATCTACCAACAGAAAATACAGATATCGTGCAGGACATAAACTTTGACGACTGGAGCTAAATATAAATTCAATTCGCATGTGCTTGAAAACAACAAAATATGTATACTGAACGCTATTATAAATATACAGTGATGAGTATTAAAGTAAAACTGAAAACGACACGACTATATTTATTACAATGTATCTCGTTCTAAGGTAACATGTATATTTGTCAACTATGATTTCACCGTGTTTCAACGACCAATAATAAACGTTTCAAATTTACTATATGATTCTTCTGATTATAACAGAAAGATTGTATTATTCGTTTCGAACTTGCACTAATTTTATTTTTTATGGTAAAGAAAGAAGTCTGTTCTAACTGCAATAAGGGACAGCGTTAAATGGATGCTATAACTTATGTCTGGTATGGCAGAAGCCGCCGATTTCTAAGGTGTCGCTTTCTGATAGTCTATTTTTATCGAAGACGAGTCAAAGCAGTCGGGAAGTTGGTATAGCAACGGTTGGGCGCTATTATAAAGCACCGTGTGCTTGCTGTACGGTAATTCATCCAAGTGTGATCGTTTCATATAAGAAAAAGGATTTCAAAGTAAGCCGAATACTTGTGTTTTATTTAACAAATAAAAGACAACGTACAAGTGGTGAAGAGAAGCTCGAACATGCGACAGGTTTTTTTTTTTTGAATTATTGACCGCCTAGACGAGTGCCTACTACCTTAGAAAAAGGATTCAGTTACGTATGTAAGGGAAAGCTAAAAGAAAATTAAGCGATGAAATTAAAGCGTTAATTCTTTTATCATGATAGCAAAATATTAATAGAATTCTGTTTAATATAGTTTTTCTTGTTTCGTGTGTTTTCGTGAAACTCGGTAACGAATGAACCCAGTATCAGCCGATACTGGTGAGCGGTGGCCGCTAAGTGCCGCGGTGACGGAGTTGCCGTGGATCGTATGTGCTTAGTCGGCCACCTCTTGTGCTTAACCGGCCACGTTCGTGCGTGCCAGGGAACATTTTGTAAGATGCGATTTTCTCTCTCATGGCGAGGGAGCTTCTGTCGTGAGATTCGTCCACTTTTCGTGCGGAACGCTTCGTTCGAAGTATAGCACGCTCGCGGATTACGTAAATTCGTAAGAGAAAAATAAAAAAGAGCCGTAAAGTAGGCAAGGAGCGAATTGTGCGTAAAACACGTCGAAATGAGGAGAACACCTTTCGATAAGTAAACCTTCATTTTCTTCTTTCGCTTTGGAAGAAAACTAAGGAGAAAGAGAGAATTATTAAAAATGAACCAAAAAAAAAAAAGGAAATACTTTCCTATAAAATCTAATCCCAATTAAATCCTGCTTAATTGTGTGACGCTTCAACGACTAAATGATATATTTTTTATTCTTGACACTTGGGAATTATAACAACATTAATTGCGCCAAATTTTATTATTGAAATTAAAATTAATTTGCGATTATTAACAGTAGCTTTCTTTTTAGGTGTAAAAGTATTAACATAGATCTACGATAGCTTGAGCTATTTTCTCATGCAATTCGTTCCTGTTTAAAGATTAAACCACTCGAACTTCTGCCGAACGATCTATCTATTTAAAGTAACATATCGCTCTCGTTGCATATTAGGGGTGGCGTACAAAATCACTAACAGTGATTTATCACAGTAATCGCGAAATCACGATCATAGTCGTGATTTCATTTCATTCACGACCGCGATCGTGATATTTTTTTTAATTTACATCGTACGATACACGTATGATATAAGAAGGAATAGATATAAAATGCAGTACAAGTCCAATAATACATATGGTGGCGAAGGAAAAAATAATTAAAATTTAAAAGGTTCCACCGAAATTCACTCTAAGTTGCTTAATTGTAATTTTTAAAAGCATTAATTGATTCACTTACATTGAGTTAACATATTGGTTTTGTAATAAGTACAGCACTAGGTAGTACATACACCCCAAACGCAACCGCTCAAACTGTTACTGCGTATTACGTTACGGATAAATTTAGCATTTCTTTTGCACAGAGGAACCTTATTGTGCCGCTGCCAATGCTGAAACGCGAAATTAATTGACGGCTTGGACGGAAACCAATTTCGTTACAGAATCCCAATAATTGACGTCATAAGATCAACAACACGTTTTTCATTTGTAATCTTTTGTTTCATTTCCACTGTATAAACAAAATATTGATAAATTATTCTTTTATAATTTACACAATTATTTTGAAGGATGCTCTCTTTCTCTTTTCCACAGATTCGCTCTTCGTCTCTAACGCTCTCGTTACATTTTCACAAGCTTTTAACATTGTTATCTACTATGCTTATTAGTTACAATTTTAATTATTAAAAAGAAAACTTTAGGTTTATACATGTAACCCTGACGTTTGATAAGAAATAAAAGAGGACTTATTGTCAGACTTTATTGAATTTAATGTAATCACATAAAAGTTAGAAGATATTTCAAGGAATATTCGTTCTTTTATTTTAATTAATTTTCAACGTTAAGCTATCGAGAGAAATAAGACTGAAATGTTTACGAAAACAAGCCCAGACTAAACAATCTCCATTTCGACAGTCACAATAGCGCAAGGCAGAACGTTTTAAGCAACACGTACAACTCGTATAGTGTTGCGTCGAAAAATTCAAAGGATGCCGAGTACAAGTACAGCGTGAATTATAGCAATACACAGGAGAAAAAGTTTCTGCAGCGAAGTTATTCCGCGGACAATGTTGTAATACGTTCCCGTGGTTTTAAGCCCTCCGATAGGCACGACCCTGTCAAAAGGAACTTCCTTGAACATTTGACTTCGAAAATACTACATTTTGATATGGTAAGCGTATATTCGTGAAACGGAAAATTCATTGATATCCAATGTTCTTAACTCTATACGCAAAATAATTTCAATGGGAATTGTAATTATTTAAATAAAAAATAATTTGTAACTCTCGAATAACGGAGCCCGGTCAATGGTGACCTCAAACCTACCAATGATGCAGTGACTAAAATTAACCACTCAAATTTGTCATACCTTGAAAAAATAATATTTGAAGAAATAGTCTGGAAAATAAAATTGAATTTAAATTATCGCGGTTTCGGCAGCCCGCCATTCGAAAGTTAGACATAAAATGGTGGTATGATTATTTCCGCGGTATTAATTATTTTTCCTTGTAGGAGAATAATGAAGCTGGGCCAGTCAATTTGCAGAAACTGCTTACTCCTGCGTCCGACTCGCAGGGGATTATGCAGTCAAAAAATAGTAAGCTTAAAATATTATTTCCCGCGTCCTGTTAACCTTTTCCTACACACGAAGTTATGTCACCTTTCCCCCTTTTAAATAAATGAAAAATTAAATTTATGCATGCGTACATAGTAATCAAAAAACAAGTTTAAAAGAGTTTACTTTCTTTTCTTCGTTAACTTGAATGTTTGTATACGAAGGATCCAGCGCGCTGCGCGCGCATGAGAAGAATGGTAGCCCGAACGGCGCGAAATTTAAATATCCGTAACTTACAAATACCTAGTAATCTTGACGTTTCTGATTGATTTAATAACAATTATAATATAAAATATATAATTAATTCGTGTTTGCTTCGTTCGTACCACTTGCAGGAAAAATGTTTGCATCTTCGTATTTCTATGCACCGACACATCCAACCGTCGAGGATCAAGTTGAACTCGCTCGACGAATTTCGCATTCGTTGAGCGACGTGAAGAACATGAAAAGTAAAGGTCAATCCATGTACGTGAATAGAAAGAAACGATCTGTCAAATGGATCCACGATGGTAATGGTTCGTATAAGTATAACCATGAACACTGGAATTATGGTTAATTTGATATTGGCTAAAATTTCCTATCAATCATAGGTGTGGAGGACGAGGAAGAACCTTCGACCGCTGTTCATAGAGTAAGTGGTGTGTGTTTCCACTTTAACGAATATTCTTATAGGTCGTTCACTAATTTCGCAATAACAATATCCTCTTAAATGAACTAACAATAAGAACAAGGATTTAATCACTTTGGCCTGTGAAGGCTCCTATATAAAATTGAAGGAAAGATTTTAATTCAGAATTTTACATTTAACAGGATAAAATTCCTTTAAAATGCATGATGAATCCGCACGGAAAAGTGTTAGATATACATGGTATTCAAGCTTTAGGCGAAGAAGTAAATATTGAACCGATGCCAAAGAATCCTGAGAAACTGTTTGATATCGTGCGTGACCTAAATAACCAAAAAGGCCGTGGTAATCAAAACCTTATATCCATGAATTATTCAAGTAAACATCGTTTTAAAGGGAGCTTTAAGAATCGTTAAACCAAAGAATTTTGCTTCAAGGTGCTGAGATATTCGCGAAACGTAGGAAAAGGTCTGAAAAATGGGTAGTGGACAAAGATCAACCGCAAACTCCGACCACGCCAGGGACGCCGAAACTAAATTATTCGGGGAAACCGGTATATTCTATTTTCTTAGAGAAGAACAATATATCAAGGACACTAAAGTAACTCGTCTTTGTATATGCTTAGGAGATGAATGGCACTTCAAAGTTTTCGACTTTGTCTCCGCTGACACCAATTGTACTTGAGCCAACCGTCGAGAAACCGTTTTATAATCCCTTCACCGTGGATTTGTCTTTAGGCGACACGAATCCACCCGCAACAGGTGCGTAAATTGACGAAACTATCTTGTACGAGCAGTTGACACGTTTATTTGGCAATGCTTCGCAATTGCATTGTTGTTTCTACGAATCGCAAACAGCTAATGTTTTTCAAACACTCGAATTCATGCTACTCTGCTTCATACTTATTTTCCGTTTATAATCCGCATCATCTTCGAGACGATTCAAGCGTAAAAAAAGAGGTAATGAAACTTCGAAAATAGCAGGAGAGATTGACACGTTAAAGTTACCCGTTGGAACTTCGTCGAAAGTTCAACAACCTAGGACGCTTCAATTGGCAAACGACATCGATGTTATTCAATCGATGCGAGACCACCGCCGCATTCTTTTTCATTGTAGTATATCTAAAATAAACAACGGTCCGTAACTCGTTGCCAATTGAGTCCTCTACGCTAATTAAAGTTCCACGAGTGAAACCACGTTGACATTTAATTACGCTAATCTTTCAAAACATAAAAAAAAAAAAATTGTAATTCAATTATTATGTATGTAGTTTGTTGTAAACGTTCCAGGTAGAAACCAATATCGTTGCAACGGTCAAGAGTGTAATCACCACTCGACCGAAGTGAAAAAGATATATTTGAGAGAAGTGGCTGTTGGCACTGATAACGATTTCGTTGACAAATCTCGATCATCGATCGTGGAAAAATCGCGTCGAACCGCCTTCGAGCCTGATAACGAACAGTATAACAATTACCGCGCAAGAAATAACGGCTATGACAATACTAACAAACGCAATCATAATTATAACAAGGCTTCGCTGAGCAAATGTAACTTTTCTAATGCACACCACCATGCTACTAACAAAGAGATGAAATACGTTAAGGAGCAACGCATCGCCGAGCGTGTAAATAGTAGCATGATCAACGATAAAAGCAAACTCGTGAATAATCAACGAGAGATCGATTCCGTTCGTATCGACAGCGATAATAGCGAGTACACACCGATTCCGGTGAAACAATTGATACAAGAATTTGAAAAAACTTGTAGGCCAGTTCTGCAGTACAAACAAATCAGTCCAAAGGTTATTCCGATTATACAGCATTCTCCTATAGACAATGATATTGCACGATTCTTTGAAACGCGAAACTCGGTTAAACCCAACACCGTCGAAGAGCATAGGAGGTGAGATTGAATCAAATTCACAGTCTCCGATAAAGTACTTATCAAATGGAATTCTATGCTCAGCACTTTCTTCTCTTTTTTTTTAATATTTTAAAAATATCTCTTTGTCAACCTAATACAAGTAGATACTCTAAATTATTCAAGTACTAGAGGAAAAATTTTTGCAAAAAAACCGATAATATTCTAATAGCTTTTGATTATTCACGAAATGCGATTAAATTCGGAAATCGATCGATAAAAAGCATAGAATTTTATTTAATTAATCCGAGTTGAAATTTGATGGAAAGTCTGATAAAATCCAAATTTTCCATCCACTCAATCATGATACAGAATAACCAATCAACGGGCATACGATGAGTCCGTACGATTTCGAGATAACTGCAACAACGTTTACATCTCTACCGACGATACGGAATACACGAGCGACGAGTCCGATTCTCAGACGAACGATTACGCCAGCGAGGATATAATTTATCGCGAAAAATCGGAAACATCTAGCTTAATGAACGGGGATCAAGAGTACTCGTCGATGTATAGGGAGGAATGTTCTAGCCGACGCCGATCGATCACTTCCGAAGAAGTGGAAAACTTCTGCAACAACGGGGATGGGAAATTCACGAACACCGAAACGGACGTACCCGTCGAAGCAAAGTCGTTGTTGCTTTCTATGATCGCTTCTCAGGAGGATATTTTAGAAACTATCAAACATTTACGCAGTACACCAGTGTTGGACAATCTTTTGCATGGGGTTTCACCGGACTGTAAATTCGGTGATATATGCCCGGACGGAGGCAAGTTAATCCGCATGCGCTTCGATCTAACCTAACCTTACTTTACTCTGTTATCTACATATAATCTATAACTTTAATTGTTTTAGAGATATGTATAAAATTAATGAAATTATTTATAAACAATTGTCTTTGCAGGCAAAAAGCTTTACGAGGATAATAATACTTATACAGGACCGAAATTGGCCAGTGTTCACAATTTGACGAATTACAACACGGCACCTCGTGGCTGGGATCAATCTTTAACTTTTTATCGACCAATCAAATTCGAGAAACCACAGGAAATCGTATATTCTGATTTTTAAATATAATTACGATTACGATGTTAAAAAGGAACGAAGGTGTGCGAATGATGTTATTCAAACGATACTCCGCAGATTATATTAACTTGTTTTCTAATCAATAACAAATTTACGTTTTTTTCCCAATCTAGTCAGATAACGATAACAATATCTCAAAAAATAAATTAAATATGAAACGAAGAAAATTAGGCGGTACCATGTGTACGTACATAGTTGAATGTTTCATTGTGCTTGATTATATCTACCTCTCCCATTATCAAGATGTGTTAAGATCTTTATTTATGCTTCTCAGTGTTATTGCATTTTACTTTATAATATTCATCTAAATAAATGTTGGTTTCATAATACACGATGTACTCTTAGGTGTCACATTCATTGCAGTTTTAAATGGATGTAAATGATTTTTTTTTATTTTTCTTTAATTGTGTATCAGAAATATAAATTAGAATTTCTATGCTCTGATAATAATCATTCAGATAACAATATTAAATTACATAAAATGCTGATAATATTGAAAAGAATACATAAGTACAGAATTTATTTACATAAGCTTTGACTTAAAGTTGTTAACATTTGTGTGATATGTAATCGGTCTGTTCTTTAAAACAATTTGTCATTCGATATCTAAGCGCTGTATTTGAAGGATTACACTTGTTTAAAGCACCCTTTGATATATCATACGTACAATGTACGGGACGTGTGAAATTTACGTGTTATTTGTTGATTTTGTTTGTAAATTGTTAATTTACAATATGTATTTGGTTGTATTTATTATTTAATGAAATAAATGTTTTTATTTTTCGTTTATATCCTGGTGCTTCTCACACGATAGAAAAAAAAAGAAACATTGTAATATTTATTTTACCGCTCACAAGTATCCAGATATTTACCTGTATTATACTAGAACAACCGGAATTGAATGTATGCTTCAAATTGGAAGAATAAATGGACGAAAAATCAAAAAATTAATTAGCTTAATAATTTTAACCCTCGAACGGCGGACGGTGAAGAGAGCCCCAATTTTAATTCAATTTTGTATTTCATATTATTATAAAGTGTCATATTTTCGAATTGAAATATTGTAAAAAAAAACACATCGAATTGAGTATCCTCCTCCTTTTCTAAGTCGGATAAAAATTGAATACTTATTTATAAACACCGCGAGTTTCATCGTGAAATTCTGTGACAATAAAATGTACCTTGTACTCAAGTTAACGCGTTATCATGTATTCTCAACGATGAATAATGAATTCAATTCGCTCAATAATGATTTAAACTTGAAAAGCGATAATACCTGGAATTGTAGTTGGAAGTTCGATGCAAATGGTAGTAGACTACGTATCTTCGATCTCCGACGCAGTCGCAGTAAAGTTGGTATGGAGAAGCAGTATAAGTAGAAGAAGACCGGGTGATTATTTCATTAGTTGTAACTGAAAGTGAACAGTAGTGTAGAGTTATGTCGCGGTCATCCGGCTTCTTGGTCCCGCTGATTCTACTTGTACCATTATTCAGCTATGGGGAAGCGGCGAGCATACCAAAGAAGACTCTCGGACAAACCTGTGGCTACGAGGTACAGGAAGAAATTGATTCCTTTAATAATCATTCTTATCGAATTTATTTTATATTTTGAATAAGTGCATAAATATAAATATTATCTTGTACTTACATATGTATATGTATACGTGTTACCACTTGTTGATACAACACACAACGTTCGAATGTATTTATGACGCTCGATTGATAATGGATTTTATATCGACAAATATCAAATATTAGTGTCAAGAATACATATAATCATAGGGAAGTAAATCAGTATACACTTTCATAATATTTTTCGAATCTATGTAGAGTGTAATTATTAATTAGGTATATAATTTCTTTCAAATTCTAATTTAATTCTAATAGGCATGTCCTGCGACAGACCCAAAGAAACTAAATATCCATCTAGTTGCTCATACCCACGACGACGTCGGTTGGTTGAAAACAGTCGATCAGTATTACTTTGGAAGTGAGTGTTTACGAAAATTATTATTAAACTTGTTCCCAGAACAGACTACAAACTTTTCTACTTACACATTTTTAATAAAGGTCAGTCAAGGATTCAACTAGCAGGAGTGCAATATATTCTAGACAGTGTTATACAAGCGTTATTAGCTGACCCAAAGAGAAAGTAATTTAAAAAATATAATTATTAATCGTGACTATGTAAAAAGAATTAAGACAGTATCCAAGATTAATATCGTATCATTTAGATTCATTTACGTGGAAACTGCTTTCTTATGGAAATGGTGGCAGCATCGAAGCAGCGACGTGAGAGAAAATGTACAAATGTTAATCAACGAGGGCAGATTAGAGATCATTAACGGTGCATGGAGTATGAACGATGAGGCGGTTACTCACTATCACTCTATCGTGGATCAATATACTTGGGGCTTCAGGTGGAAACAAAATTTTTTATTAAGCGCGAAGTCTTTAATTCCGAGTTCTTCTAATATCTTTTTAATACTTTTGCGACGTTTTGGGGACGTAGTCCTACATCGTTTCAAAGTCTTTAGCTGAATTAAATTACAATTTGAAAATATTTTAGACGTTTGAGTGACACCTTTGGAAGTTGCGCAAGACCACGTATAGGATGGCAAATAGATCCTTTTGGCCATTCCAGAGAGCACGCGTCTTTATTAGCTCAATTTGGATTTGATGGAATGTTCTTAGGACGTCTCGATTATCAAGATAAGAGGCAAAGGGAAAAAGACAAAACCATGGAGTTTATATGGAAAGGAAGCCCAAATTTAGGTACTCTCTTAGTTAAGAAAAACACACTAACAGGCGTTAAATGTATTACGTTATTATTACAGGATCACGCGCGAATTTGTTCACGGGTGTATTGTACAACACTTACATGGCACCGCCTGGTTTCTGTTTCGATGTTTTGTGTAACGATGATCCGATAATCGACGATTCTGAGAGTCCGGATTATAACGTCAAGGAGAGGGTATGTAAAAGTTTAATATAATAAGTACAGTAATTGACCTTAGGGGCGTCATGTTAACCTCTTTCGAGATATGTTTTGTCACACCCTCCCATTTTTAATATGAAAAATTTATATATATGTATATATAAATAGCAATCAAAAAACAAAAGTAACAAATTTTACTTTTTTCCTTGTTTCTTAACATAAATGTTTGTACAACGCTACCCCACGCTTCCGTCCGTCACGGTAAGCGACCGCGCAGAGAATGACGATCTAGGGTAGAGAGGCCCATATTATATAGGCCTGTGGCCTCCCACCACTTGCGTATAAATGTTCGCGCGGGAAAATTTGAATTGACATTCATTTTATTATTTATATTTCTTAATTATATACTAAATTTTATAATATGCAACAATTAAAAATTAAATTATTTTGTTTCTAAATCACTTTAATATTAATATAATGAAAATTAAGATTTGGAGAATTTCTGTTTCCTCTATATTGCCATTATCCCTAGGAAAACCTACTATGATGCTGTACACTGTACCCGCTTAAGAAAAACAGAATATTCGTGACTTGCAAACATCTTACATTAGCTTTATTTCTTAACATTTTCTTTTTAATATATTATTTTTAATTCTCGATTGTAAAATCTGGTATTTCATATCCCTAAAAATGCAACGTCTGGTTTACTTGATGCCCCTGGTTGACCTCGCATTCCCTTCCTTTTGATCAATTCTATTCTCTTGCAAAACAGATCGATAAGTTTATGCAATACGCAGAGAATCAAGCAAAAGTACTTCGTACAAATAACATTATATTAACGATGGGTGGAGATTTCACTTACCAACAAGCGGAAATGTACTTTTTCAATCTGGACAAATTAATAAGGTACTTTCTTTTTTATAAAAGTATCATTTTTATATCATTCGATGGGAATAGAAGAGAGAAAGGAAGGGAGAGGAAAGGTCGTAGAACTCTTACGTTTTAAATTGGTAAGTAAAATATATCATGCCATCGACAGGTTGAAAAGTTTGTGTCGTACGCGTATCAACAAGCATCATCTTATAAGACCAATAACGTTATTTTTACGATGGGTCAAGACTTTACTTACCAACAAGCTGAAATATGGTTCACTAATTTGGATAAGTTGATCAGGTAAAATATACATAGTTTAGTAGTTCACTAATTACTCAGAAACTAATTTTACACGGTACATTTGAAATAGCATTTGAATTAATGAATCGATGAAATCGAAGTAACAGCGATCTTACCGATCGAGTAATTCTGCCCCTCTAGAAATAGCATTTCGAATTCATTATCATATTTGCTGAATTCGATAGATTCGTGAAGGAGGAAAGAGGTTCTGATGTGAATATCTTTTATTCGACGCCATCGTGTTATCTGAAAGCTCTACACGATGCACAGCTTCGATGGCCGACGAAAAGTGACGATTTCTTCCCTTACGCGAGTGATCCTCATTCGTATTGGACCGGTTATTTCTCTTCAAGACCGACGCTCAAATTCTTCGAACGAATGGGAAACAATCTTTTACAGGTAAAAAAATACTTAAGCTTTTTTTTGTAAAGTGCTGTTTGCACGAGACACGCCCTTTAGTTTTTTATATATATCTCAGATAACCAAGCAGTTACACGTACTGGCCGGTTTAAAGGGATTCGACAAACAATTAGAGCTTTTCCGTGAAGCAATGGGTGTAATGCAACATCACGATGCTGTAACTGGAACAGAGAAACAGCTAGTTGCAGACGATTACGCGCGCATATTACATGAGAGTATGCAGCAAGGATTAGATATTGTTGCTAATGCTATGAGGTATTATAAATATAATTTTGAATGTTATACAGCAAGCATGGCTAAATTCTTCCGCGCCAGAAATACACGGCCCCTGCTAATAGGCAATTTGGCTCTCACCGAAGTCAATGCATGCCCCTGAAATTCTGCTGCCTTATCGACACTCCACGTATCCCTTATGGTAATTCGAAAATGAATAACAATGCTAAAATGATTTGGCAGCTAAATTTTACCTTACCAAAAAGTATATATAGGCAGGGGTCATTCCTTTATGGGTAGGTCAGTTGGAAAAGTATTGATAAAAATTAATTTTTTAAGCACCTGGAAAACAAATGGACAACCAGGACTGATAAGTAGTCTGAATTCTTGCTTGCAACTGAATATCAGCGTATGTCCAAATACCGAAGATGAAAATTTCATTCTCACAATTTACAATCCACTAAGTCACAAAATTTGGACACCTATTCGCGTTCCTGTGCAATACGACGGGTATACAACTGTAGACCTTGTAGGTTTGTATTTAGCAACAATTAATTATTATATGGTACAGACGGGTAATGCAGCGAGGTGACATTACCGATAAAAACAGCCCTAAAAGGGGTTTACGGGAATCGTTTTTCCGTTCTTATATGAGAAGATTTTGATAAGTCGTGTTTCGCTTATGATATATTCACGTTGCCTACTTAATTCTTTTTCAGATGGTACCGAAATTGTTTCTCAAATAGTTCCAATTCCTAATTCCGTTCTTGAAATACCGGGAAGGGAAAGTAAAGCCACAGGCGAACTCGTGTTTTTGGCAGCGATACCGGCTCTAGGTTTCAAATCTTATAAAATTACACGGAAGTCGAGTATACAAGATGATGGGTTATCTGACACATCTTTCATTGGTAACGAGGTAATTAAAAAATTTTGCTTTAAAAATTTCAGCTTGATAGCTGCAGAACATTCTGAGAAAAAGAATCATCCCACTCCCCTTAAAACAACGTGAACGTTATTTTTTTCAGTTTTACAACGTGTCAGTCAACGACCAGGGTCAAATAGTTTTAGACTGGAAGAAACAAAAAAATATGAGTTTAACTCAATCGTTCCACTATTACGAAGGAATGGAGGGTAATAATGAGATAGCTCAAAACAGGTCGTCAGGGGCATATATTTTCAGACCAAAAGGCATATCCTCGAAAAATTTCGTCGAACCTACGTCCTTCAAAGTTTACAAAGGTGAAGATTTCAATAAATGTTTCAAACGGGATTGAAAAAAGAATTAACAAATTTATTTTTTAACCCAGGTCCGGTGGTACAAGAAATTCATCAGGTGATAGACGATTATGTGAGTCAGGTAATTCGAGTTTACACAGGGAAAGAATACGTTGAATTCAATTGGCTCGTTGGACCCATACCTGTTGAGTAAGCACTATAAATATTAAAAGAATAACAGAGAAATGATTTTTCAGTTGTATTTTATTATAGTGCATCGAACTACTTTCATAGCTTTTCATGAAATATAACATTCCAGGGATAAGATTGGAAAAGAAATAATAACCAAGTACACTAGCAACTTAAATTCTTCCGGAGAATTTTATACCGATGCCAATGGTCGTGAAATGTTAAAACGGAAGAGGAACAACCGTTCGACTTGGGACTTGGAATTGGAGGAAGAAATATCCGGCAACTATTACCCGGTCACTTCGAAGATCTCTTTGAGGGATAAAGCTAAATTTTTAAAACTCAGTGTACTAACAGATCGAGCAGAAGGTGGAACCAGTATGGAAGATGGAGAAATTGAACTGATGGTAAAATAACAGATTTCTGAAAATACAGGTAATTTCAAATAATCAATTGATGTATGTACACAATAGCTTCACAGAAGACTTCTAAGGGACGACGCGTTTGGAGTAGGCGAAGCACTTAACGAATCCGCATATGGCGAAGGTTTAGTGGTCAGAGGATCGCATTACGTACTTGGAGATAGTATACCAAATTTGGATGATCTTGCAGTGAAGGAAAAAGCTTTGGCTCTTCAACTACTTCTTCGTCCTTGGCTTCTTATAACTCCCCTGCCATCGGGTGATTCCATTGCCGAGGACTCTCCAATTCTTCCACAAGCAAGTAGATTTATGCGAATAAATAACTCGTAAAGTATTTTAGAACATGAGTGCCTTCTGATGTTTATCCAATGCAGAGGTAAAAACTAATCGAGAAATTGATTTTAGCGTTCCGGTCTGACTAAAATTCTACCACCAAACGTTCACATTCTAACCTTGGAACCGTGGATAGATGATAAGGTGTTATTACGATTAGAACACATTTTCGAATTGGGTGAAACGGAGAGCTTCTCGAAACCTGTGGAAATTAATATAGCGGTATGTTTAGCAATATAGAACTACGTTTAAAAGAAAATTTGAATTATTATTTATCACGTGTTTATTGTAACAGGATCTATTTTCATCTTTCACCATTCGGGCAATCGAGGAAACTACGTTAGGAGGCAATCAATTGTTGAAAGAATTGTATCGTTTCAACTGGGTTCCTGAACCGAACAATGTTCTTCAAACGGAAGAAACTCCTACTTCTTCCGTTACGAATGTGGAAGGAGTTATAAATGTTGTTTTGAACCCAATGCAAATTCGAACCTTCATCATTACCATTGAGCCAAAATAAATTTAGAATTAATGAAATATTTGTAATTTTGTATTTATGTAGGTGTATGTCAGTTGCAACGCACAATTGAAAGCGTTCGATTAAAGAATCAAATAATTTTATCTTTTAAGTACGTGTTATGTAATAAAGTATCTATTAGAAATTGTATGTGACGTTATACAGAAAGAAAGAATTCTCCACATTCTAACTGCCTTCCTAAAAATCATGCCACCTCTTTGGATATTCTGTGATCCTGATATGTACTAGGAGTAAATTTCGAACAGTAAATTCCCTATTCGCCATTTTCCCTAGAAAAGCCTACCATGCTCGCTCCTGTACATATGTACATGCTCTTCTGTACGTGTCTATATATATTAGTTAGTATAATCGAATGTCAACCTTTTTATCACAACATGCACCTTATAACCTTTTAAAATGTAAATCTTTTACTCGCAAATTTTAGGCTGTTTCCCTAAATCGTTGAAGAACTTTGATAGAAAATTTGAGATGACAGCCCAGGGTAACAAAGGTACAATTTCGAAGATCAATTATAACCCAAACTATTTTAAACAATACTTGAAACAATAATTACTGTTGCATGTCAGATGACATCAGAAGATGATACATGGGCTCAAACTCTAATTACGGTAACCCCTGAAGACGATGCAACGCTAAGAGAAATTTCGGATACGGTTACCCTATCTTCGCCATCGGACACACCATTGATCCTTGATCCCGATAAAATTGTATACAGGCGCTCGCGTACCGACCGGCAATTTATAGAACCTCAAGAATTCGAAGAAACGACAAAGGAAATAAAATTGGAAGAAGTGTTGCAGCAAGATGAACTTGACCAACCGAAATATCAAGATGCTGAAAATCAAACGTATTTACAGGGAATTTCAATTGTTGAAATCCCTGTCGAGTACACAGACAAATCTTCACAAACGATGTACATGGCTGCACCATGCCCTCCTCTAAAATATTTTAAGGATATCTTGAGTATGTAGTCCAACAGTAATACCAGTTTCAATGATCTTTGAATATGTTCTGGAATTCAATATTTTGAACAATTTTTTATACATATTTGCAAAGAATTTCGGTTTAGCAAGCCGGGATATTATTTTAGCCTAATTTAAAATTGAAAGAAGCCACTAAACTTCATAATAACCATTATTATTTTATTTTTATATATACATATATATGTCAATAATTTAATTATTAAAATATATATGTATATTATGCATATTTAGCCGCGATGAACGAAGGTCCGCTTCCTGACATGAAGAAAAGTAACGGAACCTCAACCATTGTTACTTTTGATCCCGAAACGTCCCAAGATTTGGTCACCGAACAATTGTCTGCGAACGTTCCGGAAGAGAAACTCGAAGAATTTGCGTCTGAACTCGACACGGATGACGCAGAAATGGAAGTGATCGACGTTTTGGACTTTGTAATAACGCGCTTATTTTGGATAATCGATCCGAGTCAAATACAAGTTGACACGGCTGATAAAGAAACGCAAACATCGTTAAGGTTTAATAATCAGACGCAAATTCTTTACACGGATAATCAAATGCAGACAGATTTAACTTGCGAACCGAAGGAATCGAACACGATGCTATTGTCGGATTATTGGCAAACGAAGGATATGATTGTGAATTTCTTGGATGATTGTTTGTCCAAAGGTCTAGAAACGGTTACGATGACGAACGAAGTAATTAATGAAATTATCGACAAGTGTGTCGAGAGAATCAGGTATCCCATGAAAGAAGAAATTATCCAGACTATAGCCACGTATAAAATAGACGAAGATAAAGAAAATGTATTGAGGAAACTGAAACATGGTGTAGTCGTGGACCCCCTAGAAGCGTCGATTATTGTTCTACCACTTGTGACTGATTTATTGGAAGCAGTTTGCGATACTGTATCTAGGAATGCTGCAGTGACTGTTAAAAATGTTGTAAAACAGCTCCTTCAACGAACAGATAATATAATCGGGAAACTTATAAAACTTGAAGCAGAATTACAACGTTAGTATATGTTTCATTAACGATAGATAAGATACTTCGATTAGGAGGTGCATAAATGAAAAATTTCATTCATGCATACAGGAGTACATAGTAGTCGGAAAACAAGAGTAACAGATTTTACTTCTTTTATTAATGTAAATGTCTAGTATTCTGTATCCCTAAGTCCTAAGTTACGAAGGTCTGATTTCGATTACCTACTACTTCGATTAACTTCAATTTAATGCATGTAAAGACAATTATAATTTTTGTAATAATTTAGCAAAGCCAATGGATGAAATATTACAAAAAAGAAAGCAGAAAATCATCGAATCGATGTTAAAGAAAGAGACCGAAACAATTTCTACGCAAACAAGCCTAACTGGAGTTTTAGAGGTGAAGAGAATCGAGGAATCCAAAGAAATATTATGTTCCGTATGTAAAAGACAATCGAAGTGTCGGTGGTGTATAGCAGGCGACGAAACTGAAGATATCCCCCGCGAAGAAGTGAAAATCCTTCGTACGCAGGATATATTATTAGCGTATAAACCTTGTTACGTTATTACGACAGCTTCTAAGAAAACATCAGATCTACAACCCGTTTGTCATTCAGAACCTAAAGTCAAGTTACTTCCAAAATCTCCATGTTATGTATCCACAGAATCAACGGATGGTTCTCGAGACACGATTAATATATGTCTTCAGCCTAAAAAGGGGATTAAACCACAAGGTAAAATGTTTATTAAAAAAAAGTTATATTCCATAAAGAACGATAATCCCTTGGAGAGGTGGTTACTAAGCCAACATATTTGTCAAAATGTTGGTTAAGAGAATGTTGGCTATTGATTACGTTCGAACGTTGACACAATTTACTGCTTCGTTTTCGAGATATATAAACAATTGAAAAGAAAAAGTTATTCATAATCACCTCAGCAACCACCCCTTGAAGGGTCCCACGGTCGTTCTGGAACACATTGTATATACTTATGTAAATACTATTTTCCAGAGTCTTTTAACGAATGGTCATATGTTGCTGATGCAACCTTGATGAAACCATGCTCAATGAAAGGTAAACCTAACTAATCATATCTGTTTATCAGTCTATCAATATAATTCATATTGTGTTTTGTAGAATCTATCAGTAGTATAGGTGAAACAACTATGTCATCAATCTCAAAGTGTTATGACAATTCAACCAGTATACATAGTACTTTAACCTCGCAAGCGGTTAATGCTTTACAAATACTGAAGGATACGTTTTGTAATCAAGAAAATTGTCGCACTCCATCGTTGCAAACTTTCAAACAAAACTATCCGTTTAAAGAAGATGGAAAAGTTTCTATTAAATCAGTATGTACTGTATGTTCGAGTGGAAATAATATAGAGAATAAATTGTCTGAAGAACAAACGTTTTGTATGCAACAAACGTGTAAAGCTTTATCAAAATTGCATTTACCTAAAAAGAATACTTATAACGAAAACACCGTTTCTAACCTTCCTGCAAAATCGCATGGTGATGGTTTTAAAATTATTCCCATATGTCTTTCTCAACATTCGAACAGTTAAAAAAGACATAGGTAAATGTTTTCTTACAAATGTTTAATAATTGACAAATAAATGCACATACATTGTTTCTATGGATTTGCAGTGGAATATACACATTGCAATATAAATATAACATTCAACAACATTCAATGTACTTTTTGAATTAACAAACATATTTACATTCTAATTTGTTGTAGTTGTTGGGCAACAATGTTTTAAATATTACATAAAATCATTATTTTGTATATAATGTTTAAAGTAGTAATGGTGAAACGTATATAAAAATATTTGTAACTTCAGACATTCACATTTTATAAATAAAACATTGTAACAATGATATTATTGCTGTTATTATTTCTTTGTTTCAAAAAATTAAAATACCTTTTTCTTATTAATATCGGCAATACGTAGACAATATCGCATGTACAGCACAGCGCATGATAGGTTTCCGCAGGGAAAATGACGATGTAGGCGAGAGGAGCCCATTTATATAGAGGACTGTCGCCCCCCACCACCTACCTATAAATGTTTACGCGGGAAAATTTGAATCGACATTTACGTTATTATTCATATTTCTCCATTATATACTAAATACTTACGATATTTAATAATTATAAATTATATTATTTTGTTTCTAAATCACTTTTAATATTAATATTATCAAAATTAAGATTTTGAGAATTGTTGCTTTCCTTACATGACCAGTTTTCCTAAGGAAACCTACTTTACTCGATGCTGTACTATTTTGAAAAGAATCTCACTGATGGCAGTAGAACATATTTATACAACGTAATAAAAAAAAGTATTGATGTTTTGATGAAATTTTACAAATGTCAAAAATTGCACTATCATTTAAGTAGAATATGAAATTAAAAATATAATGAAAAGTACTTTTCATTGCATTTCAATATTTTTAAATGCTTGTATATTTAAAATCGAATTACGAATAAAATTATAAATCATTACTAACAATGTCATATGTTAATATAATTATATTAAATTTTATATTTAAAAAAGCTATACTGTTTTATTACGGTATTACGTTTCTATTTTATCAATTATAAAAGATAAAAATGTTTTTCCAAAAATATGTATATAAATAATTAATATCTGTATTTGTATATTTGCTGAAATACTGTTGAGTGATAAAAATACCTCGTATTAAAACAAGGAACTTTATTACATAAAACTGATAATGAAAAAGATTTGAAAAACAGCTAAATAGCCTACGTTTACCGAAAAATATTGGAAATGTTCGAAACATTCTGTGCGCAAAATGGAAACTATTAATTAATCCTTAACGTTCTTAATACGTAACTCAACTAAAATTTAAACAAATTAGTTTCTTTGGTTGATGACGATGAATGTTATGCAAAAATCTAATTGGGACAATGTATTACCAAAAAATGAACCATATTCTATAAGTACCGTTGCGTGAAATTTTTGTATATCCTTAATTAATTACTGTAAATTTTATATAAATAATTACCTTCGTAATGCTATTACACGCACTGTCAGCCATTTTACTCAGAGCTTAAAAATTCGAATATCAGACATGTAGATAAAAAAAAAATGAAATTCAAATGTATAGAAAATACACTTTGAATAACGAATTCATAGTTTATGTGCCATCTTATAAGGCACAAATTGTAGAAATTACAGACGTACGTTTTCTTCTTCCTCTTCTTCTTCTTCTCCTGTTTGCAATTTTGTAGAAGACATTTCAGTCATTTGTTTTTCTTCATCAGTAATAGACAATCTTTTGTCTTGACTTAAGTCATTCCACGGTTGTATATCCGTGGAACCAAACAACCAAAAGAGTATCGTTGCAGATGTAAATACCACTGCCGAGATCCAGAACATAATACGCCATTCTTCAACCGTATTCTATAGAAAAGAAAAAGAACAGTATTAGATTCCATAGCAACTGCAAGGATTCAACAATCTGAATCAGAAGTGGCTAACTTCTTCTTGGCCGTGAGTCATAAGCTCCTACTATCAGTCACAGCATTCTTCCACTATTTAAGTTCACACGTGTAAACAAATGACGTGTGGATCGGGGCTTCTCAGACGAATTAAAACATTTGCTAATAAATAATAAAGAAAATTTATAAATGATTACGCATTCAGAAATTTTTTAATTTTACTAAAATTTCTGCGATCCCCACTTTGGGAAGCCCTGGTATAGATCACGATACAAGCAGCGAAACAGGTACGTGGAGGAAAGAGTTACATATGACTCGTGAGCCATTCGTTAGCCAGGCTTGATCTAAATTAATTCCCATACCCTTTCATTTGTTAAAGCACCAATTATCGGTGGAATAATAAATCCAGGAAAGCTGCCAAAGGTGTTCATGATTCCATACAAGGAGCCAGCAAAGTTTGGTGCAAGATCTTGATGATTCTGTAAACTAGTTTGACACGCAGCACCATTGAAGGTCAATGCTAATATTAACATAACAATTGCAGTTATTGCATCGCATCCAGCGTATGTCATTATTACTAAGCAAACAGCGGGGCCCATGTGTGCTATTGAAAACAGAACATTTTTATTAATCGACGTTTCAATGAATTGTGTTCGTTTTTTAAATGAAAATTTTCTTACAGAATATCATAAAGATTCTTCGAATCCATCCTAAAGACAAGAAATTCTTCCTTCGAACATAATCACCAGCTGCGGCAAACAATACTCCAGCACCGAGTCGAGCGATATAAGGTAAACCAGTAATTGGTCCTCCCTAAAATACCATTAGAATACTTTAAAACCTGATTGAATATAAAAATAATTTAGTAAACGTATAGATAACGCATTACCGATTTCATGTTAAAGCCAAGAACTTCCAAAGTATATTTTGGTCCATTGGTAGCAATGAAATAGATACCCCACATATTTGCAAAATGCGCCCAGAGTAAAACTATAAATGGTACCGAAGTAGCGACAGCTTTCACAGGCAATTTCACCTACAATTTGGTGTTAATGGTTTCAGAAAAAATATTTAAATTATACTTTTTTTTTAAATATATACTTACCTTTTGTTTAGAGACAGTTGTACCTATTTGCTCTTTGATATAAGCTTTCTCTTTTTCAGTAATTCCGGGATGGACATCGGGTGTGTCGTATATAAGGTAAACCCATAAGGCATAGAAAACCAGTATAAGTCCACTTGTAACATAATACGCAGCCTTCCAGCCGTAAGCGCTAATTATTTGGCCGCACAAAGTGAATGTTACTACCGTTCCAAAAGGACCACCTTAGCAATAATAATTTTTCATTAAAATTTAAATAACTTTCATGGAGTGTATTTGAATACCTTGCATCGTCCATACGAACATGCCCTTTTCGCTAGGAGGAACCCATCTAGCGATCATTGCGTGAAGAGCAGGATAAACGGCCCCCTAAAACATACCCGTTATTCTTATAGAACGTTTTAACATAGATCGAGCAGATTCTTAATAAATTTAAGTGAAGTAAAATATTGTATAGAACTTCAAGAAATTTGAAATCAAATATGAAACTTACTCCAAAGAAACCCATCAAAAAACGAAGAACGAATACGAAACCGTAATGAATGCCAGCGGCCCACGGCATCAGAAGATTTAATACGGCGGGTATTAAAGTTGCAAATCTGTTTTATGATAAAATAATATTTAATTGAAAGGAGCAGAATATATAATTTAGAATTATAATACACTTACGCTACTACTTTAGAACCGCCATATTTTTCAGCTAAAAGGCCACCAGGTACACTTGCCGGTAGGACTCCATAAAAATAGCCGGAAAGTAAAAGACCTTGTACATGCTGATTCCATTCGTATCGCTCGCCGTACTAAAAAATGTCATAATACAGATAAATGGTCGGAAGTCGAAATCGTTAGTTTCCCGGAGGTGGATTAATCGTAAATATCATTGAATCAATAATTGGCACGGAATGAAATACATAATCGAAACATGTACTTTAACGTAATCGGAGTATTACGGTCACAGATGTGATCGACTATGATCAAAAGTCGTGCGAGCTGAGACGAGGCTGGACATCTTTATAACTCCGTACAGTACATATCTAGTATATCTAAAAAGTACATATGTATTGTACATTAGCTTACATCTTTAAGCACTGCAGCTTGATGACTAACATTGCCGACTCCCTCGTAATTACACGCTGGACCACCCTTGTCACCTTCTTTGGTTGTATTTACCATGGCAACAATAGTAATGGATAAATTTGTGCGGATCATGTAAGAAAACATGCAAGCTAAAAACATCATTGCTCCTAAGATTCCTCTTCGTGGTATTTTCTCTGAAATAAATTTTTTTAATAATTACCATTTTTTCTCTTATATATATATATTTTTTTAATACAATATACAAAATCAAAAAATATCAAAAAAAGGTATCATAAATCACGATTATCATTTATCAGGAGGAAGGCGCCCAACAAAAAATTCTGTGGGCTGAGAGGCACACCACAAATAACCTCTCAAGGTAGGATACTACATAAAGATGTTACGTATGGATCCACGTTACTTTTAGGAAAGATAAACATCTAAATTCTTGAAATTCGAAAACTGGAAATATTTTATAAAATTTTGCTACCTGCGCTAACCGAAGAGTTGTAATGGCGCTACGAGTATTCATTAGTGCTACCGTGTCCTCAGAAAAAATATTTTATTTCCTTAACTATTTTGTACTTTTTTTTCTGATAAAAAATCTACTCTATCGCGTGCTGTGATCAGATTTCACACTGCACCTTTATTTGGATTGGTAGATTGACGGGTGCCCCGAAAAATGGCGCGAGACAGGTATGTACCCGTTTAATTTCAATTCTAAATGATCATTCCCAATTGTGCGAAAAAGTGAATTGAAGATTGATATTCGACCTAAAAAAACTCGATACGGAACATTTATCAAATGTTATACAAATCTAGAGGAAAGTTAAAGTTCGCTGCGTAGTGTGGTCAATACATATTATACACGTTTACCAAAATAGAATTTATTGCATCACTTATTTATGTTCGTATTATTTGCATCCTGCTTTACAAATTGATAACGAACTTTTACAAATTAGCACGTAAACAACTAGCACAATTTAAAATCATTGTACTATTAACCCTTGAATAGCAGAGCGTGGGTTAATCGTGTCCCAAAATTACAAAATACAGTACATTGGAATTCGAATATCGAATTTCGAATATTGGAAGAATAATTTTTAAAGGAACAGTGTAAAATTAAAATTTAGAAAATAAAAATAACGAAGTACAAAATTAAATTAAAATTAGAGCTCTCTCCGTGGCCCGTCTATCATAGGGCAAAGGGTTAAATAAATAAATTCTGATTGACTTGTTGATTATAAAAGCGACTTCCGTGCAATAATATATTGACCCTTTGAAATCGGACATAATATAGTAATTGAGATATTAATTTAGGCACCGGAGATGGCATGTCTACCAATGCAGGCTATAAAAGTACGTTAGATTGAATGACGCGCCTTTCAATTGTACGCGACGTAGTATAAACTTTGCATCCACATTCGTATAGAATATATACAAAACTGTTATTTCATAACGTGAAGCAAATAAACAGATACATAATTATGAATACTTACCATTGAATTCCCGGAAGACCGCCATCTTGTATGCCGCTTAATTGGTCAACAATATAATAAATGTCGATTCTTCGAGTCTTGTAAACAAATTTAAAATCGTCTTAAAAATTGATCACTGTTAATAAACGTTTATATCAGCATCCAACAGAAAATGTTTAAAAAGAGGTTAGTCCGGAACTATATTTTCGAGATTTAGTCAAACTGTAAACTATTGGCTTAATTGTATTACGTCATACTTTCGCAACTGCCTCCTGATATACTAAGTCATTGCAATGCAATTTTAATTCTTTGCCTGATAAACGACGTCTTCGTGCGTGTTCAAAGTCACATACTTCTGCCGAGATACTGGAAAAAGTATAGAACTACCGCTATATTCGAATCCTATATCCTGTATCGTGTTTTCGAATCATTCTGGATTACGCAATATTATGTTTTATGAACGGAAGGAACTACGTTTGTCGTGCGAAGCACGTGTTCAATTTTTTTCACCGCTAAGTAGCAAGTGTTAATGACCTGATTATTGAGACTATCGTTAAAATAATTGTGCAATATACTGAAAATAATTTATAATCTGCTTTATCAGTCCATTATGTTGACAGTATCAACAAAATACGTTGTAAGATAAACATTCCCACGGGTTCGCACAAATGTTATCGATTCATTACACCTTCCATCAATTGTTCGATTCAGACGGTTAAATAAACAAGATCTATCGAATATTATAAAAATCGAAATTTAAAATTCGAACGTTCAGTTGTTTCTTTATACTACAAATTATAAATTAAAATTTGGTACAAATTTCTGCTTGGTTTATAATTAATTCAGAAAAATTATTATAAACAAGTGTATTAATATGTATCTATATTAAACAAATAACTAGTGCAATATTTTTTTCTATTTTATATTCTCTTTCTTTGAATGCTACGCCGAAATTGAATGAAACGACTTACAAAAACACAAAAAAAAAATCAATATTAGGTATATGTACCAAGGATATATTGTCAGTTATCTTCGAGATTAACTGATTTTATTTGATTAAAATATTTAGTACGCATGTCAATCACATATATTAATCAAACATTCTTTTTAAATTCCTAAAATAACATTACAAACGTCGTGTATGATAAAAAAACAAGAACATATATATTTACATCATACGTTTCATTTATTATATGATTCATGATCAGACTAACCTCTATCAAACGTGCGTTATTCCTGTATGAAAATAGCAAATTGTAAAATAACGTATCCTTAATTTCTGAATTAGTATTTAAAAGGAACAATTCTTAATATTATACTGAAAAAAACTTAACACCTTTCTTCGATCTAACTTATACGTATATGCACATTATCAATTTTATATAACGAAATAAAAGTAAACTCCTATTTTATACTAGTTTCGTTCAATCACATGATAAACTGTAATGACACTCAACACAAGACACTCACGACATTATACCCACGCTGCGCACAAAACGCGACTGAATTTCTGTCATTGAATGTCGCTTACTTTTTTTTAGTTTCCAACTCACGCTTCTCCTTCCCCTACCAAATCACTTGTTGAATGTGTGTGTATGAATATATACATATGTCTGTGCTCGATGTAGTAGTGTAACGATCAGGCACAAGTATATGGCATTTATTCATTCAAATTTCGTATATTTTTATGTGTACATATTTTACGCGTATAAATGTTGCTATGAAAATATGACGCATCATAAAAATGATAAAATGTTTGTGTTACGTATATACAAAAGGCATCTGATAACATAAAAAATACAATATTATTTATATAATGAATTTATGTTAAAATATATATTTAAATATTTAATTTTATACATTTACAATCTAATTGCGATACATAAAATATGGAATAATTGGAAGACTTTATTATATTTGTTAAATGTTTCACTATTAAAGGTTTGTTTTCATAAACAGCCAATATGTTGAAAGATATAGAATTATATTTTATTATTCATAACAGGCAGTGCCAATTTCTATGTAAAAACTTTGATGAGACTTTTCAATGTCTTGTAAACCTATGTCTATTATTGGCAACCTTACAGTTTTATCAGTTTCATATAAAAGTACTGTTTTGCCTGATTCAACCTTATGTAACTGTAAACAAAAATTATAAAATATTAGTTTTGTAAGTATTATAGTGTATTAGAATATTGTTTTTCAAATATTATTTAATATATACCTTGCATTCATCTATAAGAATTTTATATCTGAGACGTTGATTCCCATATGATATTAATTCAGCATCATTCCATGTTAAAAGTTTCATATTTTGTCTATATGTTTCTTGTTCTGAATTAATATATGCAACACTATTTTTACAGTGATATGTTATATTTTGATATGCATGTTTTGATAGTAATTGTAAGAAACCAATTTGATTACTATCTGCTTTATATGTAATCTATATAGCATACAAATTATTTTTAGTTGTATATTTTATATTAACAATGTCATGTATTGTTGTTATAACAATGAATGTTACCTTCATTCCATTCTTCATTTCGCTTAACCAAATTTCTTTTTGCTCAGTAATGTGTCTGATTTCTGGTGAATATACTGGACTTGGTAACAAACATGTTGCCCGTTTTTTAGCATCACAGTATACTAGAATTGCATCTCTTGCATCTCCTTCATTTGGATCAATCCAATATTCTCCTAAAATAAGAATATTTCCATAGAATAAATGACATCATACTTTGAAAGAAAATGGTACTTGTAAATAGGATATTAATACTAAAATCCAATATTTAACTTGCAAACTAACCAGAAGGTTTATTTGGATAAGCAGTATAAAGATCTCTGCACGTTTTAGCTGGTGAATTCTTTTCACCATCTGGCTTTATGAATTTTTGGAACGTTGACTTCAAGTGCTTATATGCTTTTAAGATAATCTCTTGTCTTTCTTTTTCAGTCATGTCTTGACTAAACATTCTAGGTGGTTCATCACCGATTAATGGATCTGGTCCTTTAGTTTGTCCTTGTCCTACTCGCATAATAAAAATTAATTAAATATTATAGGTACTGAATTTTAAAATATACATATAAAATTTGAAAACAGCAATTACCTAACAGAGCAGCTAAAGAAGCAGCATCATATCCTAATCCAAGTTCACCAGGTGGACCTGGAGGACCTGGAGGACCAGGTGGACCAGCTGGTCCGTGACGACCTTCTTCTCCAGAAGGGCCTTTAGGTCCTGGATTGCCAGTTAAACCTATTGGACCAGGACTACCGTCTCTTCCAGGACTACCTCTAGGTCCAGGATCTCCATCTTTTCCAGGTGGTCCAGGAAATCCTATCATTCCTTTCTCTCCTGGTAGACCAACAGGTCCAGGTAAACCTTGCAAACCAGTAAATCCTCGATGACCTTTAGGCCCTTTCTGACCTTCATCACCACGTTCGCCTTTCGGACCTTCCAATCCTATAGGCCCTGGTTTCCCTCTAGGTCCCTAAATGAAAATGATAACATAAGTTAATATCTTTCCTACTTCAGCAACCTTTACATTCCTTTTATATTGTTAACACGAATAATAAAAATGTTATAAACTATAAAACTAACTTGTTGGCCGTCCACACCTTGTGGTCCCGTTTCTCCTTTTGGACCTCTTTCTCCAGTTGGTCCTGGAGGTCCTGCTTGACCCAATGGTCCCTAATCACAGAAATGTGTATGTTTATGATAACATTATTTTTTATTACTAAAATATTTCAGTAAATTTTAATTTATTGTATATTTTTATATCTTACGGGTAAGCCCGGTGGACCAGGTAATCCTGTTTGCCCAACTGCTCCAGGTGGTCCTTTATCTCCGGGACGTCCAGATATTCCAGGAGGTCCTGGTTTGCCAGTCGGCCCTTCTGCTCCAACTTCTCCGAGAGGTCCAGGAGGTCCAATTGGTCCAATTTGTCCAGGGATTCCAGGTGGACCTTCTGGCCCCGGTTTACCAGGTGTTCCAGATTCACCCTATCGTATTTTATTCATTAAAATAGGAATAACAATATACACTTAAGTAGGATTGTACTTACAGGCGGTCCTCGTATCCCTCTAGCGCCTACCGGTCCAGAAGGACCTGGTAAACCAGGTAGACCTCTTTCACCAGGAGTACCCTGAGAACCCTGAGGTCCAGGTGAACCTGGTGGTCCTTGAGAACCACTTTCGCCTTTGCTTCCATCTGTGCCAGGTATACCTGGATTTCCAATCGGTCCGGGGTTTCCAGGTCGACCGGCTTCTCCACTATTACCCTTAATGCCTGGTAATCCGGATGGCCCTGGCGACCCGGCTGGACCTGGTAAACCCTGTTAACATTATCAAATTTAAAATTAATGCAATAATAAATAAATCATTAAATAAAATTCAACAAAAAAATATAGAAAGAAATATTGGAAGGAAACCTACTGCTGGCCCAACTAAGCCCGGTACTCCAGGAGGTCCCATAATACCTGGTTCTCCTCTAGCACCCGGTTCACCCCTTACCCCTTTGGCTCCCGTTAAACCAGTTAAACCTTGTGGTCCAGCTTCGCCAGGACTACCTATGTATTTATAAAATCTATTTTTGTTATGATACTTCAATTTTTTGTTTATAAATATTGTTTATATACACGATTAAAACTTGTATCATATTTTTCAAACGCATGTATATATTTTTATGTTTTTAATAATTTATTGAATAGTACCAGGTGGACCAGGATTCCCTTGGTCTCCTTTTAATCCTGGATAACCACGGTCGCCCTTTAAGCCTGGTAATCCAATAAGTCCTTGTTGACCTGGAAAGCCTTGCAACCCTTGTAATCCTTGAGGACCTCTCTCGCCTGGACTACCAAAAGCTCCGACTTCTCCTGGAGGACCAGGTAATCCGGGATCTCCTCGTTCTGCTGGTTCACCTGGTGGTCCAGGTGGACCGATCTGACCCTGTGGTCCACGTTCCCCAATGCGTCCTATAAATCAGATATATTAATACCTTGCTTATAGTTTAAAGGATGAAATATATTAGCTTTATAAAGATATAACCTGGAGGTCCCTCAGGACCAGGTGGGCCACTAGATCCTCTATCTCCTTTTGGACCTGCTTCACCTGGAGAACCTCGTAAACCTGGTAATCCAACTAATCCAGATGGACCTGGGATTCCTCTATCTCCTTTTGGTCCAGGTAATCCCTAGTATATATTGTTATAAAGAATAATTCAAGTCAATTAATGGAAAGTGGTTGAAAAATAAATAATAATGGAAAAAAATTTACAGGAAAACCATCTGCTCCTTGTGATCCTGCTTCTCCTTTTGGCCCTGTTAGTCCTGGTGCTCCAGGTGTACCCCTTTCACCAGGAAATCCTCGTTCACCTCTGTTACCAGGTATACCTGGTGGGCCAATGGGTCCTTGGATACCTGGCTCACCATCTTTTCCTGGGGATCCTGGATTACCAGTTGCACCTGGAAAACCCTAATTATAACAAATTATTTTTCAAAATTGTACCTTTGTTGTTATTTCTTGCATTAGTAGAAAGAAAAACAATTATGTATTTTCAAATATAAAAGTGCATACCTGAAAACCTCTGGCACCCGAAGGACCTGGAGGACCTCGTTCACCATCTGCTCCTGATGGTCCGGGTGAACCTTGTAAACCGGGTGGTCCTTCTTTTCCTGTATCACCTCTAGGTCCAGGCGGACCAGGATTTCCTGGTTCTCCAGCTTTACCGGACTCGCCCTTTTAATAAATATTTTCAGTAATAAATTTGACTCCGGATTGTAAGAGTAAATATTTTTATACCGGATATCCTTTTTCTCCTTGGAGACCTATAGGACCGGGTAAACCTTGTAACCCAGGTGGACCATGTTCACCAGGTTTTCCATCAGCTCCTTGAATTCCTCGTTCTCCCGGATTACCTGGTTTTCCAGGGGCACCGGGACGACCCATTAGACCCCGAATACCCTATAATATTATGTTTTATTTGATGGAATAATATATTTTTGGAATATTTTACATAATTAAATATTTTAATAATAGAAACCTGGAGACCGGGTGGCCCTAAACGACCGGGATCCCCCGTAGCACCTTTTGGTCCAATTGGACCCAGCGGACCACGTTCTCCAGGTTGACCTAATGAGTAGATTAAATATAGAAATAATAAAAACAAAAAATCAGTATTGACAGGAATTTTCAAAATCTTAATTCTAACAACATTAATATTAAAAATATATTGATTATAGTTCAACGCTTCGTTATTAGATGGCGTTAACAAAATTAATAATACTGATAATAAACCTTTCGGTCCCATGGGTCCATCTGGACCTGGAAGACCTGGTGCTCCTGGTCCTCCACGTTCTCCAGTAGGGCCAGGTGCGCCAACAGCACCGCGCATCCCTCTTTTGCCGCGTTTTCCCTCATTTCCTGGAGGCCCCGGTATACCACGCGGTCCTGGACTTCCTGTGTCGCCTTTAGCACCTGCATCTCCTTTAAATCCTCTTTCACCAGGATGTCCCTATAAATATTAATAGTACAGGGACTTCTTAGATGAAACTATAAATCAATTTTAATAACATAAATAAATGAAAAAATGAAATCAATGTTTACAGGTGCTCCCTTTGCTCCTGGAATACCAGGATTGCCGGATATTCCTGGTTGTCCACGAGCTCCTGGAAAACCAGGTGGTCCGACCAAACCAGGTGCTCCTATACTTCCTTTCTCTCCTGGTATCCCATCTTTTCCCGAAGGTCCCTGCGGTCCTGACTCACCAGGCTGTCCAGGACGACCAGTTTCACCTATGAAGCAACCAAAATCCTAATTAGAAAATATTGAAAATATATAATATCCAAAGAATTAAAATCTTACCTCGAGGTCCTTGTAAACCTTGACTTCCTTTTAGTCCTTGAAGCCCTTGATCACCTTTTACACCTGGATTTCCTGGAAAACCAGGAGGTCCTGGTTTACCTACTGCACCCTATAAATAATTAAATGTTAATAAATCAGTCAATTAGCTACTATCTTGCATTTTTGAACATACAGGTTGTCCAGAAGGTCCAGGAATCCCGTCTACTCCTCTAATTCCTGGTGGTCCGGGTGGACCTTCTCTACCTCTTTCACCACGTGGACCTGCAGGACCCTATAACATTAACGAGTTTCTAAGATTTATTCTAAATTAATAGATATTGGTTTTTGACTATAAATCAAAATACTTACTATAGGACCTACAGGTCCCATCGGTCCAGGTGCACCTGAGGATCCTTTATCACCAGATACACCTTGTTCCCCTTTCGCTCCATCTAGTCCTGGAAAACCACGATGCCCTTTTACACCTGGAAGACCAGGCATCCCTGGAAGACCTCTTGGTCCGACTGGACCAATCGATCCTGGGGGACCAGGTTCTCCATCTTCACCGACGTTGCCCTAATAATAGTATAACTTTAATTTTAAGTAAATTTTAAAAAATGGACAACTTGATCAGTTAAAAATTTCAAATGTTCCATTATTATGTAACTATATGTACATCTTTCCCAGGTAAACCAGGTAGTCCTCGTGGACCGGGAGCTCCAGGAGGTCCCGGAGATCCAGGTTCTCCCGCTTCTCCTCGTACTCCTTGAAAACCCTGTGGTCCAGGTGGTCCAGGTGAACCTATATAAGAATTTTGAAGATTTTCAAAAAATTTCACAAGTGACCACAAAAGTGAGAAAAATTACTAGAAAAGAAAAAACTCACCAGGTGGGCCACGTGGACCAACAGGGCCTACTTGAGTTTGTAAATAAGCATCTGGACCATATAACGGTGCTGCTGCCCCTGTTGGTCCTTTATCTTGAGTTGCTTGAGACAAACCCAATTGTTGGTAGTACATTGACACCTATTAACATTAATTTATTTGTACTAAATAAAAACACAGATGTTGCCGGATACTCACATCTGGCACAGGTCCTGGTGGTCCTGGAGGTCCTGGAATCCCTGGATTACCTGGCTGTCCTGGAAATCCAGCATCGCCAGGACGACCACTGTCTCCTGGCCGACCTGGTTCACCCTAATTCATGACATGTTAAAAAAAATTTTTTTCTATTTAAATTTATTAACTATTATCATTAAAATATTTACCCTTGGTCCAGGTATAGCAACAGAGCTTATTAAGTTACTTTCATCGGGTGCAATTTCTGTTTGTGCCTAATAAAATGAAAAATATAATAAATATTTATATTGAATTATATCTTAGCATAAATTTTAATTTTTACTTTGATACTTACTGGATGATCTCGTGCAGGGGTAGTGTACGATTCTGTAACAAAATCGGTCCGCGCTATTAAATTTAAAATAATTTTAATTATTTGTGTTAAATAGTTAATAAGGCATTAAACACCTTGATGGAAAAATCGAGTTGGAGTTGGCGTTGGTAGATCCGTAGATAATGATGCTCTGTAGAGGGTTTGTAATCCTTCCGGCGATAATCCACCCCTATCTTCATATAATTTATAAAGTGAATTTTCAAATTTAATGATAGGTCCATTGAAAAAAAAATAATAAACTTACTCGCAGTATTGGTTCCAACAGAAGTAATGGGTGGCGACGTGGTTGTGGTTCCAGTTTCTAAATATAAAAGTATTATTTAATTAACAATAGATTTTTGGGGTCTGGGGTTATCAAACCGTAGGAGCACTTTTGGATGAGAATTTCAAAATTTCAATTTTTTTAAGAATGGGATTCTCCTGGAAAATGGGGCCCTTTAGACCGCCCTGGATCCGACGCTGAACGTATGTAAATTTCATAAAATAAAAGTAATAATTATTTAGTATATGTATATCAGAGTGTTAGTATAGATGATAATCGTAACTGATTGTAAGTGTTGAATTTTTAATTGTTCCTTTCAGCTGCGACGAACCCTTGCCTCGTGCTGTTAATAGTGTCGATGAAATTAATGCGACCGGAAAATATCGGACTAGGATAAGTATTCTTAAACTGTGTAATAGGCTACAATAAAAATTGTAATTGTTAATTTCTATCAATTAGCGCAATTGATTGATTACATTAGGCTAGGCAAAGCGCTAAAAACAGCATCCGATTCTATACTTCCGGCGTTATTTACGTAATCGATTAATACTTCCTTTAATTGTTACGTCCGTATACTTTCTGTAAAGATTATTTAAAATTTAATCAATTGCAATAGTAAATTAAATTTTTTTTTACTCGAAAGAAATTTAAAATTGAATACAGGATTATATAATAAAATAATAAATTAAAATATAGAACATAGAATTGACGTAGGATATACGTATAGTGAAAAAAGAAACAATTATAGTAGAATTTTTAAAAATATTCTGAATTACAGTTTTGAATAATTTAATTATTAATATAGTGTAGTAATTCAAATAGTTGAAGGCGATCGCGCCATAAGTTCAAAGTCGTTCTTTAAACAAATGAGATTCATTTTCAATGGTATCGAATACTTGTTTATATTCAAAAAAATTGATAAATAAAATACTCACCATTTCTCTCGTCATAGTCATCGTAACCCTCGTAGTAATCGTAATTGTAGTCACCGTTCGCAGGTTCTTGAGCTTGGACCGGCCTCGAGCGTTGTTTCCTCAATTTCGTCCGTACGGAATCAACCCGCAGGAAAAGAAACTGAAACACGACGAACGCCGTGGCCAGTTGTAGGGCCTTCGGCCCCATGAACGGCTAAAATGGTGAACAACTAGCAAACCGATCCTAGAGCCAACTCGTCTTCATCTGAAGCTGAGGGCAACTAGACTTATGGCAACTAGCGTATCATTTATTTAGCAGATGCTTTGTAACTTAGGGGAGGTCATCATCCTCCGTTTTACGATCTACATGCAGTCCTCCCACTGCTTTACACCAATCTCATCCCTTCCCTTTGATCCCTTCTTTTCTATATTATTTTTCTTTCCCTCTATTTCCTTCTGATTCCTGTTGTTAACTTTGTCCCTCCCACCCCTACATCTATACGTTAACCCATAAACATGAAATTTTGTTTAAGAGTAACTGACGTTTACCAGAATAACTACTAAATTCGTATTTTCTTTAATTAATTAAGATTACGTAAAATCATTGCAACTTAATTATATCCCTGATATTTCCTTACATAATTTGTTTATTCGAACATGACTTCCGGGGTATTTAAAATAACCAACAAAAAGCTAAGGTTCGTTTGAAAAGATTGTTATCGAGATCGATGGAATCGAAGTAATGATTTATTCCACTGATAGAACCTACATACGTAATACTTTGTTTCAATGAAAATGTCCTCGTTTAATGGAGTTGCTGGAACTACAAAAGGAGATTTATAACGTGTATCTGATATTTAGCATTTGTGACTAGAATATTGCGAAAGCGCAAAGTAGAACATAAATTAAATACTCTGCATCATGTGCTATCGTAATACATGTTCTCGTGCACGTGTTTAATGTTCCAATATACGTATACGTATGGATCATATGGAATATGCATTTCTAAGTTATAAACAATTGGGCCCTAATTAATCCTTCCTTATTGCAACATGCATCAACTTTGCGAAATACCCAAACTGTTCATTGGTTTCTGTCGTTATTTTTTATTTTTTTATTTATATCATTTTCGGTTGCAATACGCTATCGTCGATACAGATACGCGTCATTTCCACTTAATCGGTTTATTAGACGACAATCATTATTTTGGCCGCATTCCCGGAGCGCGACTTACTTTACAAAGCGTTAACCGTAATAGACTACATTGACCCAAGTTTTAGCATCGTTACGACTGACTATAAATTAGAGTTGTCACTATTTCTAATAGTACAAGTAGGTCAGTATGATGTCCTGTATTTTGTTTTTTAATTGTATCATGATACATCTTTCAAATTAGCTATCTTTGCTATATGCATTTTCTAGTACATGTTTCTTTGATTCAAAGTAAATATTCAAAAAGAAAAATTAAATAGCATAAATGAGATTAAAGGAGAAAACAGGAAAAAGTCGGCATATAATAAGTAATAACAATAATGTATTTAAAGAAGAAGAATTTGTCATTATATTTTGTCCTCGCACTTTAAATAAATATTTTTGTTTATACAACATATGAATTATACTATATTATAAACCATTAGATTCCACGTTTTTTTTTTCTTTTTAACATAATATGCCGATAGAAATAAATAAAAATAATAAAAGTTTTATGATTTCAATTAATCAACTTGACCATTGTATACCTCTTGTTTTTAGATTTGTACAATGAATATAAACCCTTAAACACGACAGTTGTAAAGAACTTTTGTTTTATTATACATTTATCACATGTGCGCCTTTGTTAAACTTTTTTTTTGTTTATCTTAAAGGTAGCGCCTAAACAGAAATGATCACTACCGACCGCGAAGTTAGGTATCGTAGGTAAAGTGGCGCATTCTGCAGCTGTCGGTAATCTGTATTTCTCGATGGGTGTTAAATCGCTATAAAAAATATAATCAACTGTGATCCAGTTGTCTTGATGCGTTGTACACTCCCGTCTACCATCGCGTTGTTGATGCTTGTACACACTTTGGAAATCGAACGGATGCGTCAAAGTACCAGAGCAGAACTGTACATGATATTCAGGAACAATTTCTATTATTTGACGATCGGTTGTATCTGTATTCACCTCAGAATACCTTGAAGCATTTGATGAATTTCCTTTTAAATTCATATTCTCACTATTTTCTAACTGTAAAGGCAAAAAATAGTTTGTTACAATAAAGTTACAGGAATAATATTAACCCGTTGACTGCCGCAGTTAAAATGGGCATTTGTATAATACCATCACTCTACTTGGTCCGTTTCCGCGCAATCTATGCCTCAAAACGTTGAAATGCTGACAATTATCCGTAATATAAAGACGAGGGGGTATTAACGAATTTGAAAGAGTTCGGTATTCTGTTGGCTCAAGATTTCTTCCTTTTCCTTGATATTCGAACGATCCTTTTGTAATGAATTGGTATACCCCAGAATTCGGTTCTAAATTGAAGTCACCCGTCAGTATAACTGGAAGATATTTGGAACCCATCCTATTTAATATTTAGAAAAAGTATTAAACATTATTTTATACTAGCCATCATTCCTGTGAAATACAATTCCATTCCTTGACTAATTATCGAATAGTAAAATATCATTTTATAAAATCTTTGTAGATTTCTTAATATACTACAATTGAAAGTGCACTATAAAGTATTTTAAGGAGAAGAATATAATATTTGACCGACTGGTTTAAAATAAAGTTTAAAGTAAAATATTACTTACGGTGTGTTCTCCAAAAAGGCAATCCTTTCAATTTCTGCTAGAAGCAATTGTGACTGTCCTAATCGTACATCGTTTCTTCTTGGATTATAAAGTAAATGAGTGGTAGCAATTACCAACTGTGTCTCAGGATTCTCTTTAACTGCTAATTTTGCAACGATTCCAACATTATCTCTACTTAAAAGTTCTATGCCTGACTGATAAAGCTCAACCTTTACGTGTTCTAGTAAAATAAACTGATCGGAACGATACAAAAAAAGCAAACCATCTTTCTTCTCATTTGTTCGTTTTTTATACAAATAAGCATAACCCAATTCCTTAAATGGAACTAAAAACTCATTTAGGTGGTCTTCTTGCATCTCTTGAAGACAAATTATCTGAAAAATTTCATAAATTTTGTAAATAATTTTATTTCAAATTTAATGAAATAAAAGTATTATTTTTGCTAAGAATTAAATCTTTTGTAAATTCGCATACCGCGCAATAATTAAAGGGCGTTTCAAAAAGAAGATCGTATACCAGAAAAACTGCAAATTAGAAATTCCCAATCTCTAATCTGAAGCTTATTTAAAATTGGGTATATGATTATCAAGGTACCCTGATTAAACTATATGTATGAGAATTGAATAAGATTCTTCGGAAATCGAATACCCAATTTTTAATCGCTTATATCTTAAAAACGAAAACAAGAAGTATCTATTAATTGTATCTTGAAAACGACTGCAAAATAATATAGGATTTTTTCATTTATTTTAGCACAAAGTTCCATTTCTTTTGAAACACTGTACGAATAACAAAAATAAATAACAAAGAAACTAACATTAGCTTTGGTTCCTAAAATCTCTTGCAAGAGAAGCTGCCTCCTAATATTCCAAGATAGTGCCCGTTTGTCATGTTCCTTGTACAGAAATGGATATGTTTCCAGGAGATACTGTGCCAATATGTTGAAGGATAGTACCCTCAGAACAAAAAATTCTTCAGAATTAGAGGTCAGCTTCTCTGGAAAAATTACATAATGAATAGGAATTCTTTTATGGCAAAAATACTACTTTTACCTTTCACTATTCGTTTCCAGTATCTCATTGCTTCATATCTCTGTTTATCTTCCATGTATTTATCTTTCAAAAGCATAGTTGGACTGACGCATGTGTTTGACCCAACACCAAGTGGCTGGGTATTACTTTCACATTCTAGATTCTCTAATGGAAATGTAAATGGAATTTCATGATTGTTACTAGAATTATAATATGTTTCTACGAATGGTTCCAATGGTGCCTGACCAAATGGCTGCTTTGCTGCGGAATTTGCCATTGTTCCCATAAAATTGCAATAAGACAATGTCAATGCTTTAGATATCGATATGCTTTCGCAAAAATTCCTCAAAAATACTCGTTTTCTTGCTAATCCATACATATGAGAAGTTGAAAATGGAGCGTCATAGTAGTAATGCTATAAACATAACAAAGCAATTCATATAAAATATATTTCAAATTTTTCTGCATAAATACCAATATATATTATGCTATTGTTTATTTAACAAAACAATAATTTTTACTCATTAACTTTTACTCACTGTTCATATTAAAGAATAAAACTTAATTGTACCCAAAGACTTGTCATCCAATTGAGATATTTTGAGATAAACTTGATATTCAAGCATGGAAACATTTTATGACAAATAAGGAAAATCTAAAAATTTAATTAGATGCAGAACAATAAACTGTTGGAAAAGTTACATAAGTTGTATTTCATTATGGATAAATCTATTGTAAACAGATTACTTTTAGAGACTTTTATAGGATAACAGCTGATATTTTGTAGTTCAGCCTTTAACACTAATACTATAAAATAATAATAGAATGGCTATAAAATCAATATGTTTATTTATCTATTTTTGTGTTTTGTTTACAACAGTACACCATGTAATATTTCCATAAGAATATTACTATAATGCTCATTTGTTAAAAACAGTCGAAAAACGATACTAATCTGAATTTACAAGTATAGAATTATTCACGGAACATACATGTATAAATGCAACAAATGTGTAAACATGTGAAATAATGTAAAACATAAAAACGGGGGAATTCATATATAACGTTATATTAATTGTAATGAAAAATATGAAAGATTAATAATTATATGATAACTTTTTATTTCATAGTTTTTTTATAAATAATTTTACAATATAAAAAATAACTAAATAAAAATTAGTGTTTTGTTGATATGCAATGTGAAATTATATTAAAAAAATAAAAAACGAATAATTAATTATTACCTTAAACTCGCAACGTAAAAATTTGAAGATGTCAAAACTCCTAATGTAAATTTTCCGCAGCAACTTGCTACCAGTATTCATTTATTTATGAAGTAGTGGGGATATTAATACACGAGTATACTGAAGTGCATAGGTTAGGTTATGTCATCCGTTGTCATAAAAGATGGATACTTTTCACATAGTCAGATGTAGATAATGTCGTCACAATGTAGAATAGGCAATTGATACAGTAATCCGTTTTCAAATTCCATAATTATTCGATTCTATTCAATGCTTATATTTTCAGAAAATCCCTTACCAAATAGAAGAATGATCTTGTAAATAACATATTTCACTCAAATACAGATTCAAAATTTTGTTACAATTAAGCAATTACTGATTGTCAGATTAGCAGAAATTTTTAATGAACATGTAATTATTGATTTCACATAAATTTTTTATATGTAACCATTTACCAATAGTTTTTATCAATATATTTTAAGAGAGATGCATATTATTTTGACAAACAATTTTATTTTCACGTGAAAAAGCTAAAGGGTAGGTATATCTTTTAAAAGGTTAACAAAAAGTAACAATTATAACAAAAAGAATATTATATTCTTATTTAAAAACGATTCTATTGAACTCATTAAAGTAATGTTGAATTTTCTAAAATAAATTTAAATCACAGCAATTTCAGTTATGAAACTAATTTACCGCTGTTCGATAACAGAACATACCGAACTTGAAGCGATGTGAACCTACCTGACGAAGTGATGTGAATGGTCCTTAACAGAAATAAGTTCGACTAATGTGTGTTTGGGAACATCGTTTTTAAACCTAAAAAATTATATTGAATTCTTTTACGTTGTGTACTGTATACTGTACAAAACGCGTTTGCCCGTATTGTTTCAATTTACATTGAGATTTGGTTTTCATAATAATCGTAAACATTTGAATTCTAAGTCGGTTTTGCTTATTTTCAGTAATCTCTAATTCTTGATGATGAAGCTTTTATTGTTCCTCTGCTTCACTACGGTCCATGTTTTAGGTATGAACCTTCAAATACTTATACATTTTTGTCTAATGCGTAAAGGGTTGCTTAAGATTTTTTCCGTGATGTAATACTATATTTTTTCATTCGTTTCTTATTTAAAAAAAATTATTTAAATTTATGTAAATATGTATATGTTTTATACATTATGAAGTGATTTTAAGTATGAATGATTAATAAGTTTCGACATTTTTGATAGCCTTTGTTAGAAAAATCAAACTGTCCTTGGTAAAAATGAAGAAAATATATATCTGTATATACAATTAGTAATTTCGAAAATAAAAATTCATATTTAACGTAAAATCCTGTAAAAATCTGGAAAATTAAAAAAAGAGATTGCTGTCAACAGAAGATTTATATTAGGTCATCCCATAAGTTCGTGCCGTTTTTTATGGGATGACCTAATATATAAAAATAATTTATAGTACCAAAAGTCGTCAACATGGATGCAAAAGACAATGATAAAACATGGCCGATTTTGGTCTTCGCTTTTAACCAAACATTTTATGTTTTTTGTATCTATATACAAATGTTGTATAATTTGAATAGAAAAACTTTCCTCATGTAATTTGTAATTGTTGATTAGAAAATAAATGTATTTGGTTCAAAATAATTAAATAACCTAATTTATATTGTCTTTTTCAAAATAGGGGAAAATTCCAAAGATGTTCTTCCCATTAACAATGGTCCTAATAAAATGCTTGGACAAAATATTAGTGAACCAGTTTTTCAAGCAAAGTCAATGTCAAAGAAGATAGGGGTTGTTGTGGAACCTGTACCAGCTTCCTTAGATACAAATGAAAATAAAACAAAATCAGAAGAAACATTAAATAGCAGTACTGTTCCAAGTTCTACAGGCACTGCGTCTCATTCAGAAATTACAGTAACAGATTCTACAACTGTCCCTAGTACTACAGCTGTCCCTAGTTCTACAACTGAACAAGTTACTGAACCAACTACAACTGCAGCAATTAATCCCCCAGTGACATTTACTGAAACAAACAAGGCAACAGCATCTGCTATTAGTCCTGGCAAATGGATAGTTAATGGAACAAATAAGGTCTGTCTTGTGGTACAGATGTCCGTGGCATTTAATATTTCTTATATGGATGATAATCATACGGTTTGTATTATTATAATATTCATTATTACACTCTAAATAAAAATTAAGCACCCAGTAGAATATTATAAAATAGGAAAAAACAATAGTATTACACAGATGAAAATATAATGTTTAAGAAGAATAGTAGTAAAATTGAAATTTAATGTCAAATTAAGGTCAGAGTGTTAATATAAACAACTTTCTAGGTTTCCTTCAAAACATTTGACATGCCAGTGGACAATAGAACCACAACAGCAAACGGAAGTTGTGGTAACCTTGAGCAAAATTTAACTCTGTCATGGTCTTCCCAAAACCTAACTAATAATGGTAGCATGACCATGCACTTTGTGAAAAATGAAAGTAAAAGTTACTATTCATTCCATCATTTGGAAGTTGTTCTTCCAGCATCAGATTTTGAAAATACGTCTCTGAGTAAGAATTTCATTTTTACTGCCGCAATTAACGCTAGAACTATTAAACCAGTCAAAATGATTGTCTTCGATTTTTTTATTTTAAATTATAAATTTTTTTATGGTATTTTTTTTTAAATGTATGTTGGCTATTGTCAAGATTTTTTTACATTATTCTCAACTCAAAAATAAATGTACATCAAACTTTAAGCATAATGAGAACTAATTTTCTTTTTTACAAATAATTATATTTATTGGTGTTAAGACCAATATTTTTTTAATGAATATTTCTATACTTATGAATAGATGAATCGATGGTTTTGGTGCACAATGCATCCTATGCTACAGTCGGATTACACGTATCCTACAGATGCGTAAAACAGCAAACTTTTCATTTGACACGTAACAATACTAATGAAACCGCTGGTTATTTAACAATATCAAACCTTCAGTTCCAAGCTTTCAAAAATGACAATTCCACCGCCTTTGGTTTTGGTAAGTTCTAAAATCATTGTATATGTTTTGTTATTCTATAAGAAGCGTATTATGAACTAATGGTTAATTCTTATTTGTTATTAATTTTCAGCCGAAGACTGTTTCTTTGACACAGCAGACGCTGTTCCGATAGCTGTAGGTTGCGCACTAGCAGGATTAGTAATCATAGTATTAATTGCATATTTGGTTGGCCGCCGACGAAGTCAAGCTCATGGTTATCTTAGTATGTAACTTTTACGTATACTTTTCTTCAATTTTCCTTTTTTTTAAGTAAATAAGTTGATATTATAATTTTGTGTATTCCAAATCAAAACTATTTCTTTTTTGTAAATCTGTAAAGTTGTTGTTTGAGGGAATTTTTGATTATACATTCTTTTGTTCCCTTCAACGCAACAAATTTAAAAAAGAAAAAAAAACAGTCGAACATTCATTATATCTTTTTAAGAATCGCTTATTTTCTGGTTTGTTATCAATAAGAAGGATTTCATAATTGTATTTTTTCATACTTTTTGTCAAATCTCGAAAGATTCGTTAGACAATGTATTATCGTTTTACTTTGCGATATACATATATTACATGGTTAATTTTCATTAGTTAGTGTTACATTAAATATAAAGTTTAACAAGATATACTAATTGTAAAGAAAAACTGTGGAAGAAAAACAACTGTTTGAGAAACGAACGTACTGCAACAAAAAGTTTAACTGTGTGAAATTTGTAATGAATGCAAATCATTTATGATACCTTCTTCCGATAGTAAATGTCAAAATTGAATTGCATGAGAAATGATGCAACATATGTATAAAATGTACACGTTTTACTGTGATAATAATTTTAACCTCTTAGGGATGCTTCATGATTGTGGGGAGGTGATTTACTTAATGGTAGAGTGCATTGTCTATCTGACAGCAATGCGTGACGGACAATGCTGTTCTCTACATCCACGAAAGCCACTATAGTGGCGCGTCGCTCAGGAAGATAACATCTGCGAAAGTCACTATAGTGGCTCATCGTGCCTAAGAGGTTAAAAGAGATTAAATTATGCAAATAAGCATCGGGTTATTTATGTATAGTGATGTTAATTTTTAAGAAATCAATTTTTATCGTAATGGTACGTTCGTTGTTTGTCAGAAACCATGATAATTGTATTTTTTATTTTTATTGATATTAATAATACCAGTAAAAACCAGCGTATTTGCGAGTTACAGAACTTGGTTGCTAATAAATTACTATATATATCATAAAAATTATCTCTTCTATCAAGCTATTACCGATTAAATAAACAAGTTTTGACTCTACACGTCTAGACTTACATAGAGATACTTGCCCGTGGACAATTTATACGTGTATGTACCATCCGCGTCTGCAGTGATCTGTGACGGCATGGGGGCAAGGGGGTCCTTCGCATACATCGGACAGCACTCTAATCTTATTCAAGCCTAATTAGTAGATGTGACCGAGTCAACCAATAATACACTAAAGCCGAAAGTACATGGAGCCGAGGTGGGTCACGACCAATTGGACCCGGATTCCTTTCGAGTATCAGCTTAGCAAACGTGGACGGTACTTTTCTACGCATATACTGTCAAAACATTGTCTTTAGACTTGTATTTTATTTCTTATTGACTTCAGATTATCCGCAATGGATGCGGACTGTCCGCGGAGCGGCCCATGATTGATCCATTATTAATTCGCTGTTGACCTATTATTGATTCATAGTTTCTCCACGATCAATCCGCAATTAATCCACGATTGATAATTTGCTTCTCTACGTTTAAGGTTAAGCACCTTGAATTTTAATTTACCAAAGAAATGATACCCTCAGCATTGCAGCGTTACAACGATATCAGTTGTATGAGTTATACAAGTATGAAGGAATCCACATGTGCAATGTTCGTTGATTTCAACGTCGTCGTTGTTATAAGAAGAGATGTCAAAACACTGATGCATCATCATTGTAATCGGTAAGTCAAGATTTGATTTATATTAAGTTATGATCTCAGTGCTAAAGAATTTAAAATAAGAATAAATCATCATTAAAAATTATTTGTGTATAGTATCGAGCAAAGTAGGCTCTTTTAAGGAAAATGGTAATACAGGAGCCTGCAACATTGCCATTTCCCTGGGGAAGCCCACCATGCTCGATGCTGTACTTAATCGCTTATCTTGTGGAGAAAGTAATTTTCTGCTTTCTTAATTTCATCACTTACCACCAGATGGCGACAACATTTTAAAGTGTACCCATTACGAAATTTGAAAACATGAAAGTAAAGATTACACAATATCCTTATTAAATTAATTTCTTTATAACAATATAATGTTTTCCCTTATAATTTCACAAATTAAATAGTTTTAAATAATTTCTATTTATAATTTGTATTAGACATAAATGAAAATGTAAATTTGTATCTTAAGTAGTCCACTACTTATAAAATTCAAAACAATAAATAATAACAAACATCACAGAAAATTAGAAGTAAAGGATGCACATATTGTGCTAACTAATTTTTGTTCGCGTTGCTTATATTTTTCCGAGAATCTGGTCTCGTGTATCATAACGGAGGTATAAGGTAAAGAAAAGCACACAAGAAATATGTACATACACGTAGTGTAATGAACTTCCTATGCTCGACCATCTGTTTTTCTCTAGAAGTATAGAAAGGAGAAATCAGGCTGTTAGTAAAAGTAAGATCTATTTTCATTTGCAATGAATTGCCGACAGACATGCATTCATGACGAGAAGTAAACCGTGTTATCTATGCATACAACGTAATACCTACCACATTCTAGAATTCCCCACTTGATTTTTTAAATTACATACATATAATTTACATTAGATAAAACGATAAAGCTTAGTATATTAAATCACTAAGGTGTTAGAATACTGAAATACCAAAACATTCAGGCATTCGAACATTAATAAATCCTAAAAATATTAAATCACTCTACGCATATAAATACTGAATAGTATTATCGCTGGTATACTGACGTGTTTACAAGCGGATCTGTTGCAACATAACGCTGTAACCTAAATTACTGCTAATATGTAATTTATCTTGTTAGAACCAACACCAAAGAAAAAGTTATGTACACGCGCGTACACAAATATTCGAATTCTAAAAATTGTGATCAAACCTTTCAAGACTTATCAAGACTCAAGAGTCGTGTCTTCAAGACTTTGAAGGGGCTCTCGGATGATCAATATTCGATTAAAATTCAAATTGATTCCAAGCTTTCTCTAAATATTTACATTCGAAACGCTCGATGGGCCATCTACTAATTACTATGAGGGAGAGGGGAAAAGGGTTAGGTAGGCTGATAAACGAGCGGCTGTTGAACAGTGCACGACCATGCACGACTTCGGGCACGAACGCCAGTCGCAGCAATAGTGCAAAGCTGTGTAAATGCGTGCGTGCGTGCGTACGTTCATGATTTCCAGTCGGTGGGAGGTCAGCTTGGTCAGCCTTTCGGCGAGAACGATACGCGTTGCGTAGACGCGTCGTTCCCTTCTCTCCTTCCTTTCTTTCTCCTCTTCCTCTTCCTATCTTTTCTTCTTGTCCCCAAACTCGTGCAGTCGATTCGAAGCGTGTCAACTCCGCTGCCACTTATTTTACGCTCGCGTGAATTTTTTTAAAGATCTCTTTTAGACGATAATTAATTTAGTGTTCGCGTGGGCGGAGGTCCTTTGATTCGCTGAATGACGCACGGTACATACAACCGCTGAGAATATGTGTAATAACCTATGTAACGCGTTTTTTGCAAATATCGAAAATAAGTGTCTAGAGAATAGCTACCATGACTAATATCCTACTGTGATATGCCGGAAGTTTAACTTTTTGCTCTACGGATTTTCGAGCAACAAAGTGCTTTCTCGAAAGGCGATGGTGCATTATATTATCACGGCCCGATGATCGCAAACAAAAGCGTGAGGCAGTGATTTCTTTTATCAGATATCCAACGATTTTTCAAAAACGGAACTTCATCGAACGTTTTCGTCTGTCGAAATTGAGAATTTAATAACGAATGACGTGCTCATTCGAAACGTCATCGCGCGCGAACACGCGGAGAAAAAGTGATGCACGTGTATCTCACTGACATTTCTCTCGCGAGGACTTATGAGTCACTCTCCTTTACCGACAATTGCACTTCTACGCCGGTAAACAGTTCCAAGGATTCCATTGGAACAGTCGGTTGTGTAATTCGAGACGCGACTCTAAAGAGTGTGTCCTTTGTTTTACAATTAACACCGACCTCGCGGCGATAAACGTTGAACCGATATCCGGTGCACAGTCAACGCAGTGGTGTTCTGCTAGAACGTGGTGTAAATAAAAAGAGAAACTGTTCGTTTTATTGAAAATTAAGAGAGAAAAAAAAATGAAAATAATAAATTGAATAAAAGGAAATTATATTATATTTGAGATGTGGAGCATAATCAGAAACTTTCTGGAACAGTTCCTTTTATTGGGGCTGTTCTTTAGTATTTTATACTGTTTCCTCACTTCCACCTTCAATTTCTGGGAGATTCGCGGCGTTCCCTTCCGGAAGCCTACCGTTCTCTTCGGCAACTATGCATCTTTGTTGTTATTCCAAATATCATTGCCGGAAGGTATCAAGGAGATGTACGAATGGTTCAAGGACGAGAGATTCTTCGGGGCGTTTCGCGTGAAATCGCCCGTCCTGATTCTGCGGGATCCAGACCTTATCAAGAACGTATGCGTGAAGAATTTTGCTTGCTTCTCGAATCGCGGCATACCGGTGAATTCTCAGGTAAAAAATAAATCAAGTATAGTTAATTACACTCCTTATAAAATAAAGTGTAGTCAAAAGTTAAAAATGCAATATAAATTATATTTTTTGTAATCGTCGTTAGGATCCATTGTCCGCCCACCTGTTTAATCTAGAGGGAAAGAAATGGAAGAGCCTGCGGTCGAAGCTGACCCCAGCCTTTTCATCTGGCAAATTAAAAAGAATGTTCTACCTGCTGGCCGAGTGCGGGGAAGAGTTTCAAAAATTAATCGGATCCTCGTCCGAGGCCGATCGGCCAATCGAGATTCGCGAGTTGGCGGCGAAATTTACGATAGACGTCATTGGTAGCTGCGCCTTCGGCATACAAATAAACGCGCTCACCGACGAGGAATCCGAGTTCCACAGGGCTGCGAAAAAGCTCTCGAGACCAAGCTACAAGGCCACCCTATGGCGGATGCTTAGAACAGCTATGCCGAGGGTCTATAAATTTTTAAGCGTTCAAGTGATCAACCCCGAGGTAACGAGATTTTTCAAGAACGTCGTGTCGCAGATGCTGAAGCAACGAGAAGAGCACGGTATCAAGAGGCACGACTTTATGGACCTGTTGATCGAATTAAAAAATAAAGGCACTTTGGAAAATGAGGCTGGTAACGGGCACATTAGCAACGACGAAGATGCGGATACCGTCGAGGAAATAGGTAGGTTAATCAGAAAAACATAGACATTTGTGAAAGCGTAGAAATAAACTCGCTTTATAGCTATATCGGTCAGACCCCTATCGTTTGTATAGATTACTCCCTACGAAGATAAATCGTGCAAGAGAAATGTTGTTCACCTTAACGTGTGGGCCGGTGAACTTGATACCGAGGCCTGCGATATACATTTTTTCAAAGACCATTAAGGATGGGTCTATCCTACCTATTACGATGGAGTAATAGAATTTTTACACTTAATAAATGAAACTTTTCTTAAGTTCGTATCAATTTCGAACCAGTTAATTGTATCAATGAAGAGATATTACATAATTGATAACTCTTCTTAGTGTGTTATTCGATGCACGCTTCAAACGATACCGTTCTGTAACAAATTAATCAAGATAAAATTGACAGTAAGTGCTCCATTCATATAGCCGCTTTAACGGTAATAAAACTGTGGCGTTCTCGAGTTAAATGAAACGTTTCATTTACTGCTGGCGATGAATGATAATTAAGAGAATATTATTTAATTATTACACTGAAGCGACGGTGAATATAGTCATGTAAATTAACAAAATTTATTTTTATGACCGAAAGAAGCGTTACGTCGTGCACGTAAATAATTTTTTTTCCGGATAACTTTATCGCATAAAAATGATTTGTTTGTAGAACTGGACGAGAACAGTATTGCTGCCCAAGCGTTTGTATTTTTCGCTGCCGGCTACGAAACTTCGTCCAACACCATTGCATTTTGCCTTTACGAGTTAGCATTGAATGCCGAGATTCAGGAAAGAACGAGACGCGATATTCAAGATGCCATCGACAACAGAGACGGAAAATTGACTTATGATGCCGTGCAGGACATGAAATACCTTGATATGGTTATAGCAGGTAATAATTAATCGAACCTCGGTAAATTGCATTCACTGAAATGATTTCATATTCTTGGGCCGATATTATTTAGTGTCTACCGATCTCAAGAAGCCCCGCTAATTAGGCTCGTGTAAAATTAGGGGGTCAGTCAATATGTGTGTACAGTACTCCCTCTTGCCCCTGTGCCGTCCGGCAGGACTTCTTGTGATCGGTGAACAGTACATATATTTATCCGACATGAGTCAAAGGTTGCAAGTAAAAATTGTGACCCCGATAAAAAATTATCTTTATCGCATTTGTAATTCGCTAAAAAAGAAACAAAGACAATTAATATTAATATATTTTACGTTTAAATATTAAACTCGTTCATCCTATTCATTTGTTTAATAAAGGAAGCTCATTTTTTAAATTTAATTTTCAGAAACTCTTCGAAAATATCCACCGGCGTCGTTATTATCTCGTAGATGCGAATATCAATATCAAATACCGGGTAGTAAAGTGGAACTACCACCGGGTATGCGGGTTATTATACCAATTTATGGACTCCACCATGATCCAGATTATTATCCGAACCCGGCGACGTTTGATCCTGAACGGTTTACGGAAGAGAACAAACGCACGAGGCATCCGTATACGTATCTTCCATTTGGCGAAGGACCAAGAAATTGTATAGGTAATTTTTTCATTGCAACCGTTTTTAATAAAAAGATAAATAGCAGAAATTTCCTTTGATACATCACACAAAATTATAATAGTTAATTATAATTGTTACGTGTTTCAGGAATGAGGTTTGCATTGTTACAAATTAAAGTGGGTATCATTTCATTCCTAAGGAAGCATAGAGTAGAGGTTTGTGAGAAAACAGTTATACCAATCAAATTTAGTAGAAGAAGCTTGGTAACGACGAGCGAGAATGGATTCTGGTTAAAAATTGTACAGTAGTCTTAAACTATTTTTAAAGTTGCAGGAAAAGAACCTTTAACATATACACATTGATGACAAAGTCTGTTGTGTACTTAATATACCTCAACAAAGTAATCAATATTTTTTTTAATTCTTTGATACAATCAATGCTAATACAGTCAATCAATAACTTTAATATCAAGCTTTAATTGTTTGTTCATTGAAACTATTAATCAGTTGTATTCATTATATTAGTCAGAAATTGCAATCTCGATTTAAGTTACCATAAATAGTGTATTTAATTTTTTTTGCTATGTTACAATTAATTATTGAGTAAATTTTAATATAATGATAATTAGAAATTATTTTTAAGACAATAGTTTATTACAAATGTACTTTTAGTATAATATTCTTATACAAACGAAACATTTATATTTTTGTAAACATTTTATGTACTATAAAGAACACATTGTATAATGTACTGTTGTAACAAATATGGCATTAGAAATAAAAAAATAAAAAATACATAACTGTAAGCGAATCCCACGCATCCCGTCTATGTATTAAATCGGCGGTAATCAAATAAGGCTCGCTATTCAGGATGAACAAATTAATCATTCGAACAGTCAACACGCCAAAAAGAGTTAATGTAATCTAACTGTATACCATCACTGCTTTCAATTACATTGTCAGTATAGTCAGTCTTAAATTACATTGTTTCTTTGTATCGATTGCAAGACGTGTCGTGTATAGTAGTATTCGCATGCACTATAGTATTTTGTTACATGCACAGTACGTACTTTTTGTTGCGTCTTCTATAATACCCGTGTATTGTCTATTGGTGGCAGCAGCTCCAAGTCAGTGCACTCTTCGTTCATAGAACGATTTGTATGTAGATAGCTGCGTATGTATAGTAAGTCGTTAATACGGCACATAATTATACGATCAAAAATGTCATTTCCTTGATTAGGTGACAGTGCTATTTTACCAACTATATCGTTTTTCTGCTCGAAGATTTTCCGCAGTATCTGACAGCGAGATATTTCACCGAAAATAATGCTACGGTGAGCCGTAAATCTGTTTACGTGGATGCGTACCTCTTCTGTCACTTTAAATTGATAACCGGGCCCTTTAAACGATAAACTCTACGTCTATGCAAACAATACACCTCCCCCATTTTTATCAAAACACGTGTCTGGATATCAATCAAAGTAAACGAACAGGATTTGATACCCATCTTTTAATTCACTTGTTACTACTTCCAACATTCATTTATAATGTATGATTAACACTTACTGATTAATACTTGTTAAACAACTAATTTATTACAATTAGTATGATTATTGTTTGATTAATTATGTTAATAATAAAATTTGATATTCTCGTATGTATACTTCAATTATAGGTTAAAACGAACTTAATTGTTACTCTTTTGACATATTTCTTTGTTGCAAATCAAGTACATGTTATCTATCTCTTATATTAATGAATGTTTTCCTTCTAGTTTTAATCAGTTTTTAATTAAATTGTAGATGTCACACTACAATAGAAATGCAAGTACTCAGAGGTCTACGGTGATCGATTATGAGCGTCAATTTCAAGAGGACCTAGAGCGTGCTCAGGCATTGAGTTTAGAAAGCCTTGCTTTAGAAAAATTTAAATTACAAAAGCAACGTTCGGAATTTAATCATGTACACCAATCTTGTGTACCGCAAAGTGACATACACACAGGGAATAATGTTATGCATAGCAATTCATCAGAGAGAGATAATACACCGCAAAGTGAAAAGTAAACTATATTTGATTATTGTTTCGTATAATCTCTCTAAGTGACAATCAGAGGTGACTAATTTTTAAATATTTAGATTTCAGAGTAGAAGCAGACCAAGGCCCGGTTCCTTTAATACCAATCAATCGAAGAATACTGTGATATTAGCACCACCACCACCAATTCCATCTCGAAGAAATTCCACAACAGCTACAACGAGTCAAGAACAATCAGGTGACTTGATTAACTTTACAAGTCCAGTGAAGCAAGATGATCTAACTGATTACTGTTCACCTCCACCTCCACCACCGTAAGTTTATTCTTACCTAATAATTTTCTTACGTTATTACTAATAAATTGTTCTTATTTCACAACAGAAAACCATTATTAGAACCAAAATGGGAAACACATCCTTCGTTATTAAAGAAACAAGGAAGAGTATCACGTAGCAGTAGTATCGCCGGTTATCATTCTCGAGACTTCCGATACCAATCACTCTCTCCTAATCCTAGATCTTCCACCGCACCTTGCACACCGGGAACTCCAAAAATTAGTCCTATCATGTCAAGATCCAGTAGTATTAACAGTACTGTACCTGATGTAACACCACAAGTAAGTAATCTATATCATTAATCTTCTATAAATACTTGATAACAATTAAAGTGTCATTTTTTTTTCTATTTGGATGATGATTTTATTTGATAACTCTCATTACAGCTTGCATGGAATCTTAATGATTTTAAAACTTACTTTCTTGCACAGGTATATGGATTGTGTATAAGCGTTTCAACTTAAACATTAGCCAAAGAACATTATTTATATTTTTTAGTAGAATTTTTCCACAATAACATTAAATAGATATATAATATTTGAGATCTTTTCAAGAACAAATCACAATTTTTTTTTTTACAGATACCTCCATTACCTATGAATTACAGACCAAGTATTACTCCTTCTGTATGTGGTGTACAAAAACCTATGTTCTCTAAGGATGATGAGCAGCTAAGCGTGTTGAAAGTGGTAGAAAAGAAGCCAAATAATAATCTTATAGACTTGAGTTCTTTTGATCAAGTAGAAGATAAAACAAATGTACGAGTTAGCGTTTTAGAAGCGTTTGATCCGTTACTTGTTAAGACTGACGATCCTAATGAGAGTGCACGGGGGCCTAAAGACGAGATACAAGTCAGTGGATCGGTATATGACCCGTTCGATCCATTTGATTATATGTATAGCACAAATGAAAGTGTTAATTCAGATCCGGTATACGTTGCTGTGGAAAAATCTGCTAAATCTCCTGCTGTATCACCGGCGGCACCGCCACCGCTACCTCCTAGGAATTCATCTGCTTGGAATACCATTGAAAGAAGAAGAACTTCGTTAGACAGAAGACAGAAACGACAAACACGTTTGTACGAGAACATAACGGTCCGAAAAACTAGACCATCCCTCCATGATTGTGATTTAAAGGCTTTCCATGAAATGATGAAATCTGTCCGAAGTGAATTTCCCTTTAACGATCCTAGTACAAACATCGGACATATAATCAGTCCGATGATGGAGAACTTATATCCTGATGGCACAAGTATAAAATTAGTCGTACATCCACAGTTAGTGGATTCTAATGAAAATACTCCGTCCATATCATTCACCTGTGATGTAAACTGTAGCGTTGAACATGTTATTCTCAATGTCGCTTGTTCCTTAGAGGACGAGGATACGGTGAACGTAGAAAAATATTGTTTGAGAGTATGGGGATTAGCAGAATACTTTGCACCTAATACAACTTTAGCTCAATACGAATACATACATCAATGTATCAAATTAGAAAAAGACATCGAGTTAGCTATTCTAACTAAAGCACAAATAAAGCGATCTATAGCGCGAACACTGCAGGATGATAATCGTGATCAGTGTCTCAAATTAGAAGACATTCTTCCAAATGAACCAGTACAACCAATATCGTACGATACGCTTCTTATCTTGCTAGAGACAGTAGAGAAAGAAATGGAACGCGTAGAGACTACTGCGATACAATTGGCAACTAGTAATCATGGTACTAGTCTTTTGCCCCAGCTGCAACCACGTGGCGTTGTTCAAGCGATAAAAGCAGTCTGTGCATTAATGGGAAACATAGAAATGTTTGAAATTACAGAGGCTGTTGACAATTTTGTGAACGCGTGTTGTCAATTTCTGCCCCAAGTTCATACGACAAACATCGAATGCAAGAAACCAGAAATCTTACACGAAGATGGTGATTATTCTGTTGTTACTTTAAGAACAAAGTTTCCAGATGTAATTGCATCCCATTGTCATAAAATACGTGGGGCGATTCAAGATCTTGTAGAAACTTATTGTCATGCATTTAGAGTTGATTTTGAGTTAAGTAGCAAAGCAGAATTTCCAACAGGTAAGTAAGAAGAATTTCATTTTATTTCTATGTAATAAGTTTGATAGAAATAACATATTTTGATATAACAGATACGTTGATAGCGTCTGAAGTATTGGATACCATATTAGTTCGCGTTGGAGCAGTTCATAGATTGCCAGGATCATGGAAACACGATGATTATATTATAGCAGCCCAAATATTTCACGGTACAAGACCTGTTGGAAATCCAGTTTTATCCGAACCTATGACAGTCAGTTCTAATTTTTATCCAAGAATTTTGTTCAATTCATGGTAATTATCGTGATGTCTGCGATCTAAAAATTATACTTCATTTTTTAAATCTGCATTATAATTTTCAGGTTGGAATTTCGTGGCATAAGCGTCTGCCAGGTACCAAGAGAAGCGAGGCTAGTGTTAGTATTGTACGGTCGTACTTTACAACCTACCGAGCATGAATCTAATTCCTCGGCAGAAAATACCATGCAAAAGGAAGAATTAGGTTGGGGAGCTATACAGTTCTTTGATTTCGAAGGGTAATTATATGTACATTAGATTAAAGGAAAAGATTTTGTCAGTTTTAAAATGTATTCCTTTTTCTTGGTCACAGAGTGATGAGTCAAGGAAGTTTCTTTTTATCTCTGTGGCCAGCAGTTGCTGATAAGAGATTAGGTCCTGCTCCTGCACCTGGAATTCATCCTCAAGGGGATACGCATGCTATCATCGGTTTAGAATTACCCGATTATGGTGGCAAAGTGTTATTCCCCACAGAATTAAGGGATTTTGATGTTGAATCGTTGGACTTTAATTCCTTAGATCAGAATACACAAGAATTATTAATAGACATTACACAGCAAACTACCTTTACAAGGTACATATATTTACAATCTTTAGTTATTAATAATATAACATTATTATTTATTTCTTTTATTGACAGACCACTTATCGAGGAGAGGGAAATTTTATGGGAGAAACGTCATTACTTACACGACAGACCCGAAGCTTTGCCCAAAGTGCTTTTAGCTGCGCACAGTTGGGACTGGGCTTGTTTACCTGATCTTCATGCATCTCTCAGGGTTTGGAGTGCTTTGCCTCCTGTTCAAGCTTTACAATTACTGTTACCTTGGTAACCGCTGTTTTAAATCAATCTTTATAAATATGAATTCATTAATCGCTTCAATTAATCATAAGTACTGTATAGTTTTCCAGATATGAAGGTTAGAGAAGTAGCGGTTGGCTGGATTCGAGAATTGAGTAACGACGAATTGGTAGATTATTTACCACAATTGTTGCAAGCATTGAAGCACGAAACATATGAAACATCACCTCTAGCAAGATTCTTGTTAGAACGAGCTTTACTTTCTCCACGTGTAGCTCATCACGTTTATTGGTTGTTGACACAAGCATTACCAGGACAAAGTCCTCAGGTAAAAACTGAATTATTATTAACGAATTTGAATTTTACAAGATGCGTTACATTATTTTAAATTTCTTAGAATTCTTCTGAAATTGGCTCAGAAGATGATAGAAATATTAGTTCCACACGCTATCACAAAAGACTACAATTAATGTTGCGGGCATTACTAGCTGTTATTGGCGATGCACTAAGAAATAGTTTTCTTACCCAACAATTACTTGTCAAGGTAAATTATTTTTTTATATGTTTTGTATTTTTTTTATAAATCTAACAATAATAATAAATCATATTCTTATAGAATTTACACGAAGTAGCTGAAAATATAAAACAATTGAAAGATTCGTTAAGAATGGATGCGCTGAAAATTAGCTTACAAAATATACATTGTCAATTAATGGAAGATGATGGTACATGTTTACCATTGTCTCCCAGTAAACAAGTATTCGGTATAAATGTACAAAGCTGTTCGTATTTTCCATCGTTCACTCTTCCCCTGAAAATCAATTTCATTAGCTGTGACGATGTAATCTGTCCTGCAATTTTTAAAGTACGTTTATCACGCAAATATCTCGTATAGTATTTTATTATTATTTTACATTAAAATAATTTTGAAGGTTGGAGATGATTTACAACAAGATATGTTAACGCTTCAAATAGTTCGCATTATGGATAAACTTTGGCTGAAAGAGGGTCTTGATCTTAAAATGGTAACATTTACTTGTGTGCCTACTGGGTACAAACGTGGGATGATAGAAATGGTCACGGACGCGGAAACTTTGAGAAAAATACAAGTCGAATTCGGTCTGACTGGTTCTTTTAAAGACCGACCGATTGCCGAATGGCTGGCAAAGCATAATCCTTCTGAATTAGAATACGAAAGGGCTGTAGAAAACTTCACTGCATCTTGCGCGGGCTACAGTGTTGCTACTTATATCTTAGGGATTTGTGACAGGCATAATGACAATATTATGTTAAAAACATCTGGTCACCTGTTCCATATTGATTTTGGTAAATTCCTAGGTGACGCACAAATGTTTGGAAACTTCAAGAGGTAAAACATTGTAATTGAAACATTAATCGTTACTTCTTCAAAATATTCATATGTATACTGTATTTTTTTATTTAGAGATAGAACACCGTTTGTATTAACTTCTGATATGGCGTACGTTATAAATGGTGGAGATAAACCATCAGCTAAATTCCATCATTTTGTTGATTTATGTTGTCAAGCATTTAACGTGGTACGGAAGCATGGAAATCTTATTCTTCATCTTTTTGGATTGGTAAGTTTACTGTTTCATTTAATATTATTATACAGTAATACAGACATTTTTATTTATAATACATTCATTTTTAAGCTCGATAGTGTTGTAATTTAAATGATTATTCCGTTACAAAAACAAAAATACCGCAACGGAAGGACTTATCCTCGCGTTTTATCTGAAAGTGGCCCGCTATCACGCTAAACTATATGCGTTAATTAGTGTTTATCGCCCGAGGTCTCGTAATATCAAACAATGCAGCAGTCTGAGTCAATTAAGAGAAGAGTAAACATGCTAAAAATTTCAGAAAATTAATAACAGTAATCTGTTAACTTAATTTGTGTATCATAAAGTTTACACGTTAGATCTGTCGTCGTCTTAAAAATAATATGACTGAATTAAACGTTATACAACAGAAACTTGCTAATATCGAGATCAAAGAATTAGCGAACAAATCTAAAATGAATAACTATACGAATTCACAGATGACTTCGTCTGGTATTCCTGGTGTAACGGTGGACGCGGTTAGTTATGTACAAAAAGCTCTTCTTCCCGAACAAACGAATCCCGAAGCTGCCGCGACATTCGCTCGAATGATCGAAAGTTCGCTTAAAAGTTGGTTCACTCAATTCAACTTTTTCTTACACAATTTGGCACAGCTTCGATTTTCGGGCGATCACAGTGACGGGGCATTGTTGTCGTTTATTCCACGTACATACACGTAAGTTTGTCAATATAAATTTCACAAAATTGTATGAAAGTTTGAAATAAAAGGCATTATTTTTTAATTGTTACAGAATGCAGCAAGAAGGTCAATTAACAAGCGTTCAAGTACATGGGTATCAAAAACGATATGACCCTGAAAAATATTACATGTATATATTGCGTATACAGCGAAAGGGTCACGCAGACCCCACTTATTTATTTAGATCCTATAAAGAATTTTGCGAATTTTATCAGAAACTGTGCATTCACTTTCCTCTTGCTAAACTCGCCAGGTAAGTAACATTTATTTTCTTTATATAACACAAATAAAATTATTTACTAATTTAAACAATCTATATTTCTTTGTTATTTAGACATTTGTTATTTATGCTTATAATTAACGTTGTTTGATTTCTTAAAATTATCGTTTACATTCTTCTGTGACTCATTAGGGTCATTCTGTGAAATTTTTCGATAAAATTCGGGATTATAAGACAAACCAGATATTTTTTGTACTGGTATTTTAGCACGAAATCGTCTGAGCCCCATTTCTAACTTTATGATATTTCCCTTTAAAATAATACAAAATTATTTTTACATATTTACTGTGTATATAATATGTGTATACTTACTTCTGGAAATGATTGTAAATCTAAAACGGTAGCGCGTTCTAAAGCTGCTTGTAATTAACAAATACTTTATATCACAGTGTCAGAATTGAACTGTGTTATCTTTTCTCGTACTATCTAATCACACCAAAATCTTTGATACATAGCAAATTTCTTTTGAAATCATGATCCAACCAATGACTCAAATTTTATTTCCTGCTTATAATGATTTTTCATAATTAAAAAATTTATTTCACAGTTTACCAAGTGGTATAAGTGTTGGAAGATCTAATATAAAACAAGTTGCTGATAAACGCAGAGCAGATATAGAAAAATTCCTTGTAAGCTTATTTAAAATGGCACCAGAGATTTCCCAAAGTGATCTGGTTTACACATTCTTTCATCCTCTATTGAGGGATCAGCAAAATGCTGATATTCATTTACGCAAAGTAAAAGGTATGGTGGAGCTTTGAAAATATGGAAATATTATAAATAAATATTAATTATCATCATTGTTTTTTTTAAATTTGTTTTTATTCAGTTGGCAATTGGTGGGCCGAGAAAAGAGTCAGGGACAACGTTCAAAATGGACAAATTAAAATGTCTCTTCATTATACTCGTGGAGCTTTTTATGTGATGATTTATCATGCAAGAGGATTGCCAAAAGTGGCTAATGGTCAAGAACCGAATACATACGTAAAAGTTTATCTTAAACCAGATCCTACAAAGAAAACAAAACGAAAAACAAAAGTTGTGAAGAAAAATTGTCATCCTTCGTTTATGGAAATGGTAGCAAATTTAAAATAATTAATGAATTTATATCATTAAATATTTTGAACCTACATGTTTATTATTCCTTACAGCTAGAGTATAGAATGTCTTTGGATGTTATTAAAGAAAGAACTCTAGAAGCTACAATATGGAACCATGATACATTGCAAGAAAATGAGTTTCTTGGTGGACTATGTTTACCACTTGAACGTTTTGACCTGACAAATGAAACAATTGAATGGTTTTCATTAGGAAGTGTTCGATGAAACGATATTCATAATTTCTTAATGAATTTATTAATACTCATGGCTATTGATTCTGGAAGGAATTGAAAATATTCAATGTTATCGCACAATACTAATGATAATATTTTTATGTTATGCACATAATAGTGCAACAGGGATAATAATAGTAATATCACTACGATCGGTATTGACGATACATGCTTTTATGCATAATGAAAACGCTTCTTAACCCAAGGTAATCAGTGATCTAAAAACTTATAAAACGATATTAAATTAATGAGATCATAGATGAAGAGGCATATTTCATAAAATTATTCTACCTTTGTAAGAATTGCCAAGATACGAAAAATCAAGTTCTTATTTTACTTAATCTTTACATATCTAATCATGAAATTGCTTATAAATTTTATTTAAGTTATATTTTATAAACATATACTGCCAGCTGAATATGAAATATTTTGAGTTCACAGTATTCTAATGCTGTTAGTGAAATTTTATAAAAATATTTATTCTATTCTTATCAAAACTTAATCTTTATTAACTGTAAATAAATTAAAATCTTGCTGAGCTATGCAGTTGTAGACGATCGAATGCTATATTTGCTGAATAGTTATGAGTTTGACAATATGTAAACTTTTATACTTACATATAGTAATATCTACTTGGATACAAGTTACTTGCCTACAATAAGGAATACGTTAGGTAACGAAAAAAACATTTTTTACTTTCATAAGAAAATTTTAATCTCTACAGGGTGTCCCAAAAAACCGCCTTGTATATTAAAGTAACCAAAATGCCTTTCCATACAGAGCAATAGGATTTATATGAAAGGAAATTTTGTGAATTAATGTGTATTATAAATTTTTTTTTATTTTTAGATGAAAAAAGGGAGAATGAAATTATGTAAATATGCTTTTGATTTTATAAGTAATTTTCGTAATCATGTATTGTGAATATTTTAGTATAATTCTCTTTAGCAAATATTACTATAACAAAAGTAAAGGTTCTGTTAATACATTACCGACGGGTGATTCGTTAGATTTTTACTGTATGCAATTTTTTACTTATTGACATATTAGTTTGTCACTAAACTAATAACAATATAATTAATCTAGTCTCCTGTTGTTAGTGTATTAATGTAATTAATTATGATCTTGATTTTTGTTATAGATTTAACTGAATAATTTAGCAGTATACGTTGTACTTTTTTTTCGCAATCGTGTAGAATCTGATCTAATTATAATTAGAAAAAAATATTAATTTTATAATATATACATATGTATTTATCAATTACAAATTGCTTTTGCATGTGCTTTCTATAAACTTTACGTTGTGAGATATAATGTTAAGAATTTTAATAATTTATTTATACATTATCTGTAATTATTCACTAGTGGTTCTTTTAATCCAATGATTTAGAAATATAAATAACAAATGACACAAATTGTATCATTGCATTTTAACTGCATCCTTTTCTCTCTCTGTGTTACTACTGTACACCACTGTATGTACAATATTGTACAAAAAGCGTTTAATTTTGGTAATACCTTATTTATTTTTCAATTATTTAGCGTGACAATGAAATATTGTAACGGTGAAATAGTAAAATTATCAATACAATTGATCAATAATCCTGTTTTTTTTTTTTCTTAAATTTAAATAAATTTTAAGTTGCAGCAGTAAGCAACTGGAGGATTTAGGACCTACGAGGTTAGTCATATTTTTAGATTCCCTGTTCGTCCCAACGCAAGGTGCATAATTGCAAAAGGTTTCGGTTTCAACGTGGACAGAGCCGGAAACGGTAGTTTTCTATTTCTTCCCACTTTTGCTGTTCAACGGAAACGAGCTACCTGGGCCCCGACGCGTAAAGGGCGCGCGTACTGCAAAAGGATTCCAGATACATACGCAGGGCGGACGTTTTATTACAGTTTTCATCCGCAGATTAGCCCCTTTGGAAGCATCGATACTCGATTCAGAAGCTTTTATAGCACCCCCCATAAAACTAAGCTATTTGGTGTTTTCGACTGGACCGAGCAACTCGGACAAAAAGGTATGCCTTCCCCCATCACGCATCCCTAGGAATTTCTCGGTATACGTGAAACGTTGTTACGTCTCGGGGTCCAATTACGTACGGGTTGCCGACCTGACAACCTTCTTTCACAGTTCCAAACGCTGCATCCTTTTATCTTCTTCCCTGATCCTGATTTCCACCGTTCACGAACCGAACCCATGGAACCATGCTACGTGGTTGTGTGGGCACCACGAGAGAAGAAACGCTTTTTAACTTCTTTGTCGTAAAATTTACAAGGAACTCGGATATACCGAAATTTCTATTTTAACACTACTTCAGGAAAGATTTCAACGTTGTAAATCATAGATGCGTTGCTAACACAGAGAGAAGCTACACATTTCTGACGGGAACGGAAACAATCTGAAAGTATGTATTACAATACCGAGATAATTTATAGAATGGTAGTTGTGTACAATGACGTTATCATGGAAATCGATTCGAGTGGCTTTACGCGGTGTTTGGTTTTCCTTTTTGTAACGGTAATCTGCCGCGGTGATCGAATTATCATTATCACGCCATCAAAATCTTATGTACGCTTTTTCTTTGATATGATTAACCCCTTGCCTTATAATAAATATCATGATGCAATGTACAGTTTAAATATGACAGATTTGAATTTTATAATTTAGAGCCCCAGCTCCGGACGCCTGCAACCCGAGGCGTTGCAGAGATGTAAAGGTTGCAGAGATGCAAGGGATGCAGGAGTTATTGATTGTTGTATATATAAATAACCGAAAAAAGAAGTTAAGTACATTGAATAACTAAAATGATAGAAGAATTAAATAAATAACTGAGAAAAGAAATTACGGGTATTAGGTAAATAACTCGGAAATGAAATTGGTTCACTTAAATAACAACTCGGTTGCTTTTTTCTTTGCGTGAAGTGAATACAAGTTTGTCAAACAATTTTAATAATAATTATTCAGTCTTGTGCTGCTTTTGACTGATTTCTAAAAATTTTCAGGTAAAACAGGCATGATTACCATACCGGCTGTGCTCTCTGCATGTGGACTTAATCTGATCTGGGGTGTCTGGGACCCCCTAAATGGTGACCTCTCGAAAACAAAGGTAAGTAAGTATGTCCAGTCTTTTGCATCTGTAGTTACTGGTCTCGGTGAGAGGAAAAATGGAGGGAGAGTCGCGGAGAGACGGTTGCGTGTTCGCAGGGGTTGATTTCAGTGGATGAAGAGGGGCTGGGGTCGGACATCGATCTGGTAGTTAAGTTGAGGGCTCCCACGGGACTCGTTCGCCACCTTCGCAGCATCGTCTCCTCCTCTTGCTTTATTTGTCTCGGCGCGAATTTCCTGGCATCGGTTACACGTCCTAGCCGCCTCACATAAACGGCATTACACGTTTTTGTGCTTGTATTTATGTACAATCTAACGAGACCCATTCGACCGAGCGTCGCGGAGATACTGGAAAACTTTTGATCCGCGGAGGGGGATGGAGTTTAATCGTTATTGCGGTTCGTTTCAACGGAACGTCGCAAAATTTTACTTAAGTGGAATCGATTTAAGAAAACGATATCGATTATCGGGGGTCGTTGAAGGTTCTTTATATCCATGTTTACTAAGATCTTTGCATCTCAAGCATTTGATTAGAGTAATTGAATAAAGGTAAACGATGGGATTACTAAACATTAGACCGTATATTTTAAAGTTTGCAATGCGATCACATATCGATATAATACTAGGCTTAACGATCGTGTAACATTCATTAGTATTAATAATGTTAATATTTAATATAATAACTTACGAATTGCGGTATTTTATGTAACTATGTACACATAATTCACGTGAGATTTTTAATGTTGCGTTACAATCTTCCTCTTATTCACAAACATACACACACACACATACACACATACACATGCATACATATACACGCGCGCGTCTACAGAAAATCGTGATTGCGTGTTGAAGGGTTGGCAACGCTCAAGGCACACGGCTCGTAAACATCGGCTCTCTTATTTTTCATTTCCCTCTCGAAAACAGCCTGTATATTTTTCGTCTTTTTTTTTCTTTTTCTTTTATTCTTTATTGTCATTAAAATTCGATCTAAGAATCTACCGTCGAGTAGCCGTAAAGCGAAATAAAATATCGAGAACGGAAAAGAAAAAAGAGAAACTCGTTTCGAGCGAGAAGGTAATAAAAGTCGAAGATTAAAATCGGTACGTTTAAAAGTTGCGTAATTACGACACGACTTCGTTTCTCGTGGTTTTCAAGGCATATATAGTTTACGTATGTATAATTCCCATCTTGCACTTTCCCCACAAAGTGATTTTTAACAAGTATTTAAAAAAACAAAACACATCGTTTATCGCATCCCATTTCGCATAGGTGAAGCAGTACGCGTGATTTCTCGATATAGACTACGCTGTTTTACAATTTTACTCGATCCAAATTTCTACGGTCCTTGCGGCTGGGTATGAGGACCCCGATTCCAGCCATCTTGTTTCGACGTTCGACTCTGAACGTCCGTCTTTGCTTCTCGTACACCCCGGTACATTTTTACCATGTTTTCGCCTCACGCAATGTCTTTTACACTAACAATCCTCTTCATTCCCGTTCGTCATTTTCAGATCCCCCATCCCACGAACTGTAGGGACTTGAAAGATAACACAAGGAAATTTAACAGTAAAAATAATAAATATGTGATTGAATAATAGCTCGCAAGATCATCTTACAAAACTCTCAGAAACCATAACGCGCTTTTGAGTATTCTTGTACAACAACAGAATAATGATGCTGTAGAGTCATATCGATCCATATCAAAAAGGAATTGAATACTTCAAAGCAGAATAATTTTTTTTTTCTATAATTTTTAAATTTTCTGAGAGCATCTTGCGAGTTGTACTTTTAGAACGCATCGAATGAACCCATTTATCATTTTTATTGTTAAATTTATCCGAGTTACCTTCGAGGTCCCTGTACATATATTTCCTAACATTTTTTCGTTTAAAATCTAACTTAATGCGACGTTAAATTCTAACCACTGGATACGAGTACAGTGGTTCGTGGTTTTCTAAGGCAAAGATTGCACGTGTTCCTTGTTTTCGTTTTTCGTAAAATATCGGCTAGCCGGAGATCCGATCGTCAGTGCAATTGTTTTCTGAATCATCCACGAAGCGTTGTAACATAAAATAAATCTATCGTTATCTTCTGTGCTCGTTAAAAAAAAAAAAGAAAGAAAATAATAATCCTTAGGTAAAAATCGTAAAGCGATTCGTGGTCAGAACTTCGTTCTAGCGAAATTGAAAATAATACTGAGCATAAAAACGTAGCGTGTCGCGACCGACGCCGTGGTAGACCCTCGAACTCCTCGCTGTCCGTCATTACAATTCCTCGTGAACCGACGCGTGGGACGAGGATAACGATAAATGCCAACAAACAGACCCAACAGACATCCAGAAATAAAAAATATAAAATAAAATCTCCGTCCACACAGTTACCAGTCTTGACACAATCTCACGAACAAAGACCATCGTTCCCCGGCCGTTTATCTAACGCGGCGAAGTACGATGAATGAAAAACGTGAACCCCGATTTGAAATCATCGAACTTCGGCGGAAGAGCCTCGCGGATGGATAAATGTTCGATCTTAGCCGCGAATAGTGTGGAAAACTCACGGAGGACGCAGGTTCTGTCGCAAAGATCGAGCGTGCCGGTGATGGTGACCGATGATCTTTTCGTGATCGCGGATGAAACGATGGCGTTGCTAGGTCAGCCATGACTGGACCAAGTATCAGCGAGTTCAGGTTCCTCAGGTCACAAGCCCAACACCGTGTGCAGATGAGCGTGTTGATGGGCGTGCGGATGCAGCGAAGTAGGCGCCTGGCCCAAATTAAGCGTGTGATGAGACGGGTGGCCTAGGGTCAACGGTGGAGAGCCTCCGTTGTGCATCAAACCGCCCAGCATTCCTCCCATTCCACCGAGAGTTAGACTGGCCATTGCTCCGCTCGTTATACCGTCCCCCGATTTCGTGTCCTTCTGTTCCAACTCTTCCCTCTTCTTCACCTGCTTCCGTTCTTTCGCCCGTCGGTTTTGGAACCAGATTTTCACCTACAACTCACCGAATCGCTACGTTATCTTCAATTACGTCTACGAATTGCGATCGATGGATTAAATGACGATATGAAACTATTCTTGTTCGTTTTCATTGTGGCAGTTGAATAGAGTTGATGTACAGTGTCGAGCATAGTTACTTAGGTTTCTCTAGTGTAAGCAGAAATTTTTAAAACATTAATTTTGACGATATTACATAATTTTGCGTTATTAAGCATTATAAAATTTAGTATATAATTGGAAAATACGAACAACAAAGTGAATAATCATTTAAATTTCCCCGCGTAAATATTTATATGCAAGTGGTGAGCAGCCACATATCTATACATCGACACTTTTCTCGGGACCGCCTCCGGGGACGGACGGGAGCCCGAAGAAGGGGAAGCCTCCAGGAGGACCGAGAACTCGGGGAAGGGGAAACCGGGAAAGTGGAGGATCCCGGAATACGCGAACTTAGAAAACTTACGAGGGTGGGGGGGTTCAGGACATCGCCATTTTCCCTAGGGAAGCCTACCTTGCTCGACACTGTACGATTCCAATTATCATAGGCTTCTCTAAGCCTAAAAGCATCCTGATGCATTCGTAGTTAATTAAAAGCCTCCGTAATTGAGACAAATGCTGATGATATTTAAATAAAAAACTGTAGTTTGAAGGATGTCTCACCTGTCGTTCAGAGAGCGCTAAATTTGCAGCAAGTTCGGCCTTACGACGAATCGTGATGTAACGGCTGTAATGGAACTCTTTCTCGAGCTCCAACCGCTGGTGATCCGTATAAACCACTCTGTATTTGTCTTTTGTTCGTGTCTTTCCTGAAAAAAAGAGATGACGAAGATAACGCTCGACATTATTACCTGGTTAATATCTGTTTCTCTAATTCTCTTGTCAATAACGCGGTTTAAAGAAGATAACGCGCTTTTGACGATCGCACTCGCAGCCACATCTTGCCAAGGGGTATTAATAAAGTAACTCGAACGAGATTTGAAAACATTCAAGCGGGTAAACAATAAATCACTGCGCAACGAAAAAAGAAAACTACCTTAACCCTTCTGATCCGGTTTTACAAGGACGAAAATATTTGGATCAATTATTAAAGGAAATTCATTATCGTTTACCAATTTGGTAAAATGGCACTTAACCCTCGAACAGTAGAGTCCGGGTCAATCGTGAACCATACTTATAAAGCCTAAAGTTAAATTTGTGATTTCTAAATGAATGGAAAAATAATAATGTAATAATGGCTGCAGGGAATCATCTGTGAAATTAAATTTGGAAATTTGAAAAAAGGTTAATTACTACAAGCATATTCATCAGTACGCAAAATAGAAAATAGCCGCAAGAGTTGGACGTGAATTGAAGAGCCTCTAGTAAATGGCAAAGGGCATTGGCGGTGCGACTAGTTTCGTGTAAGGGGGACCAGGTACACCCTGGCTATTTCCTAGTTACACCAATCGCAAAAGGCACCGACGAACCATGTTTCGCGATGGTGTGAATTCAACGTGGCATTCAGAACGATTACACGAGTATGAAATACACACGGATGATGAGAAAGAAGGGAAACGAGATGGGAAGGGGACGGAACGAGAGAAAGGAAAACGATTAGATAAGGCCGGGCCGGCAAAGATCAAAGGCGTGCACGTTAATCCACCACTCCTCGATAAGAATGCTCGAGGCCTTCGAGACATCACGAATAAGCTTCGACCTTACACTTTTCGATACTGTGTATGTATACGTATATGTATATATGTATGTAGGTGGATTCAGCATGGCTGGCACGAAATCACGAACGTTATTAAAAACGTCCTAAGCAAAAAAATCAGTCCCTATCTTTTTTTTCTTTTTTCACTAATATTCTCGCTAAAGTGTCTAATCATTTTAGAATTTTGTTTAGAATTATAGTAAACGCGCCAGTTACTGTGGATTTATTACCGTGTCCTCAGTTTATTTTTATGTTTAACGAAATACGGTAGATATTATTTTAATAAACCTGAACCCTCGAATGGCGAACCCTGGAGAGAGTTAAATTTGCATTTCACGAATGATATAAATTTTAGCAACCTTTATCAAAAAGCTTAAGAAACAGCACGTGTCTTACAAAATATAAAACTTGTATGTCACGCTAATAAAATAGTTTAGCTGAAAATTTTTTTTTTTATTTAACAAAATGCAGTAACTAGAATGAATTCCATGCAACGATTAACGTTTCAATTATACAATGAATAGCTCATAAAAGGAGAAGTAGCAAAATAGCATTATTTAAATGAATATAAAGTTTGTCAGTCGCTTCAAGGGGCACAGTAACTGGCGAATGAAAAACTAGATCAAAATCTGTTTGTAATCTACTATTGAACGGTAGTAGTGAACGGAATTGAAAAGTGTGCATGGTCAAATATTAGAAGAATGATGATTTTTTGCGTAGCTCAGATTGCGGTCGATCGTTATCAGAGCACTTCTAACGCTTTCGTAGCAACGATAATGCGTTCGTTGTTCAGAATAAGGCCGTGCGTTTTAAAGTAAGTATAACCTGAAGAAATATTTTCCGACGTGAAAAAAAAATTTTATTAAATATTCACCGACTGCAGTCAGACACCGAGTAATAACTAAGAAATATCGTTTGCTCGGTCTATAAATAAGAAAGTCGTCGAGTCGATAAATCGCAATGCACAAAAGAGAGTCAAGCATAGGTATTCGCGTGTCGTACGATTTTTTTGATATACCGTAGGTTGTTCGACACCGCAAATATTTGCCAGTGTTGAGCATAATCGTCGCTCAAACTCGATGCACACAAACAAACATAAAACATCATTAAATCTTATCGACAGACGTATTTTATCTTTCAAGATTGTCATCGAGTCAAAAAAGGAAGAGAGACAAAAAAAAAATTCCTAACCCCTACGCGGCATTAGTTTAATTGCGGCAACTTTCGTTTTAAGCTAACGATAATTTCCTGACGCGTTTCGTCGAAATTCTATCTTTGCCATCTTTTTTGTTCGACATTATCGAAGAAAGGGGAAGAAATTTGCGCGTGTTGTGTAACATCGAATCATTGCCACCTCCTTCCCAATTTTTAGCCCGCTCGGATTGTGTCCACTTAAACTTTTACGTACGAAAAATAAAAAGTCTATCGAAATCCCCCTCGAGGACGGCGTTGTTCGACGGGGACACCGGTCGATTTTTCGTTCTAACGAAACTCGCGTGCGTTTGTATGAGTCGGCAAGGATTACCGTCGGCCTTTTTCATCTTTCTGATATCGGAACTCGCGCCTACGATTATCCGGACGGTTCCTTGTCACCGCTTAGATCTACAGTCGGTGCCCTGAATGGCGTAATTGTTACGCCAGGTCAGTTAAAATATTATTCCCTTCAGCTTTTTTGCTAAAAGGATATTCAATTTTCTTCATTTTTGTTTATTCCCGACGACGTTTCATGAAACTCTTAAAAAAAAAGGGGGGGGGGGGGTTTATTTTATTGATGGTGGAAGAAATTACTCTAATTACACTACTGCACTGATTGGGAACTAATTTATAAACCTTTGATTATTATTATTACAATTCAATTTTACAATGACAGTGCCTTATCTACAATTTCACTTAAGGGATGACTGTGGGCCCTCTATAGCGTTGTAACAAACCTGGTGTAAAAATCACCTTTGATATATATTTTTAATTTCTTTTAAAAAAAACAACAAAGAAAAGAGTAATACAACGCTTAATTTAAGATTCTCTATTAATTGATAAGGAAAAGAGACGCGTGTTGGGAATGTACATACACCGTCAGCAAGGTGGTTTTAACAAATGGAAGAATTTGAGTATCACACGGCAAGGCGTCGAGCAATATTTGCAGAAAGATTATGAAAGAACTTCTTTCGAAACAGCCGTCTAATTTAATTAAACCTGTCCACATGGCCGATTCGCCATGGGGGAAAAAAAACAAAAAAAAGAAGTAGCTACGCTCGTTTATTAAATCGCAGAAACGAAACTACTTGAGGATTTTATATTGTTTGACTTTGTATTGTTGCAAACGAGTGAGAAATCACAACATAGCGCGAACAGCCTGTATTTTGCGTACGAGTACCAGTACGAAGAGAGAAAAGAAGAGAAGAGAGAAAGAGAGTAAAGAAACAGGACTCCTGGGGCTCGTTGCCACCCCATTATAGCGTTTGCTCTTCCATTTCGCATGGTGTAACCGCGTGTACCGCTTTTCTTGACAGTCTTCGCCCACCAACCCCTCCGCTTCTCGACTCGCACGGGTACCATTCGTCACTGGCATCACAATTACCTCTATTGTGCCGTGTAACATTTGTATATTGCATATCAAGTATCCAGCGCACGTTTAACAAGAAACTGCCTGACTGATTAATCTTCCTATCACTGTGAATAATGTAGACTCGTATTCTGATTTCTAAGTACCAAAATTTTCCACTTCCAAAATTCCTAAGTTTCTATATTTCTAAACATCACAAATTTTCTATTAAAAAATTACTTTTTATGAAAGAAAAATACAATAAAATAAAGGTACTTAAAAATTTTATCTGGAAAACTTTCAGGAAAGTAGTAATGGTATACGCGTGCTATGCTACGAGGCGGAACAGGTCGAAATTAAGTTTTATTGGAGAGCTTAGAGAAACGGTTGTCTGCCGAAATGGCAGGAAACAATGTTAGACTGCGTACCTAGAAGACAAGGAACGAGGTATAGAAACAGCGTTCTACCTCTGAATCGGACGTCGTGGCTACTTCGTGTCGAAATATCGGTCTTAGGTACAATATGCCAAGTATTTCTAACCGATCCGCCTCTTATTCTTCTACCTATTACTGTGCGACACTGACTTAATTGCGGCCAAAACCTTGCGGACAATGTAAAAGGGTCGTGTACCCATGCATGAATCAAACCACTCGTTCCCATTTCATGGAAATGGAGCCGTGTTTTCGCCGAGAGGTCAATGCGAACCAACGTGAATTTCCAGGAAATTCTGAAGAGTACGCCCCAAAAGTTTTCCCCTTGGCGACCAGTTCAATCATCCTTTATTGTTGGCAAAACAAACTGTTCGAATAAGTTTACGACTTAATTGCATCGTCGCTGAACGAAGCCGATTTTCTCTCTCATTGATGCAGCGGGGGGTAGCAAAAACTTAAATCCTCGATGAGGTCACAAATTATGCTTAAGAAAGCATTTGTTTCTTTTACAGGGTGGTTGGTTTTTTGAAAATCAAAAGTGTAAGGCGTGGAGTCAAAATAGATTGCTTTAACTCTTCGTAGGATAAAATAATTAACTTAATTTATAATCTCGTATAATAAATTATTATAAGTCAATTTATTCGACTTACAGCAAGCAATCGAAACTAAATAATTTACTAATAAAACGTGCTTTAATAAATTATTTTAAAAATTAATCTTTTCTTTAAAATACGAGATGAAATTGAACACTGCGAGTCTAAATAGAATAATTTTCTCGCGGTGCTACCAAAATGGCGGCGGCACTAAAGCCGCCATTGCAAAGACGTTCGTTCTAAGAAACTTTGATTAATAATGACTAGCAAAAAATTGAGCAACGAAGAGAAATACAGCATGAAATTTTAATATTCACCCTGAATTCATGCGACTGTCTGCAATATAACCATGAAACGGAGATAATAGAAGGTATTGGAGGGTTGTAAGGTAGTGAAATGGCAGAAGAAAAGGGGCAGATAGGGTAAAACTGAGTAACAGAAAGGAAAAGGGTGAGAAAAGTTCCTATACCTAAGCTGTGATTTCATAACGCTTTGTCATGAGTTCACGTAGCCGAAAATGAGGAAATTGATGCGCTCCGTAGAAACATATTCAAAAATTAATAGAAAATTGAAAATAATGATACATAGATTTAACAAAATATTGTTAAATTGAGTACCATTTGTCATGCAACATCATCGATATTCCATTTGTCGATGGAACATGCTTTATTCCAAGTATTATAATCGAATAACAGTCGAACATTCGCATGCTATAACTAATCGGCGCATGCAGCAGATGGGATACAATTATCACGAATATTTAAACAACGAAGGGAATGCAATAATCGAACGATAATGATTGTTATCGTACCAAGGGCGTCAATGGTGCAAAGCTCGTGAATCGTTGAACCTGCACTTGCATTGCAGTTTATAGTTATGTTGCATGCTGCAACAGTAGAAAATAACATAGTTGCTTAACTGCACTTTTTTTCCCCCATTTTTAAACTACTCGATCAGTATGCACACCTTATCTTATTTTTGAGATCCATTTTCTTGAGAACAAAGCTCGTTTTAATGAAAACTAAATTAGCAAATATGTAATATTCTTTAATGTTCTAAATTTGTAAATGCCTAGATTTGCAAATTCCTAAGATTCTAAATTAATTTCTAAAATTTAAACTCTGAAAGATTATCAAATGCTTCTATAATTATTATCTTAATCTACGGTAATTAATAATAATTTTGCAGGTGAAAATAGATGTTTCGGTAGGATTTGAACAGGTAACGTTCTCAGTTTCGTTGGTCCGGTTGAAAATCGAGGCGACACCAAGAGGACGGAGATTATCTCACAAATATTTGAGAGCAATTAGATGTTTGCTCGTCTGTTACCGTGTTTACATTGTTCGCCATATCTAGACCTCAGAGACGTGTTTATAACCGAGCACGATGTGCACGGAGTCCTCCGCGGTTGTTTCTCCGAAACGTTTTTCAACTTTGATACCGTAAATCATTTCTAACCGAATCAATAAAAATTTACCATCTGCCATTCCAACGCTTTCTAAACTTCTAATAGGAAGAATATTATAAAACATTTAAATTCAATTTACAATTCTATCTTGAACAAAATATTAACTTGTAAATGACGAAAGATAATATTTATAAGATTCATATTTTTTTTATAATAACAGTTAATACAAATGTAAAGGTACTATGGAGACTTTCTGAACCGACGATGCGGAACGTCGAATACACTGATTAAGTCAACCATTAATTGTAAACATAACATTTCTTCACTGTCAATCTTCAATGAAGAACCGTCGATTCATTTCTACACGGTGTACATCATTAAACGTTCAAATATCATTTCAAAAATTACTACCATTTTTACTAGATTCAATATGATAATTCGAAATTCTTCAAATTTAGTAAACGATATGATATGAAATTTACGACAATGGTACCATTATATCAGAGTTATAAATATCATATGTTGATACAGAAAAACAATGTCTTAGGATACCGTAGTCGTAAACTGCGAAATCTGATTCTGAACTAATAATTTGTCAGATTTATTACTGAAATTTAAGAATTAATATAGTTTCTTTAACCAACATATGAATGACAGTGAACCGACGTTAACCCCCGGACGACGGACCATGGAGAGAGTCTCAATTTTAATTTTTTCATAAACTCTTTTGTTCAAAAATTATACATTTAACATCATCATGGGCGCCGTCGATTAATTTAATGCGGCCAATTAGAACTTAAATTGGCGCAAAAATATCAGTAATTTCAATAATTTTTTACTTACTCTTAGGAAGATAGTACCAATGGATTGTTGAGATTCTCACGATTAAAAGAGTCACGAAAACTCTCAATAATCCATTGGTACTATTTTTATAAAGGTAAGATGAAAATGACTGAAAATGAAATTTTCCCTTTGAAGTATCGAGTGTCGAACGTAAATGCTCGACAGACTTTTAACTCGTTAACCTGCAGGTTTCGAAAATTTAAATACGTACTATTTTACAATTTTCTCTCAATGGATCTCATATTTGAAATACCTACATAGTACAAATGAAAAATTTCCACCGTTACTCAAATTCCAGTGGATAACCAAGAACGTCACTAACCTGGATTCGGTTGGCTCTGGTAGGACGTCTTTTTCATCCACTCGTAGGGACTTCTGATCTGCGCCGGTCTCATGGGCGTCGTATTGTTATTGTTGTTGTTATTATTATTATTGTTATTTGTAGTGGAATTATTGTTGTTGTTAGCCGGCGGAGTGGACGGTGTACCAGGATTACTGATCTCGCTTCCGCTGACGGTGATGGGCGGACTTGGTTCTCCGGCGCCGACCGCGGGATTCGTCTCGTCTCCGCTCCAATCGGGCACCGTGGTCATTTGCGGTTGTTGTTGCTGGTAAGCTTGTTGATGCTGGTATTGAAGATGAGTGTAATGATGCGCGTGAGGATGCGACCAACCGGACAGTACCTCCGTGTGATCGAGATACTGTTGAGTAGCGGCGGCGGCGGCAGCGGCAGCTTGGTGATGGGTCGAATGCGGGTGGCTGTGAGGATATCCGTACCAATATTGCTGGCCGCCGTCGCCGGAAGTGACGGTCGCGTGTTGCTGCGCCTGTTGCGCTTGACCGTGTTGCTGAACTTGCTGTGCCAGCGGCTGCTGACCGGCCGATTGCTGTTGTTGCCGGTACATCGCGAGGGGATTGTAATAAGAGACCATACCGATGCTGCTGATGTCCGTCATGGGATCTGGCGGATACCGTGCACCCGTCACGGTTGCACGTAACTAACGTCGAATAACGATGAAAACGACACCGAAGAGCTTCCAAGCACCGGCATGCACGGACGAAAAGAAACGGCTTCCACGGCGATGTGACATCGACTGACTTCAACAGACCGACGGGTGCCCCATCGCGGGACAACTGTGTAACGTTCACGGAAATTTGAGTTTTCGACGCGTAATGTCTCGTCACTGACACTAAGCACTTCCGAGGCACGGGCACTGAAGGTGTTCGCTCGATTATTATCAGAGAAATTCGCGACGTTCGGTTACCGCGCTCCAAAATCGGTACACAGTGTATTTTCCTTCGTCGGCAAAATTCATGAAAAAGTGACTATAGCTACCGATAACTGTCGTCACACCGTGTTTTCGGATATTGACGATGTTGAAGCAACGACTGCTTGCTCGTCTGTGATTACGAAGGGTGCGACCGCTCGAAAACGTTGAGTCCGCCTACGGCACGGTCTCCTCCCCACCACCTCCGCCGACCGACCAATCAGGGAACACCGCTCTTTACCTTCTTCGTAATGGCGTCCCGGCGACCCTACAACCGCCGCAGATATCACTGGCTGATAAAAAAGCGCGGAAGGCGTCTTTCACGCCCCTCTTAACGCGATTCCCCGTGTAAAAGCCGCGAAATAGACAACATTTTTCGCGCCCGTCGCGTTTTAACCGCGTTTCTTCCTCTTATGAAAATATATCTTCTTACCGCAGATGTGGTGGGGAGAACTTGGCGATCGAATGCCGCCAAGGAACTTGGCGTTCCTGGATTGCCAACAGCTGAATAATTTTATCTTTTAAAAAACATCTTGTCAATTACGAAAAAGGTATTAACATTTCTTAAGTTTTTTTACAGATAATTTTACGTCATTTTTCAATGTAAAATACTTTTTTATTTAACACTATAAATAGGTTTAAATCCGACTTCGGTATTCAAAATTGAAATAACTTGCAAAAAACAGTTGAAAAATTTACGCTAATTATACGCTGTTAGTTTTGCAAAATGTATGCGCATACATTGAATATATTAAAAGTATGTTTCTCCAATGTGATAATTAATAATTTACGACATTACGATGTTTGCTATCTGATTGGCCGTTAATTTGATAAATCCCGTAAATTGAAAAAACTATTTGTAGAAATTGATTATACATAATGATATTTAAATAGACGTAGTTATTGTTAAACAAAAAACAGACGTGCTTTGAAAGCTCAGTGTTATACAAGTAGAAATGGTGAATGAACGCGTTTGTTGCACGAAGCTAACAGATTGACACTATATTTTATTGCGTGGTCGTAACAATATCATACATAATTAACAATGTATAACAATTATAAACTGCAGCAGCCAAGTTCATAAATCACCCAGCCAGGGGAATGATTTAAAGCCAAAAACTCGAGCTTGCCGCGAGTATGATTAAGATCGATCATCATCGTTTATTATGTTTGCATTAAATATTTGCACATAATAATTGCACATAACCACAGGGGGTACAATGATTCACATATTCCTTGCTTATCAAACTACTCGTATACACCATTAAGATTTTCAATTTGTAAACTGTATTATTTTTAACAACTGATTATCTACTGTTATTTATTACAATTTTACGTGGCCAGCACTTATTAAGGGGGGCGTCAGCCCCGGGCCCCGTTTGTAAATAAATATATAAATTATTGACAAATATTGCATAAAGGGCAAGCGGCACGATGAAAGGTTTAATGAAGATAATGGGCTTGATTGGTGAATAATGTCAATAAGTTGTTGGCAAATCACGTAGACTATGGAACCGTATTATCGCAAGGACGATTATATTAGGTTAAAGTCAAAGATAATCTTTCGTTTATAATGGCATCTGTCCCCGAGGCCACCGACAGTGACGTGTGTCAAAATATTGACCTCTTTGCAACCCACCACTTGCAGACCCTCGACGCTTAAGCCCTTTTTCGCTCGTCGCATCAGTACAGGATGCTCCGCCTACGGATTCGTGCTCCTTCTTTCCGGTCTTTCCCGACCCCTGTATCGCGACAATTCCACCCTTGTAAACAGCGATGCTTGTAATTGCAAAAATTGTCATTTTCATTTCTAATCTTTTCTCTTGTAACCGGGCCCCGCAATTTTTAAGGACCGACCTGATTTTAATATATCATTATATTATAAGTAAAACGAAATGAAACTAAAATTAAAATTGAGGCTCTCTCCATGGTCGATGGTGTAATAATACGACAAAAGGCATTTGTTACGGGTGTCGATGGTCGTATACAGACACTTTGTCCGTCATCAGTACTCTCTTCTTGCGAAGAGTCCTTCACTTTTCTTCCAGCCTGCTGCTCGGTACAGGGGTCCATAGCAGCTGCGGTAAGTACCGCAATTATTCGGTTATTTTACGACTTTAAAGATGCGAAAATGCTGCGGTGTAACAACAATGCTAAGAAATCATCTCGTTGCACCAACGTTTCTCAGTTTGAAAAAAAACGCGTTTTTGTTTAAAAAAAAAAAATAATAATAATGATAAGAAGGTTGCCTGCACGAACTGAGGTTGTAAACGTGTGAGCAATAAAAGGAAGAAACATCTTCATTTAGAAAAATGGGCCGGTCGAATTCTAGGAATGTTAATAACCATTGACAGATGGGAGGCCAAGGGTGAGCCCTAAAACGTTACCGTTTTAATTAAAAACGGGACTAGCACGGAAACGAGGCGGTGTTCGGGACAAATTTGTCCGTCCTCACCTTTGTCGTTCATTGTTCGTCTCCCAGCCTGAAGCCCGATGATTGCTCTACATTGTAACTTACCTCTTTAAAAATTTTCCTACCTAACTGTCGTGAAATTGCACCCCCCAATAGAGACGGTCATAAAGACCTGTAAAGGACTGACCGGCACCCAGTTCTCAACGTCTACTGCAATACTCATCATGGACTCGGTTCGTTTCCCTTGTCAATACGTGACGTACCATCTACCACTCCATTTTTCTTTACACGTTCGTCGTCAACTTCTTTTCTTCTTTCTAAGAATCATTATTCTTATTTGGTTTATTACGTTTCGAAATCTGATTATATTGTTATATCATTGTTATTTAAAACATGGAAATTAACAGGTTTTCGGTCGGGTAGATTTACTGGGTCCCGATTCGAGTTTTTGCGCCGGGGGACCAAGTGGTCCGAAACCGTGACCATAATGGCTGGGAAACACCGACATAATACAAAGTGTACCGTGTCGAGAAAACTTAATCCTTAGTCCCGTTCCAACTTTTGGGTATTTTTTTTTTTACCTTTTCGGGTCCTCAATATTTTTTCCTTCGCCTTGCGTTCCCTTCTCGTCTCGGATATCTCAAATACATATTTAAAATTGGATTTGCAGCATAATGGTAACAAGAAAATATAAAATACAACAATATCGTACTACTGTATTTCCTATTGAAGATCTCTATCCAATTGTAAATTTAGCGTACCGTATGGATGACAAAGAAACACGATAATTGTATCGTTTTATAGACGCAATGAAACAGTTCAGGTCAATTTTAAAAGCAGGTAACAATAAAATTACTTTCAAACGACTTCTGTTAGAATGGTAATTTTTACGTGTTGTTTAAGTCTAAACAAATTAGGCGTTAAAAGTATTAATTTTACACCTTTCTTGCAACTAATTAGAAGCCATAATGGGTCGAGTGGGCTCCTCGAACAGGATAAATTACATAGTGATCGTCAAATAAACAATATAAATTGAATAATAGAGTTTTTGACGGATGAACGGTAGCGTATAGAATATTTAACCCTTTTACCATGCCGCGTGCGCCTTCTTTACGGGGCTGAAAAAAGCGGGAAAAGGGGTTGAAACCGGCAGAAATTTGAAATTTATTGACCGCTATAAAAATGGCATCTGATGCTCGCCAACAATAAACGGTTGATTTACCATTCGATTCTCCTCTAATGAAGTCCTTCGTTTAGGAACTTTAAAAAATGAACGAAGAACGGTATCCACGATTAAATTGAGATAAGCGATAAAACGTTACAATTAAGCGTTACTCAAAGTGACTCCGCTATCTTTGAAACGGTATTACGCGTGCTTTGGAAGAGTTTTCAAAACAGTGACATTTGCGTCAGTGGGCTCTTTACGTAGAACCACCCGTAATCATTGAGAATACAATTAGGCAATTGTATTTGCATGTCACACCATATTGGTTGCGATGACTCGACAATTTTATTGAGATTAAAGAAATAAATACTTAGGGCGTTACTTTCTTGTTTTTAGAAAATTAAAGAAATAAAGGCGTATAATAATTGAAATATTATTAGATATCTTACTTTAAAATAGGGTGATAGCTTACTATTTTGGTCGGTACATCTATTTTTGCAAACTTTAATACATATGCAAAAGAATTATTTAAAAAGCGGGCCAAGGAGAGAGCCCTGCGCCCCACTTTCAAGGGGGTCCTGTTCTAAGCCTTCCATTTACTATGTTAACTGTAATTTATTTTTACTTAAACTAAATTTTAATTTTTAAACCAAGTTTATCAACCGTGGGGGCCCTCAAAGTTTTAACAGCTCTGAGCCCCAGAAATTATAATCCAATCTTGTATTTCACTTTTTTAAAATATTGAAGTCTGACAAAAATCGGAGATACCAACCAAGCAGTAAAGTATTACTTGGTAATAGTTTAAAGGAAAGAAGATACATACATAAGTGGTTTAAAGGGATAAAGCATTTATGTTATTTCTTTATTTCCCTCTGTCTTTGAGGCGGGAACGCGTTCGAGGATCATAGTCGCGTCAACCTGCAGAACATGAATCGACGAACATCTTCGTTTCTTTACCGAGTCAACTTTAATGATCGGCGCCGTAAAAATGTTTTCTGTTTTTATTTTTTTACAGCGCCATAAACGCGTCGCCGATGAAAGCGTGCTTTCGTACGCGCGCGCATTCTCCTACTACGATGCATTCTATTTATACATGTAAAGATCGACGTTATCCCTGGATACGATTTAACATCAAATAGAAATTGCAAAATATCTTCCTTCCCCTTTTATTTGATCGACCTAAACGTTTACCCTAATTCGGCTCAAAAAACATTTTCAACGCGCGATAGAATTTTTTTAGATTCATCTTGACGGTATAAAAAAAAGAAGAAAATATTTTTGCTCGTCGAAACGCGTTGATTATTCGGAATTCCTTACAGAACATTTAGTTATACTGCAGCGCAGTGGCTGTGAATCGTAACCTCTTGATTATAGTACCTACGGGATGCATGATGGCACATCAGGGTACCGCAACGTCTCGTAACTTTACATAAAATTAGTACCTAAAAGCCCTTCGGCTTCATGGATCCCATGAAATAACCGTGTCCAGACAAGTATCATTACTAGTAAACGATAGCGTGCAACAAATATCATTTTTAACGGAAAATCAATATACAGTGGATCAAGAAAGTATTCGTATATTTTATTAACCCTTGAACAATGAAGCCTCGGTCAGACCTAGGATAAAAGAGTTTCATATATTGTAAAAATTAAATTAAAATTGGGGCTCTCTCCACTCTTAATAGTTTTTAAAGTAAGTTGTTATATTAAATTACTATAAACCTATTAATATAAAAGTCATTTTCCAACTGCCCTTCGTACTGTGTCAATTAGGATATTAATTAAACGGTGAATTTTTAAGTAAATATAGGTACTACGTATTTTTCTTTCAAATACTACAGCCGTCACAGATTCGCAAGGTTCAAACTGTAAAAAAAAAAAAGAAAGAAAAACAAATGGTAAAATGAAGGAAAGAAATTTGTGAAAGCTACGTGGCTAGGGTAAAAGATTAAGCCTGCTGATTCCGGGTCAGGCTTAGCCCGCCACGTTTTGTGCGTTTACGGTGGTCCCGTGCGCGGCCGGGTACGCTTTCAAACCGCATTTAAACAATATTAATTTTATTGCATGGTAATTCGCAACCGTCGGACCTGATGTACTTTCTATCCTTCACCGTCCACGGTTCGGCAGGTAAAGCTCGAAAATTTTACGACCGATTCTGCCTGAACTCTGGCCCATAGAGAAAAAAAAAATGTTTTGTACCATCCAGTCCGTTTGTCGTTGCCGGCCCGATGTCACTCGACCGTTTTACTGTACTCTTTAAAGGTATTAAGCTGAAAACGAAGGAACTAAGCACACTTTATTTCCCAGACAAAAGCGACCAACGACTCGCCGATAATCCTTTGCGTGAATACATCTAGCATCCCTTTCATTATCACCATTCAGCATTGCGACGGTTAACTGACTGCGATCGGCAGCAAACTAAACGAGTACCGTTCCTTCATTCTCAAGGAGCCATTAAACTTTACTTATTCGTTAGAGTGCTCGAATTATTTTAGAGAAATAAATTATTTCACCTGATGGATGAATCGTGTAAAAAAATGTGCAAGAATTACAATAAGACGCTGGATCTGCAGCTGGTACCGATATGAAAAGTTAGGTTTAATAAAACCGACCTCGATATAGATAAATTATGTATGTCTAACGCGGATACAAAGGCTTAGCAACCTTTGGCGGTAACAAGTCAGGAGAACTTTCAATCCTCCAACGTTCTTGTAGCTAGGTTTTGATAGGCAGTTAGCAATAAGAGTGTCCCCTCTGATTTATATCGACATTTTATATTTCCAGTTTGATTATAAACGCACACGAAATGCGAGATCATTGGAGGTTCCGCCATTTGACTCCGCCTAAGAGGGTACAGATGTTGGAATACCTTTTGATTCTTTATAAAAGGAGTACTGGTGCAACGGCAGAGGAATTTCCATGGTGGGCAGTCCTAAGTTAGAGGCATGCCCCGGGACAACCGGTTCGACCACTCTGGGACGAAAAGGATACTCGTCTTAGGATCAGAACACGAGTAAAAATGTGAATTAAAGATGGTAGCGGATGCTGAATTCCATCTAGCATTTTTATATTTCTTTAATTTTATATCAAAATGCGTTTTGAAAATTAAGGAACGAAATTAACAAACAAAAAATTGTCTCTTTTTTAAATAAATTAAGCAGCATTAATTGATAACAGATGTAGACATATTCAAAATTAGCGCAAACAATGATGAGTGGATAGTAATTTTTTAAGTTCAAAAAGAAGCGTCGATAAGTTAGGATACTATGTACTCAACAGAGGTGAACATGTTTGTGTAGTTACATGTTACCGACTTTAAAATGAAAAGTGTACTGTTAGCACCATCTAATAGCAAAGCGGTGAACTATGTACTATATCTTCAAGCATTACCGACGTCCATCTAGGGAAAATGGCGGTCTAGACAAAACTACTAACAGTGATTTATCATTTTAAAGTAACTAGTTATGTTTTTTTTTAAGTATGTAAGTAACTAGTTTGTTATATAGTTCGTTACTTTTTCCCCATCTCTATGTAATAATCTATCAATAAATGGTGCTCCAAACATTTTTCAGCCAGATGGAAGTGTAACGTTTTAAATTTATAAACTGAATTTTTATGTTTAAATTGATTGTAAATATTAATAATTCATTTGATTTAACGTGTACATACATGGTATTTTTATGTTTTGTTAATGTATCTGTGCTTATAGCAAATTTCAAAAGCTTAAGAACTTAATTGTAAATAGTAGTAAAGGGTATGCTTTTCCATGATAAATATACTCCACGAAAGATCTTACATATCAAAAATGCAAAAAGAAGTAGATGACATAGTTACAAAATCTTTGCAAAAAGCTTATGACCATGATAGAACTGGAAATGTAGGAAAGGCATATGCATATTACACAGTTGTAGCAGAATTATGCCCTGCGAGGAGATCAGAAATTGAAGAAGCATTTGTTGATGTACTTTGTATGTTATTTTTTTAATACTTATATAGTACTTTTCTGATGTATATAGACTTGCAAGTATCTATTTCTTAGGTCAATGGGGGATTCAACTTGCATACGAGAACAGATTTGATGATGTTATTGTATGTTACAAACGTTCATTGGATATTTTTCCAAAAAATGCCCGTATGTTACATAATTTTGCAGCTCATCTTTTGAGGTAATTTGAATTCGCTGTTTAGGTAAATTTATAATTAGTCAATTTAAAATTTGTTTTTTAACATGACAGATATCATGACCACTAAAATTCCGTATAATGAGGATAAAAAATATGTTGTTAAAGGAATAATGATCCAATAAAGGCAATAAAATATTTAAAGAGAGCTTTGGAAAGCAATCCTAACTTTCTGCCAGCAGAAAGAAATTTGCAAAATGCGTTTAGCATGGCAGTGGATAGGTGGCATTTTCCAATGTTAAATGACAAACTAAGGAATAATGCGTTTGAACATGCGATTCAAAGGAGAATTTCCCAAGGATATGATACCGTATTAGATGTAGGAACTGGTACAGGCTTGTTAAGTTTATACGCGCACAGTGCAGGTGCTAAAAAAATTTATGCATGCGACTGTTCACCAGTGATGTTAAAAATTGCTGAAAAAGTATTTCAAACAAATAATGCTGAAGATATAATATTACTATCGAAATTTTCTTCAAATCTTACAATTCCGACCGATATCTCGGAAAGGTCAGTTGTTAAAATAGACAGACTTTGTTTAGGCGTTAATATTTATTTTACCTCGTACATAAATAAATTTCATTTTTATTAAACGTGTCTATATTTTCCAGGGTGAAATTAATAGTAACAGAAACTTTTGATGCTGGTTTATTCGGAGAACACGTAGTACCATCCATGATAAGTGTACATACAAATATTTTGGATAAAACTGGTATAGTGATACCTATGAGCGCTACGCTTTATGTAGCTGCTGTAGAATGTGAATATATCAGACACAGATCTACTGTAATATTTGATAAAGTAAAAGAATCTTGCTCTTTAAATTTTGATAATATATTTGTATTGATAGATGAGGAATATTATGATACGGAAAATTTAAAAAATGTTAAAGTTAAGTATATTACAGAACCTACAGCCCTTTTTACTATAAATTTTAACGATTTGTCGGATTTGCAAAAGTTTAATACCGATGGAGTAAAAAATGTAATAAACACAAAATGTACATGCGATGGTACTATTGACGGTCTGATTACTTGGTTTAAATTACATCTCGACGAAAATACAACGATAGACACGTCACAAAGAAACTCCTGTTGGCAGATTGCTATTTTTTCGACTGTACCAAAGTCGTTGATCAAAGGAGATGCAATAATAATTAAAGGAGAAATATTGAAAGGAAAATTAAAATGTTCTTATATATCACCAAATCGTAAATTTGATAATTGTGATAATTACATGTTCTTATATCGATTACCCAAAGAGATTATAATATTTTTAAACGATTTTGAATATGTTAAATTACTTGCCGAAGTTAGTAGATCACTGCTTAACAAAGAAATACACACTATTTTGGATACTTCTCCTTTCCCAGTATACGGATTAATGTTATTAAAAGAGAATAAGCATAGTACAATTTTATATTATAAAACGGAAAATACAATACTTCGTCATTTTATTGAACAAATAGCAGAACAAAATGGTTTTAAAGACAAATTATTTATTATATCAAAATACAATCACATTAAAGTTTCTTTAGACACTATATTTGTTCATAATTTTGATATTAAAGGAGAAATAAAAAATTATGGTGAAGAACACAATCAGGAATTTTTTCGGTAAAAATACTTAAAATGCATACTTGATATATAATTACAGTTTATTAATAATACTTAAAACATTGTATGATTCTTTAACAGATGTTTGCTTAAACCAAATGGTATCTTATTACCAGAGCAAATATTTCTTATGGGTCAGCTTGTGTTTTCAAAGGATTTACCAAATATGGTGTATGTTAGGGATGAAAATTTACAAGGAATGTCAACGCTTGCATTTGATGCAAATTCTGAAAAGGTATATGTATAAATATATGTATTTATACAAATGAATTACAAGCTAGAAGGTTAAAAATATTTTAATTATACTTTTTCTTTCTGCAGAAATTCAATGGTATTTTTGGTAATACACACTGCTATGGAATTGCGCAATACATTAATGAATTTAAGGTAAAACATGAAATACAGTAATAAGGAGGATAGCGTTTTTTAAATTTCTGTAACGTCATTTATCATGTTACAGATAAATCAAATTTTTGATTTGAATTCGTGTTTGTATTTGTACGAACCTTTATCTGATGTAAACGTAATGATAGAAATGAGAGAAAATGAAATTGCGGAACGTATAATAAATTTTGGAAAGATAAGTGCTTCTAATAATAAATTACTACCAAATGCTTTAGTGTGTTGGTACAAAATTAGATTAACATCGAATCATAGTTACAACACAAAAAGAAGTGGATCATTTATGAATCATACAGCAGTATTATTAGAAGATGAATTAAAAAATACTATTTTACAAGGCAATGAAGTATGTGTAAAAGTTCAACAAGCCGAGGGTATGATACGAATAAAAATTAAGTAATTTCAACAGTGACCCATATTTTATATATTTACTATCCGTTTCAAATGTACATTTGTTACTTACATTTTAACGTTTTATACGTATAAATAATATATTTCATTAGTAATACAAGTAAAGTTAATACAAAAATGAAATACTTTATATTTCCATATAATAATATTAATTATTATATTATTATATTATTATATTAATAATATAATATCACCAATTATTGTAATATACATTATTCTGTCATTATATTATATTAAAAAATATTTTATAAAAATAAAATTTTATAATTTACTCTTTAATTCGTTGTTTAAAAATTTACATATATGCGGTGCTACCCTTTCAGGATAATTATTATGTACATCATGATTTCCTTTTACTATAACCATGGAAAATTTATTTTTGTCAATAACACTGGTTATTTCGTTTATTAGTTTCAAGAATTGCTTTGACCGACTAGAATTACCAGCTACAATTAGCAAAATTGGGATTGAAAATTCCCTGAAGATCTCTTTGTGCTGTTCCAACTTATAAATTGGTTTTACAATGTATCTTAATCTAACATCCCGATTATATTTATATAAATCATTGACTTTTGTAACTGCACGCTTAAACAGTGCTTCTGCTGCATCACTTTTTAATGTTTCTTGCCTTCTAAATTGTAAGGCATATATTACTTCATCTTTTGTATAAAGTACTCCTGAGTCTTTAGCATAAGAATCTAAATTATACAATTGTTGAATATACGAAACTACATTTTTAACTGGAAAAGATACAAGCCCATCAATTGCTATGATCTTCTCTAGTCTTCCAGGATATAAAATATTGAAATATGTTCCCAAATGAGTCCCAAAACTATGTGCTATATATATACAAGTTTTCCATTTTAAAGCATCCAGAACTAGTAATATCGAATACACATAATCAAAAAAATGTAATGGTAGTCCAGAAGGAAATGAGGATGATAATCCATGTCCTGGCAAATCTATGCACACATATTGGTATTGGCGTGGAAGTAGTTCTATCAACCTGTCAAATGACCCAGCATTGTCTAAAATACCATGTACCATCAAAACTTTTGGATCTGATGAAGATCCATAAATTTTTCCTGCAATATGACCCCATGGAACATTAAACTTAACTTCTGTTGATTCCCTATGCAACTGGTTCATGTTGTTTAAATTTCCAACACTTATAAAACGTCAATTTATTTTTCTGTAAAATAAAAAATTCTTAAATATAAAAGGTATAAACACGATAAAATTAAAAATAAAGTTGAATATAAAGACAATTACTGTTATTAAAATTACAATAGCAAATATTACAAGCTGTCAAAATACAAAACTGAACTTTGATAAGAGAAACTGTACTGCAAGTCACTTATCGTTAGTATGTAAATTATAAAATACCTTGAATTTTAATAGAGTTACAAAGCACCAGACTCATTATTAAATATATTTTATTCATAATAAAAATTTATTTATCATGAAATGTTTTAAAATAAAAATTTATTATTTTGTAATTACGAGTGTCAGTATTATTTATAAAAAATTTATTACATTTATTTATTGTAAATTACATATTAATAAATATTTCATACTATTGTATACATATACACTAAGATACTAGTATCATTACCTAATAATTACAATTATTCAACGACGCCATTGTTAAAAAGAATGAAGCAAATTATTTCGAAATTTGTACATACTAATGGATTATCTATTTAATCAACAATCACTTATCAGTATCAATTTATAATCTTTTGTTTTGCGATCTGTAATTTACGAATATCAACTGGACATAAAAATTATGTAATGTAATATAAATGATATAAATGATGTAAATGATGATCGTATTTAAATTTGTAACTTTTTGATTCAATATTTTTTACACTATCTTAACAATATCTTGTTAAGTTTTATTACATTACAACTTATATGATAAATATTATTTAATTTTAATAAAATTTTGTATATACCGCAAATTATTTATAATAACTATGATCCATATCAGATGGCGTAGCGATTTGCACACCACTTGAATATACAGGAGTTTTCTAGCCCTGCTTTGTCATGGACATGCAAGCTTCTAATGGTTCGTACTTGTTTTCCTACGCTATGTAATATGTTCGCGCGTTAAATTGCATCGTAACTCATGATCTTGGGATTGAATACTTTTTACAGGATATGGTGTATCTTCAAAGAGGAACTTCTTCTTTTGAAAAATGTTTCCTAGTGGAAAAGGTTGAATAAATGTTGATTTTCAAATCTTCGGCGTCGCTTTCAGAAATAAATCATATTGAATTTTTTTTTTTTTTTCATATTTTATACGATATTGAATGGAATTCAAATATAGTAGCGTTTATTTCAAAAGTCTCTGTGTTATATTTTGTGTACTGTGGATACTTTGTTAAATAAATGTTCCTGTATGATCCAGGAATGCTTCTGTCTATCGAGTGTCTTCGCCTAGTTAAAATCTGTATATTTGGATACAATAATTTTGTTTCGTGACGAAAGATACTGCTTTAATCGCATTATTTTATTATTTCATATTAAAAAGTATAATTACATTTAAATCTGTCTAAAAGTAATATTGCAATCATTATGTGAATATAGGAATGGATATTTGTATGAATTCAGTGTATGCTTCCATCCCTGGATTACCGGAATTAGGGATGGTATGGATGGGAGATATGATGGTACATGGAGAACCTACACATGAACTTATGTTGGATCCTCGTCAAGCAGAAAGTCCATTCTTCTCTCATGGTTCAAATCCATACGAAGACATTAGAAATCATCAAATTGCACCTACTACTATGGTACGGTATTTACCACCTCAGTTTTCTAATGAATGTTCTGAACCTGATGAAGCTATGGAAGCTGTTGATGCCCAGGAAATACAACAGGTAAATTTCCTTTTTTTAAATTTAAATACTTACATTCTTGTATGAAAATTTTTCCTTTTATTTATCATTATTGTTGTTGTTCCTTTAGGAATATGATTCACAGTCTGAAAGACAAGAAATGGCAGAGTATTTAACATTAGAAGATTACATGGGTGATGAAGAACGGGAACAAGTTGTAAACAATGCAGCAACCCAAACTACTCAAGACAATCGTAATAGGAAAATAAAACCTATAAAACATCCTGGGCTTGTTTTAAAAACACCCATTGCATACCAACCTCATACAGACTTAAATTTTATTCCTATTCGTAAAGATGGTATAGGTAAGTTATAGAATGCGTCTATATATTTATGGTACATATTTATAAAGTTATTTTGTTTCTGACAGCTGTTTGCGAAAAATGTGGTGCTATTGGTGTAAAACATGCATTTTACACGAAAGAACGTAGATTCTGTAGTAGAGCGTGTGCAAGATCTTCGGAACATACCGCTCCTACTGCTGACTCTACGTATAGTCCATCACATTCAGTAGAGACACCTGTATCTGTAAATCCATCTTCTCCAAGTGAATCTAAATTAATAAAGAATGTAAGTTACGTTTGAAAACGTATTACGAAACAACGATGTAATATCTTAAAATATCAATATTTTAGACTGTAGTAAAAGAAGAAGCAGATGTAAAGGAAACAATTGAATTAGAAAAAGAAAAAGAAAAAGTGATATCTGAACCAGTGATGCCAGAGGATTTACCTGTAAGAAGGAAAAGAACTGCTGATATGGCAGGTTCTTATGACTGGACCCCACAACTGGTTGAACCTGGTTTTTGTGCTGCCCCAGTGTCTTGCTTTAAACATGTTAGTAATAGTAACAAATTGTACAGTTATAATTTTTTCTTTAGTTCATTTTAATACAAAGTTCCTGTTTCAGGCACCTATATCGGAAATATGGGATAATATAACGGTCGGAATGAAAGTAGAAGTGGAGAATACAGATTGTGATGAAGTATGCGAAGCTTTCCCAGATTCGTTTTGGGTGGCCACTGTATTACGTATATCTGGGTACAGAGCTTTATTAAGGTACGAGGGTTTCGGGCTTAATGCCGATAAAGATTTTTGGGTATCACTGTGCTCGAATGATATACATCCGGTAGGTTGGTGTGCAACCATTGGAAAACCACTCATTCCACCTAATAGTAAGTAAACGTTACTAATAATTTATTATGAAACTGGTGAAAAAAAAAAAAAAAAAAAAGAAAAATTCTTCGTAGAATATGTATCTTATTTCTGTTTGTAATCGTTTGTAACAGCAATTGCTAACAAGTACAAAGACTGGAAGGATTTTCTAATGAGACGATTGACAGGAGCAAGAACACTGCCAACTAATTTTTATAATAAAGTTAATGATAGTATGAAATCGCGTTTTAGATGTGGACTTCATTTGGAAGTAGTAGATAAAAATAGAATCTCGCAGGTAAAGGTAGCAACAATACAAAAGATTGTCGGTAAACGTTTACATGTAAGATACTATGACTCACCACCTGAAGACAATGGCTTTTGGTGCCACGAAGATTCTCCTCTTATACACCCTGTTGGCTGGGCGAAAAGAGTAGGACAAACGTTGGATGCATATCCGGAATATTTGGAACGCGTGTCGAAATCAAAATTATGCGAAGACGATGCAACAGAAGATCTTTTTTATGTGCCAAAGAATCATCATTTACATCTTGGATACACATTTCGAGAAGGAATGAAAATAGAAGCCATTGATCCCCTTAATCTCTCTGCCATATGTGCAGCAACGGTTATGCAAGTTTTAAAAGAGGATTATATAATGATTCGTATAGATAGTTACGACGAAGATGCAAGCGGTGCTGATTGGTTTTGTTATCATTCATGTTCTCCTTGTATTTTTCCAATTGGATTCTGTTCGCAACATGGTTTACCGCTTACACCACCAAAGGGATACGATCCAACTACATTTACATGGGACGCGTATTTAACAGAGACAAATACTGTACCCGCTCCGGTGCAATTATTTAATAGGGTAATTTATTACATAAGTATTTCTTAATAGCAAGATAATGTCTTAAAAATTTCATTACTTATCGTTACTTATAATCGTGTATACAATTTTGTACACAGGAAATACCTCAACACGGATTTATCGAAGGAATGAGGCTCGAAGCAGCTGACCTAATGGATCCTAGATTAGTTTGTGTTGCTACTATTACTAGGGTAATTGGAAGGTTATTAAGAGTACACTTTGATGGTTGGGAGGACGAATATGATCAATGGCTAGATTGTCAAAGTCCTGACATTTATCCAGTTGGATGGTGTGATCTTGTTGATCATAAACTAGAAGGGCCCCGTGTACTCAATAAAAACACTAGTCCTACTGGTAAACATTTAGAACCACGTTTTATACTCTATTGATTCCCCAAAGTAAATTTTAGATTTTAAATTGATATATTACAAATACATTTCAGTAAAATCACCGAGAGGCCTTAAACGTAAAGCTAAGCGAAAATTGAAGAAAAGCAGTAAAGTTTCCTGCGCGAAAAACATTCTACCTCGTCACAGTGAACGTATTAGTATGGCTCGTGAACGTGAACGAGAAGTAGAGCCTGCCCAGGGAATAAAAATCGAGAGAGAACGTGACTTGGAAAGTTTACCGGAACAAAGAAACAGGGAACCAGAGCCAGCAGAAGAACCAGCTGGGCCTGATCAAACTCTGCCTAGTCCTACTACTGGACAGGGTCAAGCATTAAACGATACTCAAAGTGAAATACAAAACCCTCCACCGCCAAAAGAAAGAACTGCAACAACTTATGTTAATGTGAGTATTGTTTTATAATACCTGCACACGTTGGAAACTGATATTTTTATTTCATACAACCGTTGAAAATAAATATCCTATTCTTTAGGTAACATCTGCCACTAATAAGTACATCCCAAGGTTAGCAGATGGTGTTCAAAAAAGTTCTGAATCTGGTGATTTAGTGCCATCTGAATGGAATGTGTTTGATGTTGCACAATTTCTTCGTGTTAATGATTGTGCAACGTATTGCGATAATTTTAGTAGACGTAAAATAGATGGAAAAACTTTGTTGACACTCACTAAGGACCAAATAATAGACCTAACAGGTTTTAAAGTTGGTCCTTCTTTAAAAATATATGATCTTATTCAACAATTGAAAATCAAAGTGAATCCAGCTCAGGAAAGGTTGAAATTAGGATTGAAAAAGTTATTATAACAAAAATAGTACATAGTTAATACTATGAATAAGTTTCATCATTGCATAAAATAAACATGGATTTACAGGTAAGGCATGTAGATGCAAATAATTAAGAATTTAAACTTCACTGTGGTTATAGACATTCTTTGTTATATGCTTTAAGAATAAAAGGTACATATATATGTATATGCATAATATACGTATATATGTATATAGACATGCATACGTAAGAAAAAAAAGTGAAACAAAAAATCTCATTCTATTGTCGAAGTTATGATTAAAGGAAAGAATTATTTCGTTTTGGGCATGAATTAAACGTCATAAACAGTTACGGATATGATTTGAGGAATCACGCTATTATTATAATACATATATGTACTATAAACTAAAAGATAATAAAATAATTATTTTGATATTTTTAAATATGTAGCTAGAAATATTCCAGAATGAATTGATCCGACTTATTATTTTTAATTTTACACAGCAAGTATAAATACTAATCACCCGATAAGAAAAGATCAAAATTCAGTCTATGGTAATATTCACGTGTATGCAATTTGTTATCATAAAAAATGTTAAGAGAGTTCATGTAAGCATATTGCATTTATACATTCTTATAAATATGAGAAATTATTTTATTATCGAGGTAAATTTTTCTTTAGAACGCCGTTATTTGTAAATCCATGCATTCATGTTGACCTACATTGATTACAGGTGCATGAACCACGTTTAAAAGGTTTTCTTTTTTTGTTTTTTAAATAAAAATTTCTAAAGCGTAATTTATCATAACATTTTAGGAGTAAATCAACAAAGGTATATTAAAATAGAAAGTAAAAATATAGTAACATGAATAATAAAGTACAAACTAACTCTTGGGTATTAATTCATTACAGTTCTAATCACGTTTGCCTTAATGATATAATTCACATTACTAAAATAGTTTTACATATTTTAATAAATTTGTTGATTTACCCTTCGCTGAAACCAAGAAGTACATGTCTGTACATAAGAAAAGAACGAAATGGTCAACTTCTAATCTTGTAAATATAGCATTTAGCACAGTATTAAGTTTAGCTAACTTTTTGAAGAAAATAAAAGGAAACGTAACCGCAGTGTACAAGAAGTGTAACTATTGGAAAGTGGTTGATGCATTTGTATATCAAATATTGTATCTATATGTAGCTTTATAATCATTACAGTAAATCAAACCAGTCGAGCAAAGTCTAAGGCTGATTTTGTCTTAGACTTTTTAAATACTATTTTTAGTACGATAGAGTAACATGGTTACTCTGCTTATTTATTCAACATTTTGGAATCTCACTAGGTACCGATCTCGATTTGGTACCTAAAATTGTTTAGCAGTTAATTCATAAAATGTTAAACATGAATTTTGATTGGTCATCCACGTTTTATTATACCAGAATTTTAATTGCTACTTACATAATAAAATATTCTTTTTCTTTTTTTGTTATGTTGATACGCGGTTATGCATAGCAGTGTAAAAATTCATTAATTCGGAGAATATGATATATATATATATGTATCTATATCTGCAGATCAAAGAAAAAGTAGTAACATTTTCTTAATCTAAGTATTGTGTACAAATTGGGAGGCATTATAAATAGTATTACAGATATAAACTTTAAAAGTTTGGGTTTTGCTTTGAATACATTAATCACATGACTGTGAGTACAAAAATAGATAAAACAATATCAAACAGAAATTAAAACACAAATACTGGATGGATTTTTAAGTGTTATTTCAATGACTTTTAATTTAAAAATAAAATAACGTCCAATGTAAAATTGAACATAACATGAAGTTCAATATAAAAATTTAAATTTCCTTAAGAAATCATACTTTAGATAATTTGTTTCCTATTACAACGTCTTACAATTAGATTTACAATACGCACACAGTTGAATAATAAAAGTTTGAAAGACAAAATTTTTTACGTGAATTATCGGTTTGATTGGTAGTACTTGTTAACGGAAATGAAAATTTAAATGAAATTGAAAAAATCTACGTGTACAATTTGGTACAATTTATTTTATCTTTTTTTTTTTTTACAAAAAAAGTATTATGATCAGCTGAATAATGCTAATTAAGTAGCTATTTTGTAAGGCACTAGGAAAAATGTTTTATGATTTCACTTTTCCATACGTATCGTTATCTATTTCACGTTGAACAATGTGTCTGAGACTTGAAAAGGATTTGTATTTTCAAATTTGTGAATTTTAAATTTAGGTTAAGAAGTAAGCGTTTTCCAGAATTAACAAATCAATTGCAGATATAAGAGAAAGGATCAGAGATATTAATGTTTTCATTTATTTAATTGATCGCGAGGTGTATTCATAGTTATCCCTTTTCAATTATAATTAACATACAATTTTCATTTTTTACGGTGTAATGCATTATCAATAAAATGAAACATTATACGAGCAATAACTATGAATACAATCTCTAAATGTTATTTTTAGCTTACATTGTATCGGAATATACAAAATACTAAGCCGCAAATAATCGACGACAGTATTTATCGATAATACTAGGTTTTGAAAGTGAGAATATCTATTTCTTCTCTTTTTTATTTGTAAGTTCGTCACTCGTATGTTTCTTTTATAGAAGTAAAGATTAAAACAATTCAAATAAATGTTTTTCACATATATTGTAAAAAAAATATTTGCAAATAATGATGGAAGTACATTGTTTACATTAAATTAAATCATTTGAGTGTTTGCATTTCGGTTGCCGATCCGCTGTTCTTGACCGTCAGATGGCAGTAGCTGTACGACTTTTCAGAATTTATCGATTTAAATAAGAGCTTGTGATTTTTACGGAAAATTCAGGCCTATTTCATCAAGAATTTACGTAAAATTGTAGTGTAGAAGATAAAAACAAAGTACAACATTCAAAAGTATTTAAGTATTAAAAATATATTGTTTAAACTACTGAAAATTATTAAGAGAAAAACAATAACTGTAAAGCATCGATGCACAATATCGTAATTTTATTATTTGCTACGATTGCGTGTTTATTTTCTTTTTAGATATACTCGTAATATTGATCGATTTCTAAACGAATACAATTTAATAAGATCGTTTAGAATCATAAATTTTGAATAGATAATTCACTCAATATAGTAGATAATTATTTAAAGTATATGAAAAATAGTACTAAATAGTTAAAGAGTACGTGTAGCTTTTATCATTTGTCTGAGAGTGCATCTGTACGAGAATACGCAGGACAAAGCATTTATGATGTATCATACCTGCGGGGAAGTAACGAATTTTTATTGTCAATTTTCGTATCGTGTAACAGTGCACGGCGAGTGGTAAGAAGGAGCAGGATAAAAGGTTGTTGCGTGTATGTGCGCGTGGTCATGGATATACAGATGGTTAAACATGTATACGTTGGGTATAGAGTCGTGCAGGTGGGGGAAGTGAGGGAGACTGGCGTATTCTATGGGCGGGGCCTCTGCCAGCTGGCAGATGTTTCCCGCGCGGCCGCACCATTCCTCTAGCGTAAACCTACGCGACGTAAAAGTAGTCCCTTCTAAACGCGTTAAATATTTCTAACAATAGCACGCCGAGGAAACAGTTAAGTATACTAGTGATCTGTTGCGAAGCAACGGGTAGCCTGCGTGCAACTACCTGCGGAAAACGGTGGAGAACTGAACGTGAAACCGAAGATGAGCTGGTGTAGGATTGGTCCAAAGAGAGTCATTGTCCAGGGCAGAGTACGATGTAGCGTTCACCCTAACCGCGTTCACTAAACTTAAACGCGAGTGCCTTGAACATGGTTTTCGATCGTTCAACACCGTGAGCCTTCATACACGTTCGTAATCTCTGTGTACCTTCTAATGATACAGTTATTGTGTTTCATCGGAATTCAAAATCGAGACAACGAATTTTATTAATCGGCTAGATTATATATATATATGTATATATATGTTTGTTTAACATCGTGTCGTGCGCGAGTGGTACAATTTTCATCGAAGATAAAGCATTAAGAAAAATAACGTTTAAGCATGTGGCCACGTGATGGTTTCATCGACGTGCTCATGATCATTAAACGATTCGCCTGAGATGCAGCATTATTTTTACGAGGATATTTGTTTCGTTGACCGTGTATTCTTGAACAAGAATCATTTTTACGGTGAAACGTGAGAATTTCAATGTTAAAACCATAATTATAATTGACTAAGTATCCATGTTTCGTCAAAAGTGCTGTAAATATCCTATTACACATAACAAGAGTAAATTGTGTTACAAATTAGATAGGATAATCGGTGTATAAAATATGAAAAAATTTCATTAAAGTGTGCACTTCAGAGATAGAAGAGGGTTCTCGACGGACCTTAGATAGTGACGGCCCTGAAGCCGGCGGCGGAGTGATTCGTGGTACGCTGTGGGGGCCCTCAGCTGTTTCCCGCCAAAGATCGCCATTACAAAACGCGTTCGGGCGTTGTGTGTGCGCCGCGCGGAGTGGTTGTCCCGTGGACGAATCTCGGTGCGTGCCACCGCGGTATAAAACAGAAAAATATTAATTACGAATTTCGTAAAAAATACGCGTCACAAAGGCGTGAAGGTGTGCGCGTCGTTTTTTTTTTCGGTGTAGTGTGCGAGAAGCCCGTCGTCTTTTTCGCTGCCGCGACGACGACGGCTGCTGGGACGTGTGGAATCGCGCGGCGGGATTCTCAGTGCTGCGGACTAACGAGATATGTCAGTGTTTGGTGAAGAGGATCGAATTTTGCTCGAGGAAATCGTTGAAACCACCGAGGAACAAGAAACTAACCTGTGCGGGTGAGTATTTTCTTCACTTTCAAATGAATCGTATCTTAGCCGGCTATGAGTAATCTCGAACCGTACGGCCATGTGTCGCTGTTGTGTTGGAAAAGCGTACGGTAGCAGCGTTTATTACATTGTGTGCGTATAGAAAAGCGACGTGGTTTGACACGCCACGTCATTTAGTGACATTAAATATACAGTGTTAACGCCTTCGTTACAAACCGCGAGCGAGATGACACGAATTTATCGGCAAAGGAAGGCGTGCTCGTCCTCCTTATCGAGTCACGCCGATTGCGAGTGTAACAACGTCCATCACCTCCTCTTTTTGCTCGCCATCGCGTAGCCGATGTCGTTGCCACTATCGTCGTCGTCGTCGTTGTCGACGACGTTGCGGTGGCATTGGCAAACCGTGGTAATCGTGACACGGATGTTAAAACGTGTGTGCACAATACAAACAAAATCCTAGTATAGTCTCTCTCGATAGCCAGCTGTCGCGATGCCGGCCGGCCGGCCGGCACAATAGCCTTCGTTTTCCGCATCGAGCTATTCCATCAAATACAATCCCGCTGTTTGATGGAAACATTTTCATTTTCTTTTTTCAAATTTCGTTTCTCTTTTGTTATCTTGCCGTTTCCCATAAATCCATGCAACGACGAATCGAATTCGTACCTACCACTACCACGCGTTCACGCCCAAACAAGCATGGCGCGGGAGTCATGCCCGACCAATTGTTTTCAAATATAATGGTATTAACCGGTAAATCGTTGCGTGGTCAATTGGAAAATCGCATTCAAGCGTTTCGTAACAGGATTAAATTTACACCTTGATATTTTTGGACTCAAGAATTTCTATGGTACTTTATATTCGATTTAGAATAAATCATAACCGGTTCTTAGCGAGGACTCGGCCGGTAAACGAAGTCGCGATTAATCGTTTCTTGGAATGTTATCGCGAGTTGTCTAAACAGGTTTAGAGTGCATATACGGTACACGTATACATATAGACACATGTCCGTTTCCTTTATTTGCCTCATGGGGTGGTTATGTTCGCGGGTAAGAAAAAAGAATACTATGTATTTAAACATCAAGAGCAAACTCGAATACTCTGTTCATTTAGCAGCCATTTCTTTTTCCTTGGTTACTTCTCAGAATCGCTGGGCTCGATTATTGTTTACATTCGTAGCCGGATAACGGCGCGGTTTTCAGTTCTCTCTCTGGTCTGATGAAAAAAAAAAAGAAGAGGAAAAAACGAAAGGACGAGGATAGCAAGTTCCTTTGTATACGGCCGAGTGACCGACAGACCAGAGCCAGGGTATACTCTATATGCGTTACATAAAGCCGCAAGTTTGTTGCACAATAATGGGTCTCTATAAATAGCTCGAAGCATGCCGCTTCGGCGCGACTTCTTGTTTACATACGCTCATCACCGCGCCGCGTTACGTTCACTTGCATGGAGCTTCGATCTATCGTTTACGTGCGATTCGATTCACGTTCGCGAAAAACGTCGATGCGAAAGCACGCCGGAATCTCCCATAACCTTAAACACATAATCGAGATACAACATAGAAACGACTAAAAAGCTATTTTATTCTTTTATCA